AGCTAGATCATAGTTATCCACCAGTTCATCAGAAATTGAATTTAGAATCCAAGACACAACTGTACCGTTCGCGCTGTGCCATTGCTCACGATCTGGATGCCCTAGTGTGGGTTCACCGACACTTCCATTGATGAAGCCAAGCTTGTTCTTCGTTCCGAGGAATCCTCTCATGTCGCGACTCCGCGAAACATTATTCAGATCTGTCAATTTGTTGGAGACAACCGCCATTGATGAATTGTCTGATGGATGCAAGAACAAAGGATGAACGTAACCTCCTCCTCCGTAGTTCGAATAAGCTCCGTCATCTCTCCGGTCTTCAATTCGGCTCTCTCTATCATGATTCAGATCCATTTTCAGCTGAAATTGCGATTTCTAGGGTTTCCGTTCGCGTTCAATCACCGGAAATTTGTTCCGATCAATTGGTCCGTAGCTGGTTCTGAGTAGGATCTAGTCCTGCTCTGATACCATCTACAAGTTTCAATTTGAGATTTCGGGAAAATTGGTGAGGAATTGAACAAAGAAAAAAACTCTCAACGAGATTTTGGGAATCATCTCTATACACTTGAAAATCGTATTCTCTACAAACCAAGATACTACTTGGTTTTAAATACACCGAACTAACCATCATCTCATCTATATATCATTTACACGATTACCCCTCTAGTTCTACATATTTACAAGAACGTCTCTATACAAAAACTATACAATATATACACATTTACAAATTCTCATTTGACACGTTATTATCTACAATTATGCATTTATGCTTGTTATCAATAAAATGATAATATAATATGAAAATACAAAACAATCCTTATACAATTGTTTAGTCGTTAAAAGTTTCCTAAGCCGTCAATCTCATATTCGAGTTATTTTGGTAAGAAATTATTATCTTTTATACTGAATTTTATAGAATCCTCTTTCATTTGTTTAATTATTATTTTGTCCTTTTTTTTTTCTTTTCTCTCGATTCCTTTTTAGGAGTATATGGGGACAGAGGTATTCAACTCTTTGTGTTTAATTAACAAGCAATTATGGCGAAATTTCTTATTTGTGAGAAATCTCATATGATAAACTTTAATAACTTTACGGGTTGTAATTATTTGGGAGATAATTATCTCTCTTTTTTTTGGTTTCAAATATTATTTTCAAGCGCGTGAGTGGTTCAGAGAATTCGGTGAATCAAAATCAATGATCAAGAAGTGATTATTTTTCGCAATGATCTTAATTTTTACTGGGAGTTTGATTTTTTTTGCATAATTACTAGCATTGTGGTGAATAAAAACAATGGACATGGTGTTATGGATATTGGTTGGTTGTGTTTGTGAAAGTTGTTCAAAAGCAACTTGTATATGGGTTAATGAGGTTTACATATGATTCATTATAAAATTTTTCATTGATGAAACTTAGATTTACTATTCAAAAAATTATTCCGTGAAGAATGTTCATAATCATAAATGGAAAAAAAAATACCAGCACGGACTTCGATTTTAAGTTGTTATATATACTAGTGATGTCTGGTCGCGCAATGCGCGACCCTGGTCCATTATATCTGTAGATCTTAGAAATGTTTGTATCTGAAAAAAAAATATTTTGTATTTAGCCGGATATATTTTAGAAATATTTGAAGAATTTAGAAATGTTTTATAAGTGTGATGTTTGTATTTGGCATAAAAATAAATTGTATTTGGTCCGGTACGTTTTAGAAATGTTTGAAGATTTTAGAAATATTTTATAAGTGTTACTTCTTAAATATAAATAAACTTGATCAAATATATGTCTTGAAGTAAATGCTAAACAAAATATAAAAACATCCTAATAAGTTTAAATATTAGTAAGATAATTTATTGATGTTCTCCATTGGTTCTGCTAAATCTATACTTAGTTTTGGAGATTTATAACAGCTTTGTAGTTAGCTTTCTCCCACGGGTATACGCTTAATTGTTGGAACTATTTCTTCCAAAAGTTTATAAGTAGTAAAATATCAAAAATATGATTTTGAAATTGGTTAATTGTTGAAACTGGTTGATTACAAATATGAGATTGAAAATAATGTAAATTTGCATAGGTTTCAAGATATAGCAAAAAAGAATCACCTGACCATGGCAAATAAAAAAAAAAGGTAAAAGATAGCCCATTAAAATTTTGAAGTTTTTTTTTCTGTAGGTAAAAATGATGTATAAAAACACAAATAAACGTAGAAACATCATTCCTTCCCTCTCCACCTCAAATTCATAAAAGGCTTCCCCATAAATTAGTTAGAAGAAGCGACCTGAACTATTTATATGATGAGAAACTTAAAAAAAGTCCAAAAACCAAATCCAAAAAAGTATATTCTTGAAACCCAGAACACAAAAAAAAAAACGCGCTTCATTTGCAAATAAAATAATAATAATAATAATAATAATAATAATAATAATAATAATAATAATAATAATAATAATAATAATAATAACAATTGGTCAACTGGGAGTATGAAACAAAATCAAAAGCAATTAAACAAAGAAAAAACACACTTCATAACTGGCCATATATATAAAAAAAAAACCTGAGACTCCATAATTAAAAAAAGAAAACCACTCTAATTGAATGAAACATAAAAAAGAAATTTAAACAACCACACTTTGTAATAAAAATGCAATTAATCAATTCAATCCAAACATAACTAAAAACATACAAAAATTCTAAGCTAACTAACCAAATAAGAAATCACATTATATTACCTGACAACGACTACGGTAGCTGTAACGAATAGACGCATAAAAATAATAGTAATAACACTATTCCTGAACGGGAAAAATAAAAAATAATAAAAGCCAAACCAATGATCTGTGGAAATAAAATTATTTAAATTTTTAATACCTGTAATGCCACCATCACAACGGCCGAAGCAAGATCAATGAGATTTTTTTTTTCCTTTGTGTTTACATAGAGAGGTAAAGAAAATATTTTTTGAAGTTGAAATTTTATCTGATTAGGACGTAGTTGATCATCATTAATGAAAATATTGAACATGCTAATAGGAGTATATTTCACCATATACTCTCAATTGATGATTGATGAGGAATTTATTTATTTTTAATTGTGGAGAAAAGATTGATTAGGGAGTCGATTGTCGTGGAGATGGGGATGAGGATTTGGATTTTTTATGAACCCGTGGTTTTTTTTTGACGAAAATAGGAGGTGGAGGTGAATTTGGACTGCATTTGTCTTTTAAGTCTAGGAGATGTGGAAATAAAAATTTATTTTAAAAATATGATGTAGAAATGCCACATGGCAAATGGTGGTACTTTCTCTTAAGTGTGGTTATTGTTTCTATTATAGTAAGATATATATATTTTCCTCATCCAATTGAACTATTCGGTCTAGTGAACTGTAGTCAATTCCTTATTATATTAATATTTTTGTATAAAAATTTGTTGGGTCAAATTGTAACTATAACCAACCACTAGTAGTTGGAGTGGTATCAATGCAAATTTAAAATACCTCAAAAATCAAAATGCATTAGTTAAGGATTTTGGACAGTACTCTCTATCCGGATTATCCTTAGGCGTTCTACTCCGCTCATAACAAGTTGAATTCGAATACGAATATCCTTTTACTGCGAAATTAAATGTTACTCCATGATAAAATAATATCATAAATAAATAAGACAAGATAAATAAGATAAAATAATATCATAAAATAAGTAAGATATTCTTTTTGGTATCCATGATACTTTCTGACTTCAAGCATGTAGAATTCAATTAGCAGCCAATTGAATCGGTGACTTAGGTCATAAACATCTCTGATTTAAGTTGATATATATGTACGTGACTTCTCTAGCGCCAGCTGTTTTTAAGTAATTGGTATAGAAAAATGATCTTAGGAAGTTAGGAAATTTGTCATAAACTTTTAAGTTTGATTAGTTACGCAATTTTGGTATAATACTCAGCATTATGTCAATTCCATCTAAGATAAAATAACAATTCATTCATCATCTTGTTGTATACCCGGATTCCTAGTTGGTCTTCACGTTTTTTTTCCCTTTAGTTACTAAATGGAATGGGGTCATTAGCCCACACAACTTTGTTAAAGACTTAAAGCAGACATGAGAAGAATCAACTGTTGCCTTTTCAAAGGGGAGAAAAAAGAGAGTGCAAATTTCAGTCTTAAAATAAGGGCAATAAAGAATTTGTTACTACTTTATCATGAATAGCCATAAACGTTTTAGTTTTTCTTTTGTCTCATAATAAAAGTTCATTTAATAGATTATTTTAGCCTAACGAACAGATCACTTATTTTAAGCAATAATACGGAGTGTTATTATCTTGAAAATAAGTGTTAGTATAATCTCAGACATGATCATCATCTAATTTATATTTTTGTCATTTGAAAAATGTACTACAACAGTTATCACACCAGTTGCGTTTCTAGATAAGACATCAACATAAGCTAGAAAGGCTTCCAATTTAGAACGCGTCAAATCCCAACTAATCATGCATCATTAGGCCTAAAAAATCTGAACTATATTATTCATCCAAGACAATCAACATTCAACACTTCAACCTAACCAATTTCCCAACCATTTGGTGACTGATTTATCCATGATCAACCCAAACCCAAACCAAACTTTTTTTCCTTAAAACTTTTTTTTTTCCTTTTTAAAAAATTGTTCTTGTGTGGCGGTACTGTTCTTTGAAGCCATTTTCGACACTTCTAACCAAAATGGAATTGGTCTCTTACTCTTTTTCTCCACAAAACTTCCTCTTTTGCCACGTATTATTATTTTTCCGTCTATTTCAAAGAGGATGTGTTCGAGTGATAAGTATATCTATTTTCACTAAAAATCTTATTGTATTATTATTGTAATATTATTATTCAATTATTATCGATGATAAACACTTATAAATAAAAAAATCTTTAAGAAAAGAAAAGGAAAGTTAAGGAGTAATTATGGGTAAGTCTAAAATATGGTGTCAGGAGTAGATAATTTGTGATGAAAATCACGCCAAAGAAGGAGACAACACAATTACACATTCCCCAATTTGGTGCCACGACTTTGATTCAGAGTTTCCGACCCGCCCCTATAAGTCCATAACGCTTTTTTGACGGGTCAAACGCCATCTCTCCCGATATGTCTTTTATTATGTCTTCTTTTTAATTCATCATCATCACAACCATAAACCAATCCAACCTTCCCCTCAAAATATGAACCCCTGATTCCCCATTTCTACTCCTCCAACCCAAAAAAAGCTTGCCTCGCCGCATGAACTCTTTACTTTCCGGCGGCCTCCTCACTGGCTAGAATATTTTTTTTCTGTTTATTGGGTTTTCTTGGGTTTTTGGATTCATCCATGGGGCAGTCTGCATCTGCCTCTTCCCATGGTTACTCCTCGGGTTATTCAAGCCCCGGTTCCAGCCGCCGGAGGTACTTAACCGCTAACCAATCGGAATCCTCGTCTTTCAGTGAATCTAATGCCCAACTTTCTGCGGTCGATGATGTAGATTTCACCTTGGAGATTCCTGATGAATGCTTAGCTTTGATTTTTCAATCCTTAAGCTCCGGCGACCGGAAACGTTGCTCCGTCGTCTGCCGGAGGTGGTTGGCCGTCGAGGGAGAGAGCCGTCACCGGTTAGCTCTTAACGCCACCGCTGATATACATCCACATATTCCGGCTATTTTCACTCGGTTTGATTCCGTCACCAAGCTTGCTCTCAGATGCGATCGGAAATCCATTAGCATAAATGATGACGGCTTGGCCCTCATATCCCTCCGGTGCCGGAACCTCACGCGTCTCAAGCTCCGCGGTTGCCGTCAGGTCACCGATCTGGGTATGTCATTTATCGCCAAAAATTGCAAGGTTTTGAAGAAATTCTCATGTGGGTCTTGCACTTTTGGAGCCGAAGGAATGAATGCTCTGCTCGATCATTGCTCCACACTCGAGGAACTCTCCGTCAAGCGTCTGCGTGGGGTCAACGATGGCGTTGTTGCTGCTCCCATAGGGCCTGGAGCGGCGGCTGCATCCCTAAAATCGATATGCTTGAAGGAGCTATACAACGGGCTCAGCTTTGGGCCACTCATACTTGGTTCAAAGAATTTGAAGACTCTGAAACTATTGCGGTGTTTGGGGGATTGGGATAGGCTTTTGGAGACGATGGCTAAAAGGGAGGATAATAATTTGGTGGAGATTCATTTAGAGAGGCTGCAGTTGAGCGATATTGGGCTTACCGCAATTTCTAAATGTCCCAAGTTGGAGATTTTGCATTTAGTAAAGGCTTTGGATTGCACGAATGCTGGCGTGGTGGCCGTGGCTGAGAACTGTAAGCTTTTGAGAAAGCTCCACATTGACGGGTGGAGGTCAAATAGAATTGGTGATGAGGGTTTGATTGCTATTGCTAAGAACTCTGTCAATCTTCAAGAGCTTGTCCTTATTGGTTTGAATCCCAGTTCAGTTAGCATGTCTGCTATTGCATCAAACTGTAAGAAGTTGGAAAGATTGGCTCTTTGTGGAAGTGAGACAATTGGAGATGCTGAGATTTCTTATATAGCTGAGAAATGTGTAGCTTTGAGGAAACTCTGTATCAAGGGATGCCATGTTTCTGATCAAGGGATTGAGGCATTTGCTTGGGGATGTCCCAATTTGGTTAAGATCAAAGTTAAGAAGTGTAGGGAAGTAACAAGTGACTTTGCGGATTGGTTGAGGGCTAGAAGGGCAACATTGACGGTGAGTTTGGATGTGGAGGAGGCTGAAGTTGAAGCTGTTGAGGTTAGTGCAAGTGATGCAGGGGAGCAAGAAGACGGGGCAGAGTTCCCATCGAGTGTGAGTAGGGCAACGAATGCTGGTGTTGCTGGTGGTGTCGATGTACCTTCAAGTCAAAATGCAGGTCGATCTTCTGCTTACAAACCAAGGCTTGGCATTTTTGGCGGAAGGAGCCTAGTGGCTTGCACATTCGGCCGGTGGTTGAATACTGGTAATGGTAGTTCCAACAGTGGTGTCTTGTGAATCCTGTAAACAAATGTTAATTTGGAGGAGCTCTTACTTTTTAAAGCTTCTTTTCCAAATTGAAACAAGTGATGTCATTTGTGATTGTTCATGAAACTCAACTGCCTTGTGTAATTTTAGAACTCTGTATGGGATTTGTTCAAGCATGTATCAGACTAATTTGTCCTGAAACACTTGCTTGTGTGGAACTATGGGTCCTTTGATTGGATAGTGATTCTGTTTGATTTCTTTTCTGCTGGACTTTAATGTTCATTTCTATGTCGAATTGGTTGCATTCTCGCGTCGTAAATTCTTTGGAATATGGCAATGGATTCCTTTGGGACTGTTGTTATTTTACCTTCAACTGCTCCTGGTTACTAATCTGGAATGCCCTGTGGATTGAGCAATGCTTAAACTTCCACCTTGAAGTTTCTTCTGTAAAGTTTATGTTAATTATTTGAGCGTATTAACCTAAGAATTTTTGGCGCTTCTTGCATTTAATGTCTAATTACTATGGAACCTCTGGATTCTTCTAATTTTGGCACAAATGCTCTGGCAGTGCTCAATTTTCTTTTATTGAATTCGTTACTGTGAAAAGTGAAAAAGAAATGATCCTGCTGCATCTTCTGTAGTTCTACTAATAATGATACTCCCTGCGTCCCAAATTTAGAGTCGTGTTTGTTGAAGAGTCATGCTGGTTTAGGGGAGCATTATGTCATTTCCCGGTTCTGATATTGTTTGATACAAACTTATGGAGTATCTCTTGTTTTGTGCAAAACATTTGCTTTTGATTGATGTGCCGTATGTTTTCAAATCTGAATTTTCAAGGCTGCTGCTCGACAATATTTCCGTTGCCCAATCGATTTTGAACTTGGCGTCTTCATTAGTCAGTGCTTCTTTCTACATCAATCTATCAGCCAAAATTTGAACTTTTCAATGTTCATAAAATTTTACATTTGACACAGTCATATTCTCCTCTAATCTTCCTATGATTTGACTTTCTTAACCTAATTAGCCACACATAATCAATGTAAACTTATAAACAATCTGGTCCCGTCTCATCTTCACTTCTCTTTCCTCTTTTGTTCTGAACATAAACCGGATTATACTAGGATTATCTCATTAATTGCGGCCGTCATGTGAAATGTCAAACTTTTGGAGTAAATCATGTTACACGGTCTTGTTAATTTGCAAACTCTTTGTTTAATTACAGAAACTGGTCTTTGACTTTAGACTAGGTAAATGAGGATATGAGGAGACAAGAAGGCATTTCTTTTTCACGGTGTGTACGAGGCTGCTTTTTGGCTTTCAAAGATGAATATTCTCATGTATTTCTGTATAATAATAGACTTTGAATCAGTCATTCAATTTGCTGGCGCTCCAGATTCTGAATATTGGTAGAATGTACTTGACTTGATTAATTTGGAAGTTCGTTTGAATTGTGAACCAACCAATGCTTCTAGCATGTTATTATACTCTAGTGCAGAAATTTTGACCACTAGACACGTTTGTTGTTCTAGGTCATTTTAAAGTAGTATAAAAGTAGGAGTACCCTGGAAATATATATTTATATATACTCCCTCCGTCACATTATTATTGTCCAATTTTACTAAAATGAAAAATTTTATTTTTAGTCAAACTTAATTATATTTTACCTTGAACAACTGGATATACCCCTACATAAGTAATTGTTTAACCACAAAGATTTTATGGATAATGTTTTTTATTAAGGACAAATGTGTAACTTGATCAATAAAAAGTCAAATTAGACAATAATTTTGGGACAAAATTTTTTAGGCAAAGTGGACAATAATTATAGGACGGAGGGAGTATTTTTTTAAAAAAAATCTATCTGACACGGAGAAAGTTATAAATAATGATTTAAGTAGAATTTTAAAGTCAGATCGTCAAGTATTTATAACACGTATCGTAATTAAAGTTCAAACTTCTAGTCTCTCTTATTATACTAAAAAATCAAAACCGCATAAGTTTACGGGTTCTTTAAAAGTTGGGGGATTACGCGTGACATGATTTATTGGTTCTTTTAGGAGAGTATGGGGGAGAAAAAGGTGCCAAAGCTTGCTCACACAAAATCATTTGGCAACCTTTTAGGACTTTTTTTCATTTGGTTTCGAAGCTTTTTGTTATCGTGAGGGAGGGGGGGGCTTCACAATCACATATATTTTATTGGTAAAAGATGGGATTTGTGGCTTTTAGAGAAAGCAATTTACGAGGACCATCAGTTAAATGGTTAAAAATAAAGTATACTTACAATCAAATTCGAGATCCCTAAATAAGAAGATCATGGTCACGAGATTGTTGTACTCCCCGCCCGCCACCTAAATTTCGCGACCAATTCACATGTTTCTCCGGAGAATATACCCACTAGAACAATGCAATTAATGTCCAGAAATAAAGGCAAAAATATTCGAATATGAGTAACAATAATTATGCGAAAATGATTTCTTAACAGAAGGAAGGTTATAAAGATTGAGAGTTTGAGATGGTCTGACAGTGAATAAAGCCTGAATCACAAACACATAAGAGATTCTTTTGGGCTTGGCTTTTTTTTTTTTTTTTTTGCTGTATATTCAACATAAACTAAACAAATTTAATGGAGTTCTTTTTTTTTAAAAAAAATAAAGCAGCCTAAAATTACAATATCCAACAGATATTTTACCCAAAAAAAAAAAAAAAGAAGATAAATTGATAACTTGGGCCGTGCACCTTTCTCGCAACAATGGAAAAGCCCAATTTGAGCTAGAGAAAGGGCCAAAAATAGCCCAATGGACGAATATTATTAGACCGGTCCAAGTTTAAACCTTCGCGGCTACCCCTTTCTTCTTCGCTTTGGTTTTCCAGGAAAGGCTTCCTCCTCCCGCCTCCACCGCCCCAGCTCCGTCCATTCCACTTTCACTCCGGGAACCCTCCGGGGACACCACAGTATCTGTAAACTCACTTTACCGACACTTCAACCACCAGTTCAATGGACAAACAGCTCTCATCCGTCACCAAAGATGTAAGCTTTTCTTTTTGAGCTTAACGAATTTGGAAAACGTAGGGAATATATGTATGTTTTTGCGATGAATTTCAGCTTTCACTTACTTAAATATGGTTTAGGAGTTTGTTTTGAAGATGTTGTGTATAATAAGTCCGGAGGTATTTTTAATTGACGGTTTTTTTTCCTCCTTATGTAAATAAACATTTGATTAGGTTGCTGTGGAGATGGTGAAATTGGCTCAGAAAAGGGGAATGGAGGGTAGCAAAGGTGGGTGGAAAGAGTTTTTGAATTTTTACGATAAGAAAATTGGCGCCAGCTTGAGCGACCCTTCTAAAAGGCCCCTTGATACATTGCTAGCCTTTCTTAAATCATTCACCAAACATGAGGACCTGAAGGTAAAGTCTGTTGTGTTTTCTTCCTCTTCTTCTTTTTTGGTCTGTGCATTTCGCCATAGTTATGAACTTTTATGGTCTGATATGTAAAAAGTTTATATGCAAAATTTTCAGTTCTTTGAGAAACTTTTGGAATGCCATTCCAACCGTGATCAAGTAGCTCAAGTTCAGAAAGCTTCTGTGGATGCTGAATCACCTGAACAGGTTCATTTTCATTGCAAATGAAAGACGATTTTTTTTTTTTTTCTTTACAAGCTTTTAGCCTTTTGAAGAGCTAGTAAATAGGAATATGTTAAGGATTTGTAGAATGCCTCAGATTCGTTTTTATGGTTGTTGTTAATATTAGTATTATTATTTTTCTGGAAATAAAGGAGATTCTGTTTTGGCAGTGCAGAGGTTGGTTCGTTTGACTCTAGAGCATTCTCAGTACCCGATTGATTATACATTCCCGTCGCACGAGGAGGTTAGAATTGGAATTTTAGTTATAGTCTTGTTCATTGTTATTTATGTTTTCATACTTCATGTTCGTTTCTTTTTCTGTAACCTACTTGCTGGTATAGAAATTCGTGCAAATACTAGGATGAAAAAAAAAGAAGGATTTTACTTGGACTGTAACTTAATATCACCACGTTGAATATGATACTGGTTCTTGGTTTTCCAGCTTTGACTTTTTTTGCCGAAAGTTCTAGCTAGTTTGCGTCATCCATTCTTGAAAAAGTCCAATTTTGTCTTGTCTCTTTGCATGTGGGGAGTAGGATTGGTTGGTAATAAAGCGTAGTAAGAAGGCCAAGGCTGTGAAATCTACGAAGATGGTTGCTGTTGATTGTGAGATGGTTCTTTGTGATGATGGCACCGAAGCTTTAGTGAGGGTCTGTGTTGTTGATCGTGATTTGCAGGTATATTTTATGTGTTTAGGTGTAGGACCTCATAGACATCTTTACAACATACAGATTGTGTCTCTTGATATTTTAGTTTGGCATATTGTGCATTCCTTTTGGCCCCTTAAAATGGATGAAGATGATTCAAGTTAGAATTTTTCAGGTTAAATTGAATAAACTCGTCAATCCCAATAAAGAGATTGCGAATTACAGAACTGAGATTACTGGGATCACTTCAAAAGATTTGGATGGAGTGACTTGTACATTGTCTGATATACAGGTATATTTTTTGGATTGGTGAATTTTGCGAGATTATGCCTTATTTTTGCTTCCTTGAAGGTCATTCTTCAACTCTCTTGTTCCTGCAGAAATCTATGAAAAAACTCCTATCTCATGGAACTATATTAATTGGTCACAGTTTGAACAACGATCTTCGAGGTATGTTCTGTTATTTGACCTAATTCTTATGTTCTCATTGTTAATCTTTTTCCTTTTGTTTTGGGAAAGATAAGAATGGTGTTGCTTTAAATATTGCAGCATTGAAGATTGACCATGCACGAGTAATTGACACTTCTTACATCTTCAAGGCTGAGGATGGGCCTTCTAGCAGAAGACTTTCTCTGAGTTCCTTGTGTAAGGTAAGATGGTGCCGCTGAATTGTTTTCAACATGCCATGAATTCAATATCTAGAACCATGTTTATGTTCCTTAGTAAGTTAACTTGAAGTCGTGAACAAATGAGACGAGAAAGAGAAAAACGAATTTACCTTGTTAACGGTGTAGAAAAATACTTTCATGTTTCTGCATGATGAATACTTATTTGTCGGAAAGGGCTCGTGACTCTTATTGAGAACTGTCAATGCAGTGAATCTATATAAGACATAGTATTAGGAACAAATCAAGATTTGTCTTCTTAAACAGAATACCTATCAATCCTTTTTTGCAGTCTGTACTAGGTTATGAGCTTCGGAAAATGGATGCTTCACATAATTGCTTAGATGATGCTTGTGCAGCAATGAAACTTGTTTTGGCCAAAATTGAACGGGGTGTTGACACTATAATTCCACTGGCTAATGATGAAGTAAGTGCAAAAACTTCAGGATTTGGTTTCTTGAATGAGCTATGAATTCTGAATTCATTTCATTTCCTTAATGTAGGTGCACGATGTGGATTTGACTAAGCTTCTAGTCCATGGAATTCCAGTGAATCTTAACAGTGATGATCTGCATGAAGTTATTCCAGGGGAGTTTACAGTTGAAGTTAAGGTCAGAATAGTTATACTCTCTCAGTCTTTTGCGTAGGTCATGCTCCTTGAAATTTAATTGTAATGATATATACAATATAAAACGGGTATGTGTTCCTCTATGGTCCGTTCTTAAACTATCCTCCTTCATTGCTGCGCTTAAAAGAAGTGAGCAATGCTGTTGTTCAGAAAGTTGTATGTTCCCGGTAATAAATAATTTCAGAAGACTTTACTCTTTTTCGATTCTTATTTCATCTTATTGTTGGGGAGGGCAGAGGAGATGTACATTTTTTTTTTTTTTGGTGAAACAACTAGAGGGTGTTTGGGGTTATTGTGCAATGAATATTTGAATTCTCTTCCAATTTTGTGCAACTTTCTGGGATTGCTTGCTTATCTAAGTTTCTGGCAGGCTAATAAAAAAAGGGTTCAAGGAGTGAAGTATACTGCCTTTGCAATTTTCAAAAATCAGCAAGAAGCAAACAAAGCATTCGATAACCTTGAAGGGAAACTTGATAAGGTACCAGGCTATCCTGTTACTTAGTGCAGTCTTTAACTAGATTCCTGTTTTTGTTTTTCTTCATCAGAATATCAGCTCCTGTGGTTGACAGAATTGCAGTAGTTTGGTTGGCTTTTTTATTTTTGCCGAAAATAGCTAAAATCTAAAGGAAACTTATACTGCTCCTCTATAGTTTTTGTGTGTTCACTTAAATTTCAGATGAAATGGAAAAGAATGCACAGGCAGTGTCTACTGCCAATTTTTTTGATTGATTTTTACTTGTTGTGAATGCCAAAAAGGATTTTGGTCATGTTCAAATTCGTCTTACTAATATAGACAATGAATTCTCCAATTATTGGACTTACCATGTGTTTCAGATTCAATCTCCTTTGCACTAATGATATGCGTCTATCTTTATCTAGGACACCTCTGGACGTGTTCAGAAATTAGTATCCTTTAAACTCAGTAAAGGAAATGTCGGTAGCTTGTATGTTCGTAAAATGGCTAATGATTCTCCTGGACCAGATGCATCCAAGAAGAGGTCACTTGAATCTGAACTTACCTTAGATGTTTCGAAGAAATTAAGGACTGACCAGGATTGCAGAATGGTTGAGGAGAGTAAGCACACAGATACTTGTGAGAATCATTTGAAAGAAATTGAAAGATTGAGGGAAGAGCTAAAAAAACGGGATGCGGAAATTTCCAGCTTGAACAAGATCCTTGTTGCTCTGACAAGGAAGCAAGGACTTTAAGTTGAAGTACAAGACTTGTCATGCCTGATTAGATAGAAGCACATCATTTCAATCTGCACTAAGTTGGGATATTATTCTTTTTAAGTTGGGATGTTACTGAGGCTCTGGTTGGCTGGACACAAACTTGATGCTGCATGCTCTGCCAAGACTATTTCAGATGAACGGTTCTGTTAACGTTGACTGATTTGTCCTGTGCTAGGTTCCTGGAGGAAATGTTACCATACGTGATATAGGAACAGCCTGCTTTGTAGCATGGCAGGATTTTTTGCTGGGAAAAAAATATTCAAGAGTAAAAACGTTACCTTTCCTCTCCATCTTGTATGAAATGGAGCTCTAGCTAGCGTTCTAGGAACCTTTGATTGTCTTAATATTGTCCAAAACTCTCTATTTTGTAGATTTTCTTATTGAGATTTTGTAATTGAAAGTGAAAACCTTTGTTTGGTAGATCTTCTTATTTAACTTCTGTTGCTTCAGGCAGTTTACATATTATAATCCGACAGCTAAGGTGCCATTCAGCAACTGTTGACCTCGTTCGTGACTACTCAACTCCTTTTACTATTCCTGCCTTTCTAACATTTATAGTCAGATAACTTAGTACAATTATAGTTCAACAAGGTGAATTGTGAATATAGGACGGATAAGAGTATGTAAGATAATACAAGAAAACTTTTAACCTTCGGTGGAGTTTGCATCAGAACAATATTTGATTGAGGGACATTTCAGATAGTTTACTGCTTTTGCTGGTTCAATGGTGATAAACTTTTTGAACAAAAGAGGAACTGCCTACGATTTATGACGAAATCATGACCTCTTGAAGGCCTAAAAGGAAAATTGGATTACGGAGACATTGGAAAAGAAATCGTCAAGAGAAATGACTACATTAGTATACATCAAATGTAATTCCTTTTTTTAATCAGAAGTCAGTTTGCTTGATTTGCAAAAATGGAAGCTAGAGCAAACTAATTTCAAAACAATTACAGTGGTCCGGACTTTGGAACCACCCAAAATGAAAAAACATAATACTACTAATTATTCATCTGTTTAAGATATTTGATGATTTGGAAACAAGTATGCCAGCAATTGAACCTAATGCTAACCAAGAACCACCTCCCCAACCAAGAACTCTGCAATTCACTCACTTTCATAATCCTCCTCATCTCCAAAGCTGAAAACAGAAGCATCTGCTGCAATGGCCTTTATATCCCCAGAACTGTCACCAAATCTCATTTCTTTAGCAGTATTTGATTCCTTGCTCTCAAGTGAAAGTTGTTCAGTGTTATGGGTTAGGGAGGCAATTTGATTGCCTGCAGTACCGGATTCAGGGGGTGCAGAAGCTACACCAGCAGAACCTGAAGCTGCATTGCTTGTGCTTCTCCTCGAGGGCGCGGATTCCTCTGCTTCATCATCTGAAAAGACATCATCATCATTATCTTGTTTTGCAGGTACCTCAACCTGAGCAGGCTTGACATCATTCCTACTAGTTGCCGTTGAATGACTTCCTCCTGCTCCATCTGACCCTTTAACTCCTCCACAATCAGCAGCTTTACTTTTCATCGGAAGTGTACCGTTATAGTCTATCATCACTATCTCAACTTGAAATCCAGGTGACGGCAATTTCCTCTGAGCAAAATGACAAGTTTACAAACAATAGGATTTAAAGAGAAAAGAGAGAAATTGTCAATGAGTAGATTTTGCAGAAAAATCAGTACAACCCATACAACACATAACACTGTCGCATAGGATGAAAGCAGAAGATGAGCTAGAGGAACACTTCAGTTTCAGAGACTTCGAATAGCAACGAAAGTAGAGAACATAATGGTATCTTTACCTTATCAAATCCATCAAGTTGAGAGGCATCTAAAATCAATCTGTTTTCCATCATTGTAGTATTCAACCAACTGCAGAAAGGAAACAACTTATAACATATCAAAAACATTAATTACATCAACTCCAAAAGAAAACAGGTTGTCGGTAACTCAAGAGTTCCAAGCACGCTTCGAAGTTAATTATGACAGAGAAAACTTGCAAGGTACAACAGAAAAAATCTAACAGGATAGTGTAAACTGAAACGTAGGGACTAATCATAGAGTCAAAACAGTAAACAGACCAATAAAAGTCTCCTTGGCCTTCGTGAAAAGTAATTTTGAAGTCCCCAATCAGTTCTGTTAAGCCCGGTTCCCCAGGTAGAGCAAAGACAACAATCCCTTTCTTTGCAGAGCGCAACCAAAAGTATTCAGGCTGCATAAGTGTTGAAGGAAAAAGTGGTTACCATTTCAGTCTCATAAAAACCAGGCAGAAACTCCAAATAGAAGGGATTCTCAAGAGGTGAATGCGAAATTCAGTAATCAGTATGGAAACTGCAAAAATCTACTTATAAACCCGAAGAACTGGAGGGATTGATTATCCAAGTTACCATGAGGTCCTTTGTCTTAGGATGCTTTTTAGTTGTAAATAGAACTCCTGCAGACGAGTACACATGCCTATTAGAGTTTAGTGAAGCAGCACCTAGTGCATTCATTAATATGCAACTGCATACCGCTATGATTCGATATGGTGATGGAAGGTCTGATCCAATAAGGACAGTTATGCAGTCGAAACCCCCTCAGCATACACCTGCAAACAGAAGTGGCGTTTTTAAGCTTTGATGACACAAATAGTTGCATTTCCAAAGTAATCATTTGAAGAGTACCTACGTCCAGGAGGAGTTTCACCATTGAAATGCATCATGATGCGCTCAAAATACTTCACATATCTCTAAGAGAAAGTAAAAAGATAAAAGAAAAGGTCAGATAACATATTCATATCAAAATTTTCACAGGTGCATAATGTAAGCGACTGACAATCTGGCTGGGGAGAATTAGACCCTTTCCATCAACACATCTTTTCTGGTTATAATACTCAATGCATTCCTCAGCTGTGGGGAAAAACTGCAAACCAGAAGACAGGAGTGACATAACTTATGGAAAAGTTTATCATGAAGCGACGGCGTGTTCAAGCAGATTAAAACAGGATCTTACCTTTAAGAACAGAAGAAGACTACAGATCATCAATCCTGTCCTTGCCATCCCAGCTTTGCAATGGACAACCACCACATTTAGAATGTCTTCCTTCAACCATGAATAAGCACTATGGCAGAACAATTTGATAAGATGAATAGGAGGGCAATTGTGATCATCAAAAGGGAAACTAGCAACCTGCACAAGTATAATATGAACCAAGTACAGTTAGTTTAATTCGAGAAAATGCGAAACATGTACGAGGCAACTTAGGAATCACAGAAACAATACTCAGAACTTGGTTAATTCACCTTATTGCTGGTGAAAAAGGTAAAAGTGACCTATGCCAAGTGCAAGTTTAAAAAAAAACGTTATGCAAAGAACATACCTTTCCCTGAAACAGAGAAGCATCATACAGTCTCTCTGAACAAAGATTGTATACTTTGTACTTCCCCTACACAGAGAAGGAGTAAGTAAGACATATGGAACTGCAAAAGTCAGTCAGAAAAAAGAATACCACTGTTTGCTAGAATGCTGACAATAGATTTCATCAGAAGAGCTGATAAGAGTAGATACAGTAATTAATGGGTTACCTTGTGATGAGTTTCAAAGAATTTGATCACCTCTTCCATGTGATTTCGGTAGAAACCCTGCACAATTTCTCTACGAATTATACTCAACAAAATCAATAAATTTTTTGACCGTGGGTCTCACACAGAAACCATAATTAACTTCGTATCGTACCTCAACAAATCCAAAAAATCCAGAACTCATATCTCCAGCAGGAAATCCCATTGCAATAATGTTCTCAGTTATATAGGTCATATCCAAATCAAATCCTCCTTCCTAGAAGAAACAAAGGAATAAGTTACAAAGTAGAAATATGTCAATCTTTAAGTCAATTAAGTGGATCACAGTGAAAAGTCATTGTTAAACGAAGCGAGACCGTGCCAATCAAACTAATGATATAACAGCCAAATTCAATCAATATTGAGTACAGTTTGCTACCTACTTCAACGAACTTCAGAATTAAATAATAAAAGAATGCTAATTGTTGATCAAAAAGTAAGGAAAAATAATAGAAGCTGAGGAGAAAATTAACATTCTCAGCTAACCTGGTATCTTCGCTTGTTCTGTGAAACAACATGGCGCGCCTTAAGTTGCACTGCCTTAACCGCACCCAGAGATGAATCAACAATGCCTTTAGTGAAAGATTCAAAAACACCCGATTGTCCATTAGCAGATTTGCCTTCTGCACTTTCATTTTGCTTGGAAGGAAAACTTAACCCGAATCCACTTGTTAGACGTGAAAATGCAGATTTAGCAGAATTTCCTTCTTGTGAACTCGGTGACGATGTGGCTAGGGGTTGCGGAAGCTTAAGACCTTTCGCCCAAGAAGATATGGCTGAGGTGGACAACACAGAAGTAGTGTCCTGGACGGGGGCATCATGTTCAGCGGGAGTGGGTTTACGAGGCTCAACATCAGCATCCTTAACAGATTGAGGATTAGCTGAATCACCAGAATCAGGGTCCATTCTGGAAATCAAACAAAAGGACCATAACAAAGATAGGATCAACATAGCTTTTTATTCCAATTTCCAAATTAGAATTGAGTAAAAGAAATAGCCAGGGCATCGTTTAGAAGCATTATGACGAAATATACAACAAAACAATGAAAAATATTAATCATTCATCTTCTCGGACTCATACACAATTAGCTACCACTCCACATCCCCCCAGTATATACTCATATACAATTAAAAACCAGAGCCATTACCCAAATCGTTTCCCTACTCTCCCTAAGCCAACAACAATTATAACAGAACAACACTAATATCATCGTTTTCAGATTCGTACTTACCATCATTTGATTTCAATCCTAAATAAGCTGTGAATTAAATCGGACAATCACTAATACAAACTTCACTTCATCAACCACCAACATGTTGCGCTGAATAAATTGATTACCAATCAATTCTATAATTCGATGAGTAAAGATCAAGCGGCAAAAACTGATCGGAGAGCGAAATCGTGAAATGCGGAGACAATGCGGATCGATACGGTGGTGAGATTGCTTACCGTTTTTCAAGGTGGAAAGTGTGAATGAAGGGGGAGATCCAGGAAAGCCTTCGTTCTGATCTCTGTTTTGCTTCGATGAATAGATTGAATGACTGAGAGTTTATCTTTTCTTGTTTGATTCAATCTTTAGCGATTACTGCTATCATAACATTTTCTCGGGTCGAAGAATTTCGGAACTTTGAAATGTAATGGAAGTGGTAGTGGGAGGATGGAAACTATGGGGAGTGTATTTTGGTAATTTCGGTTTCTGAGTTGTGGTTCAATGTGATAGACTCTACGTTAGTAGCAATGCATTCGCGCCACGAATTTTATTTTATTTTATTTAGTAAATGATAAATTGTACTGCTCAACTTTTTTTTTTTTTTTTGCATGGCTCAATCTACTCGCTGAGTTATTACGTCACAACAAGTGACAAAGGTTACATCTCCGTCAACACATCAAGAAATCTACTAACTTAACTGCTAAACTTTACCTACCAAAATTGTATGTCTAATGTATAATTCATACAAACACTCGAACAGAATGAATAAACAGTACTAATTAATCCACTATATGCAGTTTTCACTATCTTTCAACCTTGAACATATATATTGTCCTTGTCCTCCATTTAAGTTTGTGTTTGATCTCTAAAACCATATGTTCAACATTGGGATGTTTGCCTTAAGAGATCGCTTCCACAAGTGATAAACTACAGTTGGCAGAACTGTTAACAATATGTGTAGTTTAATTTTCTTCCATTTGCAAATATATAGTATTCTCCATTCAAAATTTTCCCCCATTTGCAAATATAGAGTAATCTTCTCCAATGTTTAATGGCCGAAAATTACTATTAAATGCTCATGTCCAGAAATGATATATCATACCCACATATTAATTCTTATACATTACAAATGTGTATAAATGTCAAATATTACAACACCCGTTATGTGTTTGATAAATTCACCTCTTAAACTCACGAAGATATAATAATAATAATAATACACAAATACGACATTCGAACAAAAAATCATGTGAAATTAAGTGTTCAATAACAAAATCAATTTCTCGCGCACTGTTTATTCACACCTTTGCAAATCACAAATTCCTTGAATATCATGAATACAACAAGGAGAATGGGTTTTATATATACATATCATATATATATATATATAGACTTTTTAGTCAAAGTTTCTGGATCAACAATAAAATCGATGAACAAAATTCGCTTGAAAACATTGACATGTCTTTTTTTTAATTCGATGTCTAAGTTGATGAAAGCAAAAGTTGCAAGAAAATGTGTTCGTCAACATTGTAGTTTTAGTGTTCTAACACAACAATAAAGTCGACGAAACAAAATTTTTTATGAAATCATTCTTGTCTATTTTTTTTGTCGGCTTTCTTAACATGATGATAAAGTGGGCAAATTAAAATTTCTTAGAAAACATTTACGTCATCAACATTGTCATTGACTCTCTAAACTCGACAATAACGTCGACCATAGCAAAATAATCTCGTCATGTTTATTAACACGATGTAAAAGTCGGCAAAATAAAAATTGACTTTTAAATATTTTGTAGACTTTCACAACCAACGATAATGTCGAGGGAAGCAGAATTTTATTCCATATATTTGGATTAATTTCACAAACCCAACAAGTAGTTCGACAAAAGCAAACTATCATGTAATTATTCACCACAACGACTATAGTACCAACAGGATGGAAATTTATCTAGTTAAAACCTCTAGGTTGATTTTATTGTTTTTCTTCTCCCCTTAAGGGAGGAAATTGACATGATGCAAATTTTTCAATAAACTCGTTTATACTTTACTAGATGTTGAACCCGCACATGTTACAATACTTTTATTAATTTTTTTATGAAATATAAAAATGTTTGTTACATATGCATAAATCTTGTGAAGTATTAATTACTAAAATTTTGGACAAAGTAAAATGTGATACATGAAAAAATAATTAGATATGACGGAATTAACGTTCTAAAAAAATATAAGGCGCATACTACATGCTTCTTGATTGACACTGGACAAAGCAATAACATTCAAAACCACAAAAGCAAAAGGGGATCCGGGGTAACTAAATTACTCTACATCAAAGTTGACAGTTACCCTTATTGCAATTAGAGAAATCCATTGATGTGGTCTGCGAAACATGTTTAAAAAAAGAGTTTGTATAGTATTATATTAACAGCCTTTCCGAGAAGCTTTGCTCTTTTTTAAAGTTCATGATAAGTTTTATTTCTTTTTTTTTTTTTGTCTCTTCAAATGCAGTCGCTATGGCCTGAAATACCACCATTATCATAAGTCAACGTAGAGGGCAAAAATAATTGTGAGAGAGAGAGAAAGAGAGAGATTAAAATTTTACCTTGACGATGGCACATATTGATAGGTTATATATAGCTCTAAAAGTTTATCATCCCCGAAGTTTTTGGTATAATTGAATTGAAAATTAATTATAATTGATACGAAATCCGGTAATTGAGTATGATACACACTTTGTTACTTTAAAATTCAAATTCAAATTTTATCATTAATTTTATTTATTATTTTCTATATCCGGTTAAATGACTCTAATTACGTTATTAAATGATGTTTAAATTTGAAAATAGAGTTTAAATGCTAATTGCCCAATTTGTTATATACCAAAAATAGTAGGTTGTCATAATCAAAATAAAAATTATATAAAATATTAACACATTTAATGCTCATAATGATAATAAATTATTTTAAATTTTTAAAATTTATTATGAGCCAAGATTTTGCAAGAATAATTCTCCATGAATAATTCTCCTTCCGAATTAAATTAATCAATGATAATTATTTCCTATTCTTGTTTCCTATTGAGCCGTCCATTAATATAAAATTATAGGTGTGATTTTTTTCATAAATTCTTAAGAACTTGTAGTGTAAATGTATAAACTATTTTTTTTTGATAATTTTTATAAAAATGCCACATATGATATAATTTTTATAAAAATGCCACATAAGACCACATAGGATAAAATCTTATGTGGCACCTTTAGAATTTTTTTTTTGTTTCTCTCTCTAGTTTCTCTCTTAGTATAATACTATACATACTATAGATTTGAATGAAAATTTTTATAGTTCTTTAATTGGTTAGTTGACCAAGGGTTAATGGGAGATAATGTTGTATTACTAAAAGTTGAGGTGTCTTTTGTTAAAGGCCACAACTTGGAGGAAAATAAAATGTAGTCCCCATCAGAAGTTTTAACAAACATATGTGGGGCAAATTTCATACGCAGTGAAAATTTATAGTTGAAAAAAATAGTGATTGACGTGTACATTTATTTTTGTTGTCGTTTTGCCGTTGAAATTTTATTTTCAACAAAAAATTTACACTTTTACCTTAAAATATTACAACAATGATACAACCAGAAAAAGTATAGTGAAAACTAATAGTGACTGATGTATGTTTGCTAATTAAAGGTAGAAGTGTAATTTTCTAAAGGTAATTTCTACTAGAAAGTAGGTATTCCCTCTGCCCTAAAATTATTGTCTAGTTTGGGTTTTCACTTTTAATTCATTTTGTACTATAAATGAAAATTTAAACTGAACAATAATTATGGGACGGAGGGAGTACAAAATAGGGAGCCAACTCAGTCACTATTTATTTTCACTGTATATAGTCAATATATGTATCATTTTCCTAAATATTAGAGATAAAGACAATGACAAATTGTAGTGAAATGGAATAGTGACTAATGAAAAAAAAATACACATCCTCACAAAATATGTGTACTTATTAATTAGGAATAAAAATGTAATTTTTAGAAGAAAATAAAATTTTAACGGGTAAATAACAAAAAATTAAGAGTCAAAAATACTCCACATCACTCACTATTTTTTCACTATACATATCATTTTCCATATTATATAGATCAGTCACTTACATTTTCACTATAAATATCTTCATATCATTTTCCATATTATATAGATCAGTCACTTTTTTCACTATAAATATCTTTCACTGATTCTATTATTACTGAATTTTATTTTTTCCAACACTATAAAAAGGAAGGAGGAATTGAGTGAGACGTCCAAAGAATAGACATTACAAGGAAAATCTACTGCTTCAGCCTTCGAGTACTGCGAAACAAAAGCCGCCTATGATGGCCACGCCTCCGGCCCCGGCCAAGGGCACCGCCGCGGCCACTGCCACTGCCACTGCCACTGCCACTCCCACGGCCGCGGCCACCTTTCAACACCGCGTTCCTCCTAGCGACGATGATTGCACATCGGAGGCCTTTATAAATCCAACCCTTTTACGGTGGATGAGAGCCCTTGCCCGAGGTTACCAAAGCCTGCTAGATAAGTGGAACCCTTACGTTCTTAACCGGTGGATCGCATCATCTATACTCCTAATTGTGTATTTTCTGAGGGTTCTTTATCTCCGAGGCTTCTTCGTAGTCTCCTATGGACTCGGTATTTACCTGCTCAGCCTTTTGATCGGTTTTATTTCCCCAAAAGTCGACCCGGATCTTGAGGGCCCAACCCTGCCCACCCGGAGCTCCGATGAGTTCCGCCCTTTTGTCCGTCGACTTCCGGAGTTCAATTGCTGGTGCGTTTTCTATTCGCACTTTTCATCATTATTATTATTGTCTAGTTCGTAAATTTGTTTTTCTTCTCAGTGTCTTTAGGATGCTGTAAGTTTTTTAGAACTGTGTTATTGATTTTTTTTTCTTTAATTTTCTGATAAAAGAACAGATATATATTGCTAGAGTGGTCTTTGGTTAAATAATAATTATGATTGGCTGACCAACCTTAACATTTTGATCATAATATAGTGCCATTGACCAAATATCCAGTAACTTTATACATCCAGTGTTAATTTTATGTTTTAGAGTACTTGGGACTTTTTTTATTTTAATGGTTATGCAGAATTCAACAACAGTTGCCTTTTGCTTTCAACCGTTGTTGTTGTTGATGTTGGGTTTTTTTTTTTTTCCTTCCCATATCTTATCCGGTGTTAATTCGGGACGGAGGGGGTATTAAGTTTAAGTGGCCTGATTAGGGTTTAAAATTGGTGTATGCTTACCGAAATGTCACCTAATTCTGTTCTCATTTTTTTAGGCATATTCTATGTTTGGCCATTTTATATGTCATATCGTATGTCCTATTTTCCGTTTCTTGCTTGGAAAGAATGCATATTCTAAGGTTCTTGCCCACGGATTGGTATTATACTGTTACCTTAACTGGGCTGCGTAGGTTGGCAGAGTCAGTAAGGATAAGTTTATTCTTCTTCTTACATCTTGAAATTTTAGAAGATAGATTTCAGCCCTGGTTTTGTAGTGCTAACTGCGAATTTTTTTTTCCATATGTATTCAATTTCTCATAATTCTTGATTTAACATGAGAAAGAAATTACTGTCCAATTAAATAAATAGGCATAGACATTTCTTTATTCTTTGTTTTCTTGATTTTGATGAATTACTGTTGCTTTTGGTTTAAAGGTACTCATTTACCGTAGCAGTCTGCATCGCATTGGTATTGACGTTCTTCAGTGCACTGGATGTTCCTGTTTTCTGGCCATTACTGGTCTTTTACTGGGTTGTTCTGTGCATACTTACTCTGAGGAAACAGATATTACACATGATGAAGCACAAGTATGTGCCGTTTACAGCTGGGAAGAAGGTTAAATTTATCCCCTCTTATGTCAGATATTGTTCTATTCATTCCATTGAAGTTAGTCTTGAACTATTGTTCAGTTATGTCTTAGAAATTTATTCTTTTCCCCAGACGTATGGCAAGAAGAAATCTCATTCATCGGAGAATGTGAGCCTTTCGGCATAGGCAGACATGCAGGTTACTATATTCTTTTAGAATTTTCTTTTCTCTTGTAGCGCACTTTGTAAGGTTACAATTTCTCAACTGATGCAGATTTCTAAATACATGTTTCAGTGGCGCTACACCATATTCCCTGGGAAGCTGGAGATTTTACAGGAGAAGGGACCAACTATGGGATAATACCATCACCTATTCTAGTGAGAACTTTCTGTATAGATGGAACTTAGAAGTAGACTTGGTTCCTAACTAAATTAGTGCCTATATAATGATATCTTTTGTCTTAGGAGTTTGTCTAGCATGCATAATATGCTGACATCAAATTGGAAAATCAAGTCCATTTGGGGTAGCTTAACTAGTCTAGCACTTCTGACTTGTTAAAGAATGGAAAATACTGTGTTAAAGAGGTAAATTTTGCAGCTGCTTTGGATTTTACAAAGGATGCAAGCTCTCTTTGCATTAACAGTTTTAACTATTGGCATTTGACCGGTACCATTCTTCTTTATAAGTTTATATTGCTAATTCTAGCGCAAGCTCGTCCCAGCAATCGCATTAAGTTACTCTTTCGGTCTCAAAATGAAAATGGATGTCATGTTTGTTATATTTTGGGAGAGAGGAAGTATATGTAGTTGGTGTACCGCATCTTTGTAGTAAATGACACAAAGCAATCCAATCCACTCTTTATACTTGGGTAGTACATGTAAAACACACTCACTAGTTCTCAAAATCATTTCGGGTTGGAAGCATCAAAGGGCAATGAATAAAAAAGACTCTGCGTCTCTGCTTGGAAGCATCAGAAGGACACAAGATCATTGGTGGTCTGTGATAGCCATAAACTCCAATCATATAGACCCACAACAATCTGTATAGTGTATAGCAATTTTGTCTTCGCAACATTTGATGTAGACAGTCCCCTTCAGAAGTTCCTTAAGATGGTGGTCTGTAATAGCCATAAACTCCATAAAATGTTTGTGCAAACGTTAGCACCAGTAAGACCACAGCAGCAACAACTGAGATAACTGCCCAAGGGTTATTGAAATATTTATGGCAAAGAGTTGCCCGCCAAGTGTTCCATCTATGATCGCAATAGCGGTTTACTTGCCCCGATAACGGCGAAAGATAACTGTCACTTATGTCGAAAACCACTTCTTGGCACAGTCGATTAAACAGGTCAGCTACTTCAGCATCACTACCAAGCCAATGCTCAATAATTCCGTAATGATGTAGAATGCTCACATCTTCGGGGGAGTTGATCAAGTTATCCATGAAGATCACATACGATGTAATGTAATTGGTGCTGTCAAGATGACATTGTTCGAAGGCGATGAGGTTGAGAAAAAGGGACATCGTACCATCATGGATTAGAAGCCGAGGAATCTTGAGGACTCCATCCTTGAATTTGACATCCCAGAACCGGTCTGTTTTCCGTTTCTTAAAGTTAATTCCGGCTTCTCTCAACTCTGTGACACAGTGAATGAGCTGCTGCCGGCGCTTATCTGCAACCCGGTGGGAATTAGACCATTTCTTCACCCAAACTTTTGGAGTTGGTTGAGGCCCTGATCTCAGTAGACTCCTCCGGAAGACATCCAGGCAATGTACCCCTCCAAAGTCTGCTAGTGGATCAAAAGCAGAGGTATGTCCCATAGAAATTTCAAGTTTATGCCTATCACTTTTACTCAAAGGCTCATCAGTCGGCGTTAAAGGATCGAAAAACCTTAAAGCAAGCTTGCTTACAATGCCTTTAAGATCAGGCTGCCCAACTTGAATGCCAAACAGACGATCCAGTACAAACAGAGGAATTTGATTCTCCAGCATTATCATATCCCTTTGAATGGAATGCATTGATCCACGCATCGAGAAGATGGGATCACTTCTCGAATACCCCAATTGACTGAACCCTTCCGCGACACCGCGAAACAGCTCCAGAATGAAACAACCATCAAGGACCATCATTTCCACGAACTCATCACTGCTGAGGCAAATCTGTCCTTCATAACAAGCCCGAGCTCTTTCTTCGAGTTCTTTCACTGCATCAAGATATAGTTTTATGTCGTGATTGGTCCTCTGGAGGATATGTGAAACAGCGCGCCATTTGTGAGGATCCATGTTTCGTAGTCTTCGCTTGTTGTGATGATAAGGTCCTAATGAAACAATCTGAGGAAGAAAACATTTGTCATTTCCCTCTCGCAAATATTGAGGTATTCTGTAAATGCAGAGTTTGGACCAAGTATTTGCACTATCATCTTGGTAAGCATGATCCAGTTTTTGCCTGATGCTAATCACCCAATCAGATTCTGGTGATTTGGGACCTTCTTCAACTCTGGCAGTTTCATCTTTGATCACTACTTGCAATGAATCAGAGGGTTGATGCTTTTCTTCCTGCAGCTGCTGTTGAGGTGGTGGTTGGGGCTCTGTAAATTCAATTGATCTCGACGTAGAGGCGCCGGATGTCGCCGGATTTTGACCGTCTGGAACTCCGGCTCCGACTGTTTCATTGAGTTTTAGTGTGATCAGATACCAACTCAGAAGATCTTTGTTGAACACAGCAACCATTTTGTGGTTGATGAGTTTGATCTAATCTGTACTTTTTCTGAGTTTCTCTATTTGGAGATGATAATGATTAAGGAACAGAAGCTTGAACATTATGATTTCTTTGGGGAATCTTAGACCTTTAAAATAATGGAATCAAACACGTTGCTTGTGTACAATAAATGGGGTAGATCATCTTGGCATAATTCTGAGACGTTGGAGTTGACCCAATCCAACTCTACTGCCCACATGCCCTCTATAATATCTTTGAAACACGAAATCCTAGTTGTCATTGCTTGTTTCTTCTACTTTAAACATTTAGTCGTTGAATTGGGGGATTCGCGAATAAGCAGATGTGCATCTTGCAGTAAATTTTGAGTAACAAATGATATTCTCGATACAATAAACGTGACTTTTTTTTTTAGGGGGAAAAGAAGTATGTATTAAAAAAAAGATACCGATTACTATATAAAGTCAGTTTTCCTGACCTACCAAATGTTCATTCGGAAAGGGAAATTGGTAATCGCGAATTTAAAACCTACCTCTTACTCACATTATTATACACATTGATGTTCTGAGTTAACATCACCATTTTTCAAAGGCAGAATTGTGAACCAAATTTGAGTTCAAACTATTTGGTGAAAATTACAGATTAAAAATAAATAAACGAAAGGCGGCCTGAAAGTGTTTATACTTTGCTGTTACAGAATATCCAAATCTTGATGTGACACAATACCCGCTGGGAATTGGAAATTCATTTCTTCAGGTCCATCTTTCACGCTTCAGCAACTATTTTTTCCCCTTTTAATTTTTTTTTTGGGGGACCCCTCTAGTCTCGTGCACGTTTTAGCCCGATAACTATGACGACCTTGAATAATTTGTGGATAAAATGTTCAAGGATTTGTATATTTGACGTTGCAGATTTGGCAATTACATTTGCAACCACTATCTATGCTGAATTTGAACCTTGTGACATCAGTAAAACCTCCTATAACACACTTTTGGTGGTAGGCGTCCTCTAATGCTGTAACATCACTTGGAACGTGTCTTTTTGAATACTATACTGTGTCACAAGTTTTTGCGTTTAAATCGATGTCAGTCCAAAGTTGTCCAGTAATACCTTGCTTACACAGATTAGAGGTAAATGGAGAATTGTACTGAAAACCATCATCAATTCTATTTGAAATCCCGGTTGAATTTTCTTTGAAATCGTGAATATGACTGATAATCTTTTTCCTTGACCTCTAAACAAACAGATAGACATCAACAAGGAAGAAAGACATCATAATGCATGCCGTAGGAGTACAGTGTAATCATCATTGCTTAAAGCAACCTAGGAGAATGAATTCATGCTCAACTGAAACAATCAACAGAGTACATTTACTTTTTTATTATTTTTTAATTTCTGACATTAATAAAAATGTTCCCCTCCCGTCCGAAATTATTGACTAGTTTAGATTTTTATTTTTAGTTCAAATTGTACTACAAGTGAAAATTCAAACTGGACAATAAGTTTAAGACCGAGTGAGTAGTAGGAACTCCAATCACAACTGCATTATAAGCTCTCAGGCTTGACTCATACTCCCCGTCTCTAGAATAAAAGAGTTTTATTTGTTTTACAGTTTTCGGAAAATTTTTATTACGGGTGTAAAACTTTTAAAATTTTTACAAAGGGCGTTCAAATTCTTTAATGTATTGAATGTAACTTTTATGACATTTTTACCCTTTGTGCTTAATATAAGTATTTTTTTTTTTTTTTTGTGGGCTAAAGACAAGTTAGTTTAATTTTCCCAATCAACGAATTCAATTTTCCCAAGCAACAATTATCACGTTGGATTCTCATCTTCCAAGAAGAAAAAAATAATCTTCAATATGACTGCCTCATAAATTTGTGTTGTTAAGAAATTAGTCAGTAAGTATGTTGAACACACGCATCCATATTCAATCATCTCAACAGACCCTAGTGGTTAAAAAAAACAAAAACTTCAAAATTCCTGTTAATAAAGTGTGATCAATCCAAAAGATTAAAAAAAAAGCATTTGTTGTTCTTGAATTTTTCTTAAACCCATCGTGATTAACCTTTTCCTGGCTTGTTTGCTCTTTTTACCGGCCAAATTGACAATTTTGCTAACACGATTTTAACAAACAACTTACTGGTCCCTTGTTTAATTATCAATTATCGAAATTGATCATTTTTTGCATTTTGATCGAAGAAGATAGAAAAGACATCCAAATATTTAACCTAACAAAAGAAATAAGATAGAAATTTTTATTTTTGATTTTGAAATAAGAAATTTTCGGTGGTGATAATAGGCCATAGTGTTTGGGGGGAGGGGGGGATGAGAACTTGTTTTTTCCGGCAAAACTGTTTGGAGGCTAGAGTAGTAGTCGGAACGTAAAGAAATTGAGATCAACGAGGACTTTGAGCGAAAAAGAATAGGATTGTCATAAAAGTCATATTTATCTCATTAGTTTTACGCCCTTTTAAGGAATTTCAAAACTTTCACGCTCTTGTTAAGAATTATGAAAAATGCAACGCCCTTAATAAGAATTGTTTCCCTACTATTTTTGAGTTCAACATACATGATTCTATTTTTAGGGCGGACAGAGTGTATATTATCTCATCTCAGTTGCCCTCTAATACATTTTCTTAACTCTTTTCTAACGAATTGATCTATATCATCTTAACAATTGTCAGATTGATAGTCCACTCGAAAGTTTTTTAAGATCGCGGACTGTAATAGGTATAAACTGCATAAAGCGCCTGCGTAAATGTCAGAAACAACAATGAGATAATTGCTGGCAAAGTGTTCCATGTACGGCCACAGTAGCGGTTGACTCGCTCGGACAACAAAGAGAGATACTGCCTTTTATGTCGAAAACCACTTCGTGGCAAAGGCGATTGAAGAGGTCAGCAACTTCGGAATCACTGCCAAAGCCAGCGCTCAATTATTCCGCAATTCAGAAGGATGCTCACATCTTCAGCAGAGTCGATCAGGTTCTGTATGGAAAAAAAAAAGAAAAAAGAACGTGGTTTAGGACATTGACTTGACAAACTGAGATAAACTCCCATTGCAATGCTGTTCACAAAACGGAAGATAAAAGTGAAATGTTGCTTCGAATTGAAGGAAGCACCCGTCGAATTGATGCAATTCCCGCTGGTAATTTCCATACAATCATGACAACGACCAAAAAAACTGAAGCTTTGACAACCTTTTATTTTCTGTACCTCTAAAAAGACATCAACAAAGAAACATATCATCATATGCACTACATTAGTACGTTAAGGTAATCATCAATGTCTTAAGGACCACAAGCGAATAAATTCTTGAACTTTTTTTCCTGCTGATAGAAAGTACTTGTAAAAAGAGACTCAAGAACTGCTTCTTCCTGTCTCAGAAACTTTATAGCCACTCTCTAGCTTAATGGTGTCATTTTCTTTACCATATATCTCACCACCATCACACCATCATGGTCTAGTGATGTTTCACAGTTCACGTCCACTCATAAATATGCCCTGAAGAAATTTCATCAATCTACATCAACTAAGCAAAAATTTTACAGACAAAAAAGTGGGAATTTTTGAGGAAATTTCTAGTTTCTGATTGAGAGTATGAATTTTTGATGGCAGAAGAAAGGGTGGAAATCACTTAAACAGTTTTCAATGCTCTACCAAAGGCTTCAACGGCAAGGAAGACATACTAATGCGCCACGGCCTTTTGCGACGCTTTTTCAATGTCAGGTGGCATATCTTCATAGCCGTGAATGTATAATGACAGTTTTGGAAGTCTTCGCAACAATTCAATATGTAACAAAAACATCGATATTAGCTTAAAAAACTCCCACCACTGTCTTAAAATCAAAAGTAAAGTAGATAAAAAAAAAAAATTACAGTTTTTAGTTTATTGATTAAGTCCAGAACAGCAACCTGAATCATTTCCTTAAGAATACTTAAGGCCCTCCCGGAGGGAAAGGACCGGGGCTAGGTGGAGTTGATGGTCTGTAATAGGCATAAACACCAAAAAATGCCTGTATAAATGCGAGCAATAGCGAGACCACGGCGGCAATGAATATGATTACTGCCCAGGGGCTATTGAAATACTTATTGCAAAGAGTTGCTCTCCATGTGTGCCATCTGTTGTCGCAATAGTCGTTGACCTGGGCCGATAGTGAAGAGAGGTAACTGTCATTTTTGTCGAAAACCACTTCTTGGCAAAGACGATTAAAGAGGTTAGCCACTTCGGAATCACTTCCAAGCCAGTGCTCCATCACTCCGCAATTGTGAAGGATGCTAACATCTTCAGGGGAGCTGATCAGGTTATCCATGAAAATGACGTAGGAAGTTATGTACTTTGGGCATCCAAGATGACACTGCTCAAAGGCAATGAGGTTGAGGAAAAGGGTCATTGTACCATCATGGATCAGAAGCCTTGGAATCTCGAGGACTCCGTCTTTGAATTTTATATCCCAGAACCTGTCTGTTTCTCTTTTCCTGAAATGAATTCCAGAATCCCTTAACTCGGTGGCACCGTGAATGAGCTGCTGCCTAACGCGGATGGATATGGAAACGGAATTAACAGAATCGGGTGTCTCATTTACCGTCGTCCTTGGTTGAGACCCTTTTCTTAGAATACTCCTCCAGAAGACAGCCAGGCAATGTTCTCCAACTAGTTCTGGTAGAGGATCAAATTGGTAGGCGGTTTCATCAGTACTCTTTGTTGATGATGGCTCATCTGTAGGCATTAATGGATTGACAAACCTCAATGCAAGTTCACTCACGGTTCCTATGTGCTCAGGATGCTTAATTTGTTGAATACTGAATAGACGTTCCAGTACAAACAGAGGAATTTGGTTCTCCAGCATTATCATATCCCTTTGGATTGAATGCATTGATCGTAGCGTTGAGAAGACGGGATCGGTTGTCGAATATCCTAATTGATTGAACCCTTCTACAGAGCCCCTAAACAATTCCAGGATGAAACAACCATCAAGAACCATCATTTCGACAAACTCCTCACTGCTGAGGGGAATTGGACCTTCATAACAAGCGCGGGCTCTCTCTTCGAGTTCTTTCATGGCGCCAAGATATAACTTGATGTCCTGATTAGTTCTCTTGAGAATCTGTAGAACAGCGCGCCATTTGTGAGTTTCCATGCTTCGCAGGCGTCGCTTGTTGTGGTGATAAGGCCCCAAGGAAACAACTTGGGGATGATAACCTTTGTCATTGCTCTCTCGCAGGCATTGGGGTATTCTGTAAATACAGCGCCTGGACCACGTATTTGCTCTATGATTCTGGTGGGCATCCTCGACTTTTTGCCTGATTCTGATCAACCAATCGGATTCGGGTGATTTGGGACGCCTATCAACATTTGCAGTTTCATCTTTGATCACCACTCGTAATGAATCAGATGGTTGATGCTGTTCTTGCTGCAGCCGCTGTTGGGATTGTTGGGATCGGATTGCGTGCTTCTGCCTTCTCCGGAACATTTCGCTGACTTGTAGTGTGAGCCAGATTGCGGACTTGGGTTGATTTTCTATTACAGTCATTTTTGGTTTATGATCTTCCCTCTTTGGATATTACCGGGATTAAGTAAGGCATTAGCTCTTATCAAAATTGCAGTCTGATTTACAGGGGAATCATATGCTATAGAATAATCAAATTTTTTCCAGGGGAATCTTATACTCTTTTAAGTCACTTTCAGGCTGGAATAATCCCAAGTCACAAGAGCTGGGACGATGGTACATCATCCAAAATACCAAAATTCGAATTCAGTTGCAGAAGGCACAACTTGGTCGAGAGTTTTACTTCAGATTGAGGTAAAGGTTCAGGAAACAACCATTAAGTTCGAGTTAGAATTATCAGATTAATTGAAGTCACTTTCTCTTACTCTTCAGGCTAATAATGAGTGATTTAAATGACAAAAACCATTTCTTCCTAAAGAGAGAAAGTCCTCTCTTTCTCCAAGTGAGAACGGCCTTACTTCTATTACCAACTTCCTTCCTTTCTCATCCGGTTCCACAAGCCATTAGCATATTTCATCTTTTTTCACTACATTTGGCAGTCAGAGGCTCATTTATGACATTTGGACAACATGCAGTTTATCCAATTTTTAAAATTCTGCATTTTTAAAAATTACATGCACTTATCAGATCTCCTCTGATTTGATTTAATAAAACAAATTACCTTTCTGGACCTTTGCATTTAATATCAACATAGTAAAACCCGGATACAGTACCTCCTTTATTCTTCCTTTTTGTCCGTTTGTTAAACCGAGGCATTAATGAACTTCTAGGTCTTCATAAATTGTCTGCTCAAGATTTCCTTTACCGAAAAAGCATAACACCTTTTCACATCCTTGACTGCTCAACTTCTCCCCTGCTCCCTCAAGTCCTTTTCAATCTTACCCTGTAGCTGCCTTACCTCTACTGTTGTTGCTGTATCAGTCCTTTGTAATCTACTCCTTTCTTACTTTTCGGCTTTCTACTTCCTTTTCATCATGACCCATAGGCATGCAATGGATGAAGACTCGGTGACAGATATGTCACTCCAGGGCTCTGAGTTCTTAGAAGAAGAACATGAGTTTAATCCAGCCACGGAAGTTCATCCTCAATTTATCTCAACAACATATGAGAGATCTCTGCGTGTCTTGCTTAATGATTACAATACTAGTCTCTCCCGGGATAATTTCAAGCTCTGTTTGCTTGGATATATCCTGGATGATAGATCCTTCATGGATGCGGACATGCAGACTTACATGGCAGAGCACTGGCCCATGTACACCCGGATCTTGCATTATGATCGAAATTTCTTCATAATTAAGTTTGTTTCAAGGGCGGATCTCCTCATGGTCTTGGATAATGGACCTTATGCGGTTGATAGAGGTCTTCTAGTTCTGCGAAGGATGTATGACGAAGAAGATTTGGTATTGGACAGCCTTCAGATTGACCGACTCAGTGTCTGGGTTCGCATGCATGGTGCTGCCATCACATCTTACAACTACCATGGTGCTAGGGATCTGGCAAAGAATTTGGGAGAAATTGCAATTATATAAATCTCAGGAAAGCAACCTACATCCAGGCAAAGGTCTGGATAAATCCGGGAGATCCACTCACTCTAGTCTTTCACTATACTAAAAGAAATGGCAAGTTAGGAAAAATCAGATGTAAGTATGAGTGTGTACATAAATTCTGTACACGTTGTGGTAAGCTTGGTCATCCGGCACAGAGGTGTCTTATGGTGGATGATGTTGTTCTGTTCAATTATCTAGATAACCACTTCATGACCTGAGCCATCAAAAATAATTCCCCAAAGCTCATTGATGCTCAACGTTCATTGTTCTCTGGTGCTATGAGAGCTCATGGACACAAGCAGAAACGGTCATCCAGAATTATGGCAAATAAGTATCTGCAAATGCATCACTTCTATGAAAATGTGCCAGAGCACTATATCCAAGATGGATTTCACATCACAGAAGTGGATGCCCCTCAGCCGGATGCAATGTATCCTGCCATGTTTCCAGAAGATGATGATAATGGCGATGATGAGGACGGGCATGATGACCAAGGCAATGAAAATCATCCTGATCAAGGTGGTGATGGTCCGAATGGGGATGATGATAATGATCATCCTGGTGGTCATAATAATTTTCCTACTGAGCATGAGGATCCAAACAGGAATCAAGGTGATGATAGGGATTTTGATCCGTCGTCTTCCTCTCGCCCCAATTATGAGGAGTTGCTTGCCAATGACTACCCGGATACTACCAGACAGGCTGCTCCTGCTGCGCCGGCCTCTTTCACAGAGATTCTCCCACCTTCCCTGCTCCAACAACCCAACAGATCCCCTTACAAATTGAAAGCTTGGCTTGGAAGAAGTTGTGAAATGCCAAAGTGCAAGTCAAACACAAATTCCTTTTTTGGAGGGCGGCACTCAATACCTTACCATCCAAACAAGAACTTGTGAGAAGGGGAATACAGGTTGATACTTTCTGTCCAAGGTGCTTTACAGGATTGGAGGACAATCTTCATCTCTTTTTCAACTGTCCAATTTCTCAAGCAGTCTGGAGCTTTGCATACCCTAATTTCCAATCACTTTTAAATGGCTCCATGACCTCCATCCTGGATTGGTTTACCTCATGGATTCAAACTCAACCATCTACAGAAGACATTAACCTCTTCCTCTTAATCTTCTGGCGTATCTGGTTAGACAGAAATGATAAAGTATGGAGAAGTCAGACCAACGATCCGGTCACTTCATAGAGATTAATACAACAGGACCTTAAGCAGCACAATGCTTTGCTGTCCAGACTGAAGTCACAGACGGTTTCGACTTCACCTAACCTTCTTCGTAAAAGACCTATTGATCCATTGGCAGAACTTACTTTTGATGCATCCTTCAATCCCCATAACAAAAAGACAGCAGGAGCCTGGCGAATTCTCTCTTCAACCAGGATGTTGATGCAGATCAAGACAGTTTCCACAACATCGCTGTCATCTCTCCAAGCAGAAGCTACTACCTGCTTACAGGCATTACAAGATACTTCATCTCTAGGCATTCAAAAGCTCCACATCTACACGGATTGTGAACTCTTGACCACCGATCAGGAAATTTCTAAATTTCCGAGTGAAGCTCAGGAGATAATCGCCAACATCCGTACCCTAATGTCTATTTTTCGGCTTTGTTCACTGATAAAGGTAAACCGGACGGTAGTTCAGGATCTACACAGTTTAGCTTATGCAAAAATGCGATGTACTAGTTTAGATAACCCTTAATTAATACAGGTACCAATTCAAAAAAAAAAATGAGTGATTTAAAATAGAAACAATTGTAGTACTAAAATAGAGAAACCTTGTAGGTTTTGTAGGAACCCATCATTACTCCTCACAAACGGAAGCTTAAAAGTTAAAACTGAAATGCTGCTTTGAAGCAAAACCCATCAGATTGATGTGAATTCCAGCTACTAAATTTTCTATACAATCATGAAAATGACCCAAACCTAAATGACTGATTAAACCACTGTTTCCTTGAGCCACTGAGCAAACATCAGTGAAGGAAAAATTCCATAATGCACTATACTAGACAAAGGTAATCTTCAATGCATTTTAACAGCACAAGCGAATCAATTCTTGGCACTGTTCTTTTTTTTCCTGGCTATTAAAAAAAGGCAGCAAAGAAAGAGAGATTCAGGAACTGCCTTCAAAACCAGTCACCAGCTTGAGGATCGTCCCGCCATTTTTGATCGGGTAAGACGGCTCCACAGCAATTCCACATTTGCCCTTGTTGGTTTCGATCACATTTCGTTCCATCCTCAAATATCCATTCTCTCCCCAGTTAGTACCCCATGAATTCCTCACTATCCAGTAATCCTTGCCATTTTCAGTACCATATCCCACCACCACCACACCATGGTCTAATGATTCCCCACATCCGCCCGTAAAGACGCCCTGCATCAATTTCACCAATCAATATCAAAGAAACAAAAACATTCAAGGGCGCATTTAAGGACATTTCAATCTTCTGCTGATAATTTAGATTCTTTTACCAAAAAACATTCTGAAAGTACTTACTGATTTGTAAAGTTGCATTGCTCTACCAGAGGCTTCGATGGCAACACTGACAGGTTGATGTGCCACGGCCTTTTGCAATGCTTTCTCATCATTAGGTGGAACATCTTCAAACCCGTCTATGCTTACAGCTTTGGAATTCTTCTTCAAACATTTCAAGAAAGAACAGACAACATTAAATTTTGCTAAAACAGACACAGCCAAAATTTTCATAGGAAATAAAAAGCCAAAATATGATGCTTACTCGATTGGGATCGCATGTACCGTCACGACCTTTGTAAGGGTAGTCCGTTTCAGTATCAATTCCACCATTGGAAATGATGAATTTAAAAGCATAATCCATTAGCCCTCCATTGCAGCCAGAATTGTAACCTTTGTCACAATCTACAAGTTCTTGCTCTGACAGAGTGATTAGTTCCCCTGTTACAATACTATTGATGCCTTCCACTGCAGCTATGGTCGAGAAAGCCCAACAACTCCCTGGTTTTGACAAAGAATAAACAACATAAGAATCTTGAATCTTCTGGATTAATTCAGCTTGTTAGTTCGAAATCAAGGAATATATACAGAGATAAAAACTTACCACAATTTCCTTGATTCTTGATGGGAGAAACTGCGCCCTTCTTCCTCCAATCAACAGATTCCGGCAACTCATCAGAGCCATCCCGGAAGGCATACCGCCGGCTGGGATTCCTGGATTTCATGACCCGGCGCTTGGCATCAGTCCGGGTGCCCAAATACATGACCCGGTACTCCTCATTGGTCAGATCAGCGAAACGATTCAAGCCCACCTTGTAGGTTCGGTTTTCAGAGTTGTGTTCTTCAATGAACTTCAAATTATCCTTGAAAATCTCAAATCTAACATCTTTCTCTTCCAAACCATTGTATGTTTTCCGGTTTGAAGCCAGCCACAGCTCGTAAATGGCCTTTGCCTTGGCGTTGAAGTAGGCCTCGTCCGTTAGTCCCTCGATTCTGGTATTTTCATCATCTCTATAATGCTGATCACTAGCATAAGATAGAGAAGCAGCAAAAAATAATAAAACAAAAATATAACTAGCTAAAATCCTAGAACTACTTATGAGCATTGCATCCATGGTTGATACTTCCTTGATAAAAAAAAAAAAATTAATCAGATTAGATTGGTGAAGAAGAAGAAGAAGAAGAAAGAATGTGTTTTCTGGTTACCGCTTGATGAAGCAAAGCCAGGGAATCTGTGTTGGGTTTATATAGGAGTGAATTAGATACCCAAAATAGTTAAATTAATGGGAAAATGATTTTTTGGTGGTGAAGAAAAAAAAAAGGAATTTTTTTAAAAAATTAAAGATTCGAGAGTTGAAACTGGATATTGGGAATTGAGGAGAGAAGGAGAGGCCAATGGCGTGGGAATCGGGGGAGACAAAGTCCCCGTTTCTCGATGGTCTGTTTTGCTAGTACATTTTTCGAGGCAAACTATGAAACTAATTAAACCGCCATTTTACCAACTAACTTTGTTAGACTATTGTAGGACGGTCAACAGTCTATAATGTAGTGCCAACAGATTGACCAATTAGATTTCCAGAAAATCGCTGGTTTTTTTTTTGTTTTGTTTTGCCTTTTACCTTAGCCCTGAGGTTCTCTGGCTCCTGAGAGTGAGGAGGAGTTCCCAGGAGCCAGGATTCCGGCGGACAGGGTCAGACTCTTCAGACTTTAAAGTTTATCAATTTTTTTTTTCCCTTGGCTGAAATTCTTCCACATTGCTTAGTTATGGGACACCATTCTTATTTTCTCTGTCCAAATGTATCATCACTCTTCCTTTGATTATGTCTCCCCAATTGTGTTACTGCATCTTGAATATTTGACTAATTTTTTATTTATTTATTTATATATCAGAAAGCACTGAAATTTATTTAGACCGTTTCTTCCAAACAATTCACATTGCTAGAAATAGTTAGTGTTTGAATAAATTGGTAACGTAGCTTTGTATTTGAACATACAAAGCATTTGTGTGTTGTAAATTGACCAATGATGTTTGTTTCTGGCTTGGCCAATTTACCAGCGTAGTTCTCTCTCTATTCAGGACTAATTTCACTTTGCTCATGTAATTTTGATACGAACAAGTTGGAAAATTTTCAGAAAGAAGCTAGTATCTTGGGAAGTAGCTAGCTCTTAAATGCTAAATTGATGTTTAGATGTAAGTGCCAATCAGCCCATGTGTTAAGAAAAGCAGACAAATGACAATGCAGCAGAAATAATTTCTCCAGGAGTAGTACTAGTAGTATATTATGACCGCCTAAACCTTTTTTTTTTTTTTTTCATTAGGCTTCCATGCCTCTGATTCTCAAGCAATTGTTTTCTGCTTTTCTGTCTACCAGCAAATGTTAATTTCTCCCCTTACAAAGTTGTGGTCAGGATCGTTCATTTTCATCCACAATTTGACTTGGATTTTGTTTGAATTACATGATGAAAGTTTAAACTTTTAGACAATGAACCATGAATCTTCTCCTCAAAGTTGGGCATCAAATTTCGCAATGAGACTCAAAGATTTGTTTTCTTCCAACCACTTGGTTACCATGTCAAACTAGTGGTTAAATTCTTAGTTCGAAATTGCCCTTTCCCTATGCAAAATTGAAAATTTGATTGAATTAAAAAAAAAAAAAAGAAGAAGAAAAATTACTAGTAGAAAACAGGGATACTAGATCTTGTAATTCTGAGCAAAGATCACATGCAAGTGAGAAGAATAGAGCTTCAGATTTTGATTTCGTATTTAAAATTCCCAACTAAGTCCTGTTGTTTTCAAAAAAAAAAAGGTCCTGTTGCTTCGATTTCATTCGCACCTCTTGCGGCCGGCCGGAAACCATTACAAGCAATAAAGACCAACAAGTTGATACACAAAAATATCCTACATATAAAGATCTCTATATTCTTCTAAAATAACTCTTACGTGGTATCAGAATCTTGGAAAACGAATACTATTATCTCATATTATAAGAATCTTGGGAATGGGAGATTACCTGCAAGCTTCTTGCCAAGCCTGCAGGTAGACATGGCTGCCATTGGCCTTCACAAGATTCACCGAACCTATAATCACCCAGGATATGACAAAACAAGCCCACATTGGAACAGATATGGGTAAAAATAACAAAAGAATCTCAAAATATATGAAATATAAAAGGGAAATGGTGTTTTGTATAAACAGAGCCGTTCTCTGGACGCCTTCTTGTATTTACTCAACCGGAATATTCACGCTGTATCTTTAACTTCTTTTCATGCTCAATCAAGGCCTCTTTTGCACCAGTTACTTCACACTCGTTTTAAATCTGAGACATTGAAGGCTCGACTGTATCCATAAACAATCCTAGTTCTCCCCAGCCTGCCTTGTTGTGGACATGCGATCATCAATGTTTCTAGCAGGATGCTTTCTTTTGCTTCTTTTTTTACGGGGCGAGCGGGTTTTTGTTGCAGGCTTGTCAGTGCTCTCTCGCACACTGACTAACTTTTCACCAGCCGAGAGTGGAAGTTCTGGAGGAACATCTGGCCACGGGGTGCGCTTAGCTGGGACAGTAACATCTAGGGGAGGGTCAATTACCCATCTGCATTGAGCATATAGTAACATTACGATGATGTTGAGATGAAATAAACAGATCACTGATGTATCTTAGTCAAAAATGACAACAGCATTTATGCATTCTCAATAAACATGTTTGCTGGAGCTAGTAACCACACACAGGAACAGGTATTCTGAAAGGTTGATCCAAACCTAAATCCTAGATGATTGGCAGCTGCTATTCCAGATAGGATGAATTTGTGTATATGAGAGGCCCTTGGAAACCTAAATCCTACATGATTGGTAGCTACTATTCCAGACAGGATGCATTTGAACAATAATGATAATGATGGCATCCAAAAAGATGAACAGTCTGGTAACCATGTACAATAATGATAATGAAATGAAGTTCAACTATGAAACAAGGTTAACAAATTTACAAACTTATTAGAAGATTTACCCTCAGCCCTCTTAAATTACTCCAACCATTAATCTAAGATAAATGACTATATGAAAGCAATTTGTTATGAAGCTGGTCTATTCCCAGGCTAGAAGCTTAAAGTAGCAAAGAATACCAGCTTAAAACACTCTCTCTGAAGAGACTAAGATAAGCAAGTAAAACTAAGAAAATATTCAGTTGGAGATCAAACATTCATGCACATGTTCCAGGTGAAAGAAAAATCACCAAGTTATAATCCCATTGTTCCTTAACTACTGAAATTTTACTTCAGCAATGAATCAATCTAACAGATAGTCAATGTTCCTAACATGAAAATTTTCCTTAAAGAGAAGTACGGAGCACTACACAAGAAGGAGAATGGACAAAGATCATTTAAACACATAACAGTAAACCTTAAATAGCTTTCACTTGCTAAACCCTTGCTAGGGCCATGAGAGATTGCTTAACCTATAGAGTGATATGTCACTTTTATCGATCGTGATGTAGTGGTATACAAGAGCTAATGTACAATCAGCTGAGAAAGATTTAGGCATTTGTTCTCCAGTGATAATACTCGCCTTGGGTAATCTAAAAGCACCAAACCGATGGAAATGTTGGGTTCAATCATAAGGATCCAAGAACTATCCTGAAACTTCATAGAATGGACAACATAGAGTTCTATCATGGCCAAATACTCAGAGAAGTAGGATTAGCCTGATACAGTAATTGTACGATAGACTTATACAGAAATGCTGCATAGAAAAATCCACCAGCAGTTTCATCAAGTAATGGGATACCATAACGAATATGTTCTTACAACTTAAGAGGTGCCAACTACAAGTCAAAAGTAAGTTTCATTTAGAATATGGTCCTGGACCACTACAGGAAAGAAGCAAACCTAGTCCTCTGGGATCCAACGATTTTTTCCTAACCCTTTTGCAAGTTACTAATATTGAAGTCACAGTATCCTATTTCTTCATTTCTAACTATAGGTGTATGGGGTAGTCATGGGTGATGATTCCATGAGATAATCTCAATTCACATGAATTGAAAGAAAACTTTGAACATTTTCAATAATGTGACTTAAATAAACAACACAGAAAGACAAAAAGAAGCCTATGGGGTATAGAAATGACACGAGATCTATTATGATAGCTGGAATGAAGTCAAATGATCTGTAAAAGCATTATTAGAGTCACTGAAGTAAAGTAAAACTTAAAGCAGAGACAAGGATAATGAACTAACCCAGAAGGAAATTTGCTATCTGCCCTGGCTTCAACTCTGAGCCACCAGAGCATGACCTTACGCCCGCAACTCCCAAGAGGTTCTACAACAGAAGGATCCTTCACAAAAGATAAAGGACTCTCGACATCTTTTTCATTGGCGGCTACCATATCCAGGTCTCTAACCCATTCTGGCTTATCTTCAACATCATCCCAGACTAATCTCGAGTTTAACACAAATCCAGCCCACTCCAATTTCCTAGGCAGCACAATTGCCCTCTCACCAACATATCTCGCACTCCTCTGAATGTAAGGGCCCGAATTGAAAGTCTGCCAACCCACCCATTGATCCGACGAATTGCAAACTGGACCCTGAATTGGCAATCCAGCACTCTTTTCGTCTTCCTTCTGGACAACCGGCATTTCCTCTTCGTCACCACCCGAGTGAGCAAGAATTCCAATTGAAACAGCCCCAAGCCACTTCACATTTTGAATCTCATCAAAAAGTTCCATACTATGCATATTACTATCATCAGCAAACATCACAATCCCATCTAATTTCTTCTCCCTCACCACTCTGTTCCATATCATACACAATTTATGATCAGTGAAAATGTTAATAGTATCAACATCAATTTATTAAGTCTCGAAGCACATAAGAATTTCATATAAGTAGAAAATAGAACACCATCACGATGGACTAAAATACCTCAAAGCATGAAGCCGCATCTTTGCCTCCAACTTATGGCGATCCTCCCATAGAATTGGCATCTTTTGTCCGAATCCAACATGGATAGTATTGAGGCCAGACTTAGCAAGCAGCGAAGCGGTCTCATTGGTGGTCCCCCCCGCTTCCACAACGATCCACACAAGATCATAAGGCAAATTCATCAACGAGTGCATCACGCCGGTGAGATGAAGCGTCTGGAAAGTCCGAACATAGGTGGGAGTGATCGCAATCACAGCTCTGGGATTCTTCACTCCATATTGCATCCTCTGCTCCCTCTGCACTCTTTCAATCAACCTGTGGGCCCTCATCATCTCCGCCGGATTCGGATGCGGCCACGGCCTGATCAATATCCCATGCCTCCCAACCACCACCCTACTGCTACCCGCCCCCGGAGTTGTCACATTAACCGCCTGAACTGAACTAGAACTTCTAGAAACATCCCCTAAATTTGAATGAACACCTAGGGTTTCACTAGGATTACGGAACGAAGCCGCCGTGGAGTAGAGATTAGTATTAGTCATGGTAGTCGAACTATTGGAAAACAGAAGGAAGAAAACTAAACGAGAAAATCTGAACCCAAGAACGAGACTAATCAAACAGCACAACCCATGAAGAAGCAGCCAGAAAATCCCGGCCGGCGACTTCATGGCGTTATCTACAGACGAATCTAACGGCGAAGCTCCTCTAAAACTATTATTCCGGCGACCCTGTTGCTGTAACGCCGTTAACTTCATTACCCCCCTTTTTTCTTCCTCTTCTAGTCCCCCGCTTGGCGGATGGATCTTCTCCTTTCCCTCTCCCTCAAGCACTAAGAGAGAGAGAAAAAAATGAAATGGGTCTGAGCTGAAAACAACGAGTGGGGTGTAAATGTTAGAAAGATTAGATGGGGGGAGGTGAGTGTGATTGAAGGAAAGCTAGCCAACAGGAGTTGGGTTTGGTAATGGGTTGGTTAGTACAATCAACAACACAACAGAGAGATATCTTTGGATTAAAGTATGAATTGAATTGGTTGCTTAGATTAGCGTTGATGTTTCATTGTCAGTTGATTTTTTTTCAACTGGGTCTTTGGCTCCCTGGATTCTTTTAGCTTCCTGTGGGAAAAAAATGGAAATGGTAATGAAGAAGGAGAGATGAGCTGTCTTTGTTCGGACATGAAAAGGCCGGAGCAAATCTAGGGCGATGGTCAAAGAAGATGATGGTAATTCTGTAAATATAGCTGGTTTTGGCGGGTGAGATTGGAAAAAAATTTACGAATCATATGTAATTAGATTAATTCATTAATTAATCAAATAATTTAAAGAGGTGAAAAAAGGAGAGTGAGGAAGCAATTTCAATGTGTGTTTTGTGTGCTTTTAAAGCTCTTTTAATCGTATTTTCACCGAACCGTGTAAGCCTAATTAATTTATTACTCGTGTTGTATTTAATATGGAAAAAATGAAAAGAAAATGCATATTTATATAAACTCAAATGAATACTAGCTAGTGGGAAGTTTTCAATTATGAAATCATTAACTAAAAATCTGATTTATGCTTTTCCACTTATAAAAATCTGTTTTGTTTTCTTTTTCACTATATTTCCATTTTTTTAAAACATTTTCCTTCGAGTTTTTCCCTTGTCTCCCAATGTCACACAACATTTTAACACCCAGATATTCCAAATCATATCAAGAAACCTATTAGTAAACTTTGTGGACTCGTATTAAACTCCTATAAATATCTTACTTGGTCAATTGAGATTTTTTTCCCTTTGGTTAAATCGGTAATTAATTTGGATGCTTTAACTAGCAGTTTTAGTGAAATTTCATTTCCATCATCCCCGGGTATTGGTTTAAGAGAAATTAAAAATAGCTGGAATATAGTTGATGGATTATGACTCTTGTTAACTAGATTATTTATTTCCACTTGATACTTTAACAGCCAACATTTTTTCCCCTCACCTAACAAATATCCCTACTATAAACCAAATACTAGAAGACTTGTCAATCTCGCATTATTCATTACATACGGATTTGAGTTGTCCTGCTGCCTACAAGTTTATATCAAATTGTTTTCGAGGTTAATATTGTTCCGTTTGACATATTTAGTAGGTATCTACTATCGTAGTAACTAATTTTATCACTGAATTATAGTTAATTTTAAATAATAGGATTTAAACTTGCGATATTTTGAGGATAAATTGGATATCAATGTCTACACGTACAAGTTCTGAAATAATACTAAAAGTTCATCAAACTAGTCTTGAAAGACATTTGTGCCTTATATTTACTGTCAGAAGTCAAGTTTTTCATGTTTTATAAAGGAATATGCATCCCTTTGATTAGAACTTACTAATTTATCAATTTTCGTCCAAAAAAAAAAAACGCATTGTGTTAAATTAACACGTGATCTTACATTATTGGAAGGTCTAGTTGATTCTTTAAAGATTACCAGGGAACATAATAATGACTTCTCCAAGGTTACCAATAATCAATGCCACCATTTTGTGGTATTAAGATCAAATTCCCAACTATTGAAATGGTGAAATGTTCAACATTGCAGATTGCAGCATGTTGAGATACAAATAGATGTTAAGGCTATGGCGACTTGGTTACAGGGTAAAACGATTCCTGCTTCAGATATTTTAGCTTTAATTGATGACATCTATTTATTGAAATCTTATTTTGTGCCTTGTAAATTTTTGTTTCTTAGAAAACAATGGAACTCCGTAGTTCATGATCTTGCCCAATTAGTTTTATACTAGATATAACCCGTAATCGCGGGCTTTTCCCTAATTTTTTTTTTTTTTTTTGGTGTCCGATCGATGTTATTGATTAAACAAAATTGTATAAACCTGAAATAGAAAAAACCAGGCATTCATGTTTGGTATATCATACATGTACCCAAAATTATAGCTCTGCCTAATCCGAATTCTAAATGTGCCCAGCTCTCACCATTTGGCCTTTGTGCACATTTTTTTAATGAAAAAAAAGAAAATTTTATTATGAGTCGCATAAACAACTATTAAAACCATATAACATAAAGATACCTGAGCAGCCAAGTAAAAATATAAGCATTCTTTCAAAATTATGACTATATTTGACCTAGTAAAATTTATGAAATTAAACCTAATATTTGATGAGAAAATGAGAGAAACTCGCTTAAGGTGGTTTGGACATGTGCGTAGGAGACCGGTAGAGGCCCCAGTTAAGAGGGTAGAAAGTATAAAATCTAGGACTCAAATAAAAATGGGTAGGGGTAGACCAAAGAAAACTTGAAAAGAAACTATAAAAAATAATTTGAAATATTTAAATTTGAGAAATGATTTATATAATGATCGAGCACGATGGCGACATATGATTCATATAGCCGACACCACCTAGTGGGAAAAATGTTTGTTGTTGTTGTTGTTGTTATTTGATAAAAGTTATTGTGAGATCCTAAGACTTTACCATACTAAAAAAAAACCCTAAGATTTCTTTGCAAAGTTATAGCAAATGTTTCAACAGAAAAAGTTATGATTGAATAAGTTTTCCTCTAGAACACCTCTCACAGAATGTAAAAAATGCTAACATTATGACTTCAACTTCTTTGGGCAGCCCTTGTAAGCATGACCAACAAAAGATGTTTTTGTTTTCTTGAATGGCTTCAGTGGATGGCTCTTTGTGCTATCATTCTCCTTAAATAAAACGAAAAAATTTAGTCATATGTCAATTAAGCAGATGGAAATAGCTGAAAAAATTAAGAGAACAGTCCAGTATACCTTAGCTACTATGCTCAAAAAATCTAAAACGCCAAGCATTCAGTAATAGCTGTAATTGATTTCAGATTCTATTTTTTTATACAGGAGATACATGAGCAAAAAAGGCAACAAAAGCAACAATGCAAAACCAGAAACGTTTGGCAAAAACAACTACAATAATTCCGACCAAGGTTTTTATCAATTTTGTGGTCTAAATCAATATTAGCCAATCAGCCAACATTCTGACTAAACCAATGAATCAGAAAATTTCCTTGCTCACTAACTAAAATTTGGTGCAACCTTCGTTTTCCATAAAAGGTACTAAGGATCAACATGAGAGGATGAGAAATTATAAAATGCAAACTAAGGATCTCATTTGTTCCAAGGCTTCCAAAAAAAAAATTGATTCACCTGTTCATCCATCAAAAATTTCTGAACAAAAGGCTCTGAAATAAAAGTTTAACCAAATTGCCAATGTTGGCGAGGAAAGCTAAATACAAAAATTAGAAGTTTTTCAATTTGGCAGACCATAACAATCAGGTTCTTCGCTCATAAATTTAAACATCAGGAATATAACGGATCCTCATTGAATAATCCAGCATTGCAAACCTTTCCACAACACTAGAAACAACAAAAGAACACTGGATGCACAAGCACAGTAGGAAAGAAATCTCTTTCCTCAGGTTATCTCTCATCATCCCATATATTTTGTAAGAAAAGCAGTAAGTTGCTCCTTGAACAATAAAAATTAATTAAGGCATGAAGAAAGAAAGTAGATTGCACACCAGGAATGTTCCCTTATCGTAATATTGACACCAAAAAAACTTCCAGCTGACAATGTACTTCAGATCTAAATAGAACATCAAGGAAAAACGGGTACCAAATGTTTCATTCAGCTCAAATGCAAGGATCGATTAGGAGATGTGCATACAACCCAACTTTTTGCATGCTCTTTAAAAGAAGGTATGATTGTACTTCCATTAAACTATACTGCAAACGAAAAATTATATGAGCACAGAAAAAAATGTATTCCCTCGCCAATGTATATATTATTAAAAAACGAAATAGCAAATTAGCAATACAGCCCACATTGCCCCCATTAAGCTCATGCACATTATAGAACACATAATATGGAGAATAAATAACAATCTTTCATGAAAAAAAGGCTAAGAAACAAACCATATAAAAACCACGCCATAACAATAGATCCAAACTTCAAGACATGATTAAAGAAAATGAAAAGAGATTAAGAACTAATAATTTCCTTACCTCAAAATAAACAGAGCTCTAATCCTTATCTCATAACATAAATAATAAAATCCGCTTGTAACTTACCTTCAATGAACCACCAACGGAGGAACTTGCTATTGGGTTGGAGGAACTAATATTTGTAAAGAACACTAAAATAAATCACAATACTGAGAAACAAATTTCACTCCTCCTCTTAGTACATATACTTGCTCTGTAGACTGAAGTCTCACTTGATGTTAGATGGTAACAATTAAACTCTACTTGTGTTGTCACTGAAATAAAGAAATAAAATTAATATCACATTTAATATTATTTCAAAGTAGCCAATCCATAATCTAAACCCATCTACAGATTTTCAATCCCTCTTAAACCTTTTAAATAGTAATGTCAAGAGATGAAAACAACAACGATTATACTTACCTTAAAGACGTACATCAAATACGCAGGGATAACAATGCACACAAGATATCATCACAACCGAAAACTACACACTACTATGACGTAGACAATTTGATTCAGTTAAGGCATCAGTAATGGAATGTGCACGAAATGGATAATTTCGTAGCAATTTCCGGTTAAGAAACCTAAATTGATGATTGAGGAGGCACACTTTCATTACTGCCCAACATAAACAATAAAATCAGACTTGTAACTTACCTTTAATGAACCACCAATTGAGGAAGTTGGTATGAAGAGGGAGAAACTGACATTTGCAAAGAAAACTAAATGCATTTGCCCGCGACCAAAGCTTGCCACTTCCGCCGAATGAACAATCGTTTCTGCCCTCCCAGAATCTTCTCCCACCACGACGACATCTCGGAATTCTCATAGCATCTGAACTCTTTGAAATTGTAGGGTTTGGTATAGGAATAAGGGAGAATGAATTAATGGGGTGGGCTGGAAAGATAATATTCAATAACTAAAATAAATTGTTAGGGTGGCAATGTTTAGAAATAGGTGAGCATGTTTAAAAGAGGAGCAATGCTGCAATCGGGGGTTATGCCGGCAATGCACCTGGAATTAAAAAGAAAAAGAGAAAAGTCTCGCCTGGATAGGAGCGGCTCAGCTTGCCACAACCCACCACAGAAAAATTTCCACTTGGAATAAAACAAAATACAAAAATACCAGAAAATGACATGTGGACTTAGAGGTTTAGGCGGGAAATAAATTAACCACAGGTTGACACCTGGACTTTGAGGGGTAAAATGGGGATATTCGGGGTTAAAATGGGCGAGAAGAAGGATATAGTCGACTTTTTAAAGGGGTTCTGTTTTAGTAGATAAAATGATATCTAATAATAGTAGATAAAATGATATCTAATAATATTAGATATCTAATAATATTAGATATCTAATAATGATATCTAATATTAATTCTCTGTTGTAACTAAATAGAGCGTTTACGACAGATTAGAATAGTTTTGCTTAAGTCCATGTCCATATTTCTTTAGTTTTTGAAATGAAACGAGTATCCATTTCGACCAAAAAAAAATTTTTAAAAATGGTGAAATATTACTGGCGTGAGTTGTTGGTCTACTGATCACTTCGAATTAGCCCACTTAAAAAGGATTGAAATGCCTGATTGAGTGTGGGCTTCTTTAATGGGCTAAGTTTATCTTGAGTCTAGATAAGTCGCATGAGTTTCTTACTTCCTTTTTGTTTTGTTTTCCTTTTATTTTTCATTTCCCTTAGTGAATATAATAACAAGCAACAACGAATACACCACAATAATTACTCTCTCCGTCCCAAAATTATGGTCTAATTGATTTTCACTTTTAGTTCAATTTTTCACTTCAAATGAAACGTCAAACTGAATTATGGTCCAATTTAAAATTTTATTTTTAGTTCAATTTGCATTTCAAATAAAACGTCAAACTGGATAATAATATTGGGATGGAGTAAATAAAATTAAAAAAAAAAAACACACAAAAGAGAAAGGGACTTTTGGGTTCAAAAGAAATTTTATGGGCCTATCCCATTCCCATTTATGAACTAGGCAAAAAAATGGGCTAATGGCAATATCACTGAACCACACACCACCACTATAAGACCCAACTTTCCTCTTTTTTTTAAAGTTTTGCTACGAACTTGTAGGCCGGTATTTAAAGCGTTAGTTATGAAAGAAAAAGCGTTTAGGTTCTTGAACCTTTCACCCTTTTCTGACTGCAGTGCTGAATATTATGGTCCCGCACAGTCAATTCCTCTGCTCGTAAATCCCTGTTCTTAACTTATTAAGGCTTTGCGGGGAAGGAATTTCGGGTGGAATCGGAGGAGATAAAAACAACCAGAAATCGTGCTCCAGAATACTAAAGTTTAGGATTTATGCCGCCTTGGGAACGGACCACTTCCTCTTCTCCAATCGTATTTATAATCACTCTCCTGCAGCAGCTGTGTAAGGTATGTTCTCAACACCTCAAACAAATATTTTTTTGGGTTGCTTTCGGATTTACAAAAAGGTGGTTTTTTTTTTCTTTGCATTGTTAGTTTGATTTATGTTGTAAAAAAGAGATTGTTTTGCTATGTCCAGAGTGGAATAGTAGGAAACTGCTGAGATCGATTATTGTTCTCCGGGGTTTGCTTTTCTTAATTTATCGAGTGGGGCAGCCATGAAGAAGAGGGAATTAGCATCAGCCTCGCCAGAAGAACAAGAATTCCCAGCACCTGGAAAACGACAATCAAAGTATGGTTATCCGTGGTTAGTTTATCTTCGGGAAGAATTAGTATTACATCAAACGTTTTATGACATTTGGTCTCGAAAAAAAGACTTCAGCTTTCACGCAATTCCGGAGCTTGATTGCAGAACAGTTTTGTACTGTTCCCCCAACGGCGACAGGTTAATTTTGGTTGATCGCCCCGCAATTGGCTCTCCACGTTACTGGCTGTGGTCTCCTAGGAGCAAGGAGAAGGCGATTCGGTTGCCCCTTCTGAGACCACATCGCCAAGATTATCATCGAATTCAGGAGAAGGCGAGTCGGTTGCCCCTTCTGAGACCACATCGCCAAGATTATGATCGAATTCAACAAGCATTGCTGTCCAGCACCTCGTCTTTGGTTCTTTTATTTGTCCAAGATTTTCCTCTAATCTTATATTGCCGTGTTGGTGACAAAAAATGGAGTGAATTCAATTACTCTTCCACCATAGAAGCTCAAACAGGCACTCCTCTACCACCAAATTATTGTCTACGCTGTCCTGTCGACTTCAATGGTACAATATATGCCACAGCCTCTTGTTGTAGGGATTTAGTGCAGATCACTGTTGATGACAACAATAATTGTGAGGCTCTTCTGTTAATGCCACAACTTAATCGAGCAAGACACCTTCGAAAGCGATCCCAGCAAAGTTTCAAAAGTAAATGGAGAAACTTCTTGGTGTCATTAGGGGGTCACAACCTTGGTCTAATCTTAATGTCCCCTAAATCTTACCGCATTTATAAAGAATCCCTATCAGTATTGGTTTTCAAATTTGATTTCTCTTCTATGTCTTGGCAACAAATAACAAGTTTGAATGGAGGGGCAGTTTTCTTGTGCCAGGACTACTGCCTTTACAGCAGCCAAAGCGGTGCAAGTGCAACCTCGGAGATTGGTGGTTCACCCAAGGCATGGAGTTACGTTTACTTCAGCTTTCGACCTGACCCGACTTTGTTCTCCTACAGGATTGAGGATGAGAAAGTAACATCATATTCACTTTGTCGGCCAAATCCACTGGAAACTTGGATTGCTCAATGGCTTTTGCCTGCCATTCCTGTTGATGATCAAAAGATTATTACCACGACTGCAGACCCTTCAAACCATCATGACCAGCAACAACAGGGTGCACGTGATTGCACTGAGGCAGTAGGAGAAATATCTTACTCTTGGAAAAATTGGAAAAGTTACAGGAGAAGAAGTGCCACTACTAAGAGGATGCGGCTGATGATACGGAATGACCGTTCAGTAACAGTCCCCAATGATGATGGGAACCCCTCATTGTGCGACCTATCGGAAGAGGTACTTATCTTGATTGCTCAAAATCTATGCTTTGTTGATTACATGCAATTTCGTTGTGTCAATAAGCTTTGCGCCTCCAGCACTATCGGTACGAGGTTGAATCCATTCCCTCCGTGCTTGATCTACAAGGATAAGCATAGAGGTGTCTACAATATACTAGATTACAACCTTAATCAGAAACTTTGCATCAAAATTCCCGAGGTCCTAAAAGACTATGTGATTCGTTGCTCGAGAAATGGTTGGCTACTCTTGGAATACAATAAAGATTTGGCTCTGTTTAATCCATTGACATTGCAAGTACTTCCAGCGGGACCTTCACCAAGAAGGGTCGGTAGGATTTTGACCTATACGTTTCTAAGGAAGCCTTTTTCTTCCGATTGTACAATCCTAGCAATATCCTGTCATGGTATGGGTGGTGTATCATATTCTGTTAGAAGCATTTCCGAGCCAGACTCAAAGTGGCAGTCATTTGTGGTCGGAGAAGAAGGCCTTGAACGATTTATCAATAAAGGTTTTCACATAGGTAGTCCTGTAGTCTTGGGAGAATTTTGTTACCACTTAGGTAAAAGGGGGAGAATTTTATTGACTCAAAATGTAGACTCCCTATTCCAGTGCCAAGTTTTTGATGATCTCGTGTATCCTGAACTAACATTTGGACAGCAGTATCTAACTGAGTGTGGTGGAGAGCTTATATCTGTACAGTTGGATGGCAAAATTTCCCAGAGAAAACGACCATGCGTCCGAGTATTTAAGCTCAAAGATCATAAAGAATGGGAAGAAATTGATACGTTGGAAGGATATTGTTTATATGTTAGTCGGACAACATCTATGTCTTGTCTTGCAGAAAGAGCAGATATGGCAGACAGAGTTTATTTTTCACAGTTTTTCCAGGATGATTTGGTCTATTATTCTTTGAGGGCCAAGGAATATCATTCTGTGGGAAGCCCAAGCAAATTGCTCAATTATAATCAAACAAGCATTGTCTTGGATTGTGCTTGGATCAAACCGAGCTGGACAAGAATCCCTGCTAAAGTTTACACGTGGTCATGAACAAGGTAAGGTCAGTCTGGCAGTTGATTTTTGCATAATTGTCTACAAGGATACTAGGAGTCATAGTATGATAACCTTGAGTAATACTATATGCAGTCTGTTATCCAGAAATTTCGAGGAATTCTTAACTGTTCATATTTTTTGTGCTGAATTTGGGGTGAATGTTACAGCCAATGCATCTTAATCTACTACGTCTATCATCCTCTCTGAAACATATTGGAGTTTGAGCAAGATCCAGCTCGGATTTTGTATGCATTGATTTCTCCTTTTTATTGAACTTTCAGATTTTAAGGGCATCAATGGAGTCATTTGTTGGCTAGCTGGCAGCAAGACTCTTTGCAATGAGCAGTGCTATGGGATATTGCAGGAGGAGAGGTTTATTTGGGCAAAGAAAAGATTTTCATGATTTTGCATCCCATTTGGAGAAGCACTTTTTATCGATAAGCATTTTTCATGATTTAGTTTGACTGGAATTTTATTTTTAAAGTAGTTGCAATAGAATCCTTTTCTACTAGTATGCTTCATCAATTAGGCTTTTAATCCATCTATTCTTTTATATATATATATACTAGTGATGTTTGGTCGCGCAATGCGCGACCCTGGCCCAGTCTATACTTAATTTTGGAGATTTTTAATAGTTTTGTAATAAGTTTCATCCGAAAGGTATACGCTTAAAACAAAATTGACACTTTGTAACAAAAACCTAATTGATCAATTCAATTTAGACTCCATAATTAAGAAAAGAAAACCACTCTAATTGAATGAAACATAAAGAAATAATTTTAAAAAAAACGTGCCAAAGTGCAAAGGGGGATTTAGTAATTTAGTTATGGTTAGACAAAAGGGTAATTTAGTACTTTTCTCATGCCACGTGGCAATCATAAGAGGTGTTTGAAAGGGGGTTTTTATTTCTAATATAGTAAGATGTGTGTGTATAGTTCCCAACAAAATCATAAATAAATAAATACCCTAAAAGAAAAAAATAATAATAATATCTACAGATACTTAGTACAATAAAAACTATTGATAATTTTTTTTAGTCACTGAAAATGATATGAATTATGTATGGATATCAAGTTTTCAAAAGAGTTTTTAATACTTGATTAATTCGAATGTAAAGATAAGTACAAATTATGTTATCTAGTGACGATTCTTGTTTCTTATAGAAATTCTTTAAATGACAAATGCTCATTTTGGCCCCTAATGTTTAGGGGGTAGCCTAACCCAGTCATTAAAAATATTTTATTTCTAATTTTAGTCCCCATAAAGTTTTTTAGTACTATTTTTGGTCTTTTTAACGGAATTTGGAGGAAACTAAACGTTTTTCGTCACATGCACAATATTATTTTTTTTTTACGGTGGATCCCACTAATTTTGATCCAGAAAAAGAAACATGATAAAAACCAATTTTGGTTTCCAAAGTTTAGGAAGTCCAACTATTTTAGCTCCCCAAATTTTTAATTTATCATTTTTAGTTCTCGTAAATTTAATTCTTTAACTATATTTACTCGTTTTATTTTAATTTTAATTTTAAATTTATATTTTTGATTTTTGTATTTTTCAAAAGGTTTTTAGATTTGGTTTGAAAATTGAACATTCCTCCATTTGTAAATGTTAAAATTCATAAACCAAAATCAATTTACATTGCACAGGAGAATGATTCATAAACCAAAATCTTATAAATAATTCTTATTAAAAAAATATTTTAGAAAAACAAGTGATGATTACAAATTTTTTTCTCTTTTTTTTTTAAAAAAGTTTGACATACTCTCCTCCGTTACCTTATATCATCATCATTGCTGCCGACACATCTATATCCCACAAGGCAGGCACATCACAAAAAAAATGCGATCAACTTAGGGTTATAAAGGGTAGATGAATGAATGAAATCTTCTTGATTAGTTTGTCTATTGAATTTTAAATTCATAAAAGATCTTGTTTCCTACTTCTAAATTCTTAGTGTCATGTTCATCCTTTGTTTAATTATTCGTGGGTTTTCTTTATTTCTATCCCTTCAATGTAAACTGATTTTTATGATGAATTTTAAGATTTACAAATGGAGGAATGTTGAATTTTCAAACCAAATCTAAAAACTTTTTAAAAGATACAAAAATTAAAATATAAATCTAAAACTAAAATTAAAATAAAATGAGTAAATGCAGTTGAAGAATTAAATTTATGAGAACTAAAAATGATAAAATAAAAATTTGGGGTGACTAAAATCGTCGGACTTCCTAAACTTTGGGGACCAAAATTAGTTTTTATCATGTTTCTTTTTTTGGGTCTAAATTAGTGGGACCCACCGTTAAAAAAATAATATAATACTGTGCATGTAACGGAAAACGTTTAGTTTCTTCTAAATTCCGTTAAAAGACCTAAAGTGGTACGAAAAAACTTTATGGGGACTAAAATTGGAGACAAAATATTTTTGGTGACTGGGTTAAGCTACTCCCTAAACATTAGGGACCAAAATGGCATTTGTCCTTCTTTAAATTAATAGTTTATTATTTTATCGATTATTTAATAATTCTCTAAAATAATGAATTTTGTTGGTTCCAACACTTTAAATTTATAGAAGTTCTATTGTATATATATAGTGGAGTAATACAAAACCGAAAACTTTTCAATTTTTCTTTTCTCATGAGTCATGGTGGCAGTCAACTAGTCAGGAGTTAGGGGAGAGGGAATTCTTTAGCATCTTTCTTGAAGCTTCTAAATTCTAATTCCCGATAACTTTAACCTAAAAAAAAATTAAAATTAAATAGAAAGAAGAAAAGTAGTAGTATGACTGTATGAGCATGCATAACAACGTGGTTGATTAATAACAATAGTAAATTGAAGCAAATTTTTGGTGAAAACCAAAAGGCAAAACCCATTACAATACTCCATATGTAGCTATAGTAGATCTTTACAGTCATTTCTTGGCTATACAGGCTCCCATCACAGCTTCCAATGTTGCAGACTTATTCTTCAAAGAAGTTTTCAGATTACATGGACTACCAGAAGACTTCCTCATTGACAGGGATCCTATCTTCACTAGTCATTTCTAGTCAGAATTATTCAAACTGTTGGGAGTTCAATTGAAGTTAAGTACTGTTTACCATCCTCAAACTGATGGACAAACTGAAAGAGTCAACCAATGCCTTGAATCTTATTTGAGGTGTTTCAGTTGTGAGAAGCCAAGCAGTTGGAGCAGTTGGTTAACATTAACAGAATGGTGGTACAATTCCTCATATTATACCAGCATTAAGATGTCTCCATTTGAGGCATTATATGGAGAGAAGCCTGATATTTTTCCACTTGGAGATTTGACTGATAGCATCATTCCAGCAGCTACCCAAAAAGTTCATCAGAGAGCAAATGTTCTCAAGTTGCTTCAGGAAAACTTGCACAATGCTCAGAATAGGATGAAGGTTTATGCTGATAATAATCGATATGAGAGGATTCTTGCAGTTGGTGATTGGGTATACCTTAAACTTCAGCCTTATAAACAGACTACATTGGTAGTAAAAGCACATTTGAAGTTGTCATCAAGGTATTATGGCCCTTACAAGGTGATGGAGAGGATTGGAGAAGTTGCTTACAAAATACAGTTGCCTGATCATGTGAGAATCCATCCGGTATTTCACGTTTCTTTGCTGAAAAGACATCATGGTACTCAGATTCCCGTGGCAACACCACCACCAAATTTGGAGTCGATTGAAGAAACAACCTTGTTCCTGAGAGAGTTATGCAAAGAAGGTTCATCATAAGAAATAGAATCCAAGTGATTCAGTGGTTGGTCAAGTGGAAAGATTTCTCTGTTGAAAATTCATCATGGGAAGATTTAAGTTTCATCAGTCGACAGTTTCTAAACTTTAAACCTTGAGGACAAGGTTGCACTTAAGGAGGCGGAATTGTCACATACTCGGTTATGTTGCAAATAAAAAAATGCTCTGGGTCGTTTTGTAAGGCGGCTAGAAGTTAGATTTTGTAATATTGATGAAATGGTTAGCTGTCTGATTAGTATTAAATACAGCTGTAATGATTGTATTGCGTAAGTAATAAGCAATAACTGAAGTTTCCTCCTTTCCTTCTAGATTTTATGTTCCTTCCCCTAATTCTGATTCTCTCAATCTCACCCTCCCAATTCAATTCTGTTTAGTTCTTCCCCGCCGATTTCACTAATTCCGGTTAAGGGTTCCAGTACCTGAAACTTAACTAGAACTATGACTTTGAAATATTTTTTGTTGGCTCAAGGCCCAACTCAACTTAAGAGAAAATGAAATAGAAAATACATTTGAGTCTAATTAGCAAAATAAATTTTAATACACACCTATAAACATAATTATAATTATATTTTTAAAAAATTTTAATACATAATAATAAAAATTTAGGGTGGGGCCGGTGGGGGCCAGAACCCCCTGGCCTCACCTTAAATCCACCAGTGATCAAGCCAGCGGTTGGATTAGCACAGAATAAGAATGTTGGATTTTGGGTAATTATGCCTGGTTATGAATCTCGAATTCCAATGAAACGAGAAGTTACCTCACATTGTGCCTCAACCTCCCTAGTGGTAAAAATATATTTCCAAGTCCTTTATATTTTTTATTGCACAATCAGTGTCTGAAATGTCTTGAGTCGTATTACTTAAACAACCTCTATGTATTGAAATTCAGGGGTAAGCATGCGTCAATGATCCCAACCGAGTTGGTAATATACTGGGTATATGAGTAATGATATTCTTCTCTACAAATATAGCTCTACTCATAACTCTACTTGCATGTCTATATAGTTGACATTCCACATCACTACCTTAATTAGAAAATTTTCTTTTAGCTAAAAAAATATAATCTAGTACAATTTTTTTCTTCTTACTCAAAAATAATCTAATCATTAATTACTTCAAATACGCCCAAAATTGCTCCCTCCATTTTTATCATCATAATTCAAAACGAACCAAATTCTAATCTGATTTGGAACATAAAGTTAATGTTGATACTATAGTAGGAAAATTAGTTTTTACCCTCATGATAACGATTTCCTTTTCGCTATGAAATCTGCAAATTAAAGTATGATGAACTACCGATACTCTTTGAATTGTAACATTTTGTGATTTAAGTTTCTGACTTATTAATATGAAATCGATGTTCTTCGTCATGTGCATTATGAAATCATTAATTTTCATATTTTAGACTGCAAATTTAAACCTTCATGAAGAGAAGTATCAATATTCATACTTTTACGAAAAAGATAACATTAACTAAAGTTAGAGTTTCCGACAACAGTAGAATATAGTAATGGTACCAACGTTGTTGTATGGTGGATCACGCGATAGCAGAAAAATTCTATGAGCCCGTTGAGAATGTGGATTTGCATTAGAATGAATATTGAGGTTGATAAACATAGTGGAAGAAAACCAAGTTCCAATTAGATTAGGATTTGGTTCGTTTTGAATTATGATGATAAAAATGGAGGAGCAATTTTGGGCCTGTTTGAAGTAATTAATGATCAGGTTATTTTTGAGTAAGAAGAAAAAAATAATAGATTTATTTTTTAGCTAAAAGAAAATTTAATAATTAATTAAGGAAGTGATGTGAAATGTCAACTAGATAGACATGTAATGTAAGTAGAGTTATATTTGTAAAAAAGAATATTATTACTCATACATTTATATCTAAACAATGGAACGAAGAATCAACCATCCTCACTGTGGAATGACGCAAAACAAACAGGTTTTGTCATTTTTTATTTTCTTTGAATAATCTATTTAATTTGCCGCACCAAATTTCAAGAATTTAACCAATGGAATATTTTGTTTTTAGATTATGAAATAAGCCCAGAAATGGCCGCACAATTTTCCGATGTAGCCCGATTTTCCTCACCCTGACCAAAGAGCCAATGTTAGTGGTGTTCTATTAATTAACGACGGGTATGATCATCTTATTCAGCCAAAATAGTTGCAGTGTGTTTCTTCACCCATTCCAGAATAGTTGAGGCGAATCTATGAGTGCTAATTAAACTGTCAGTGTTTGTTCTTGTTTGTTCGTTGTTTATTACATATAAACAGTCACCTATTCCTGGTTTTTAAAAAATTCGGAATATACACACACACACATATATATATAGTGGAGTAAAACAAAATCGAAAACTTTTCAATTTTTATTTTCTTATGAGTCATGGTGGCAGTCAACTAATCAGGAGTTAGGGGAGAGAGAATTTTTTAGCATCTTTCTTGAAGCTTCTAAATTCTAAGTTCCGACAACCTTAACCTAGAAATTTAAAAAGAAAAAAAATACTCTCTCCGTCCCATAATTATTGTCCACTTTGCCAAAAAAATTTTGTTCTAAAATTATTGTCCAATTTAACTTTTTATGGATCAAGTTACACATTTGTCCTTTGTAAAAAACATTATCCATAAAATCTTAGTGGTTAAACAATTATTTATGTAGGCGTATATTCAGTTGTTTAAGGTAAAATATAGTTAATTTTGACCAAAAATAAAATTTTTCATTTTAGTAAAACTGGACAATAAATTATGGGACGGAGGGAGTAATAGTATGACTGTATAAGGATGCATAACGACGTGGTTAATTAATAATAATGGTAAACTGAAGCAAATTTTTGGTGAAAACCAAAAGGCAAAAACCATTACAATACGCGGTATGTAACTATAGTAGATCTTTACTGTCATTAGATTTGAAAAATAAAAAGCATCAGACCACGATAATTACAATTTAACTAAAACACTCCAACGATACTTATTTCAGATTGAAAATAGTATTACACGCCATTTAGAATTCATTAAAAAAATATATATGGAACTTCACCGCAAGAAAGAAAGAAATCATAAAGTTTCATATATGTTTCTAGTTGTACAAACAAAATCGAAGTCCAACATTTCAATGAACAAACCCATCCATTTTCTTTTTTTATCAATACAACATTTACAATTTGGACCAAAGATAACCAATAAACTATGATGCATGCTCTGGCCCAATGGAAAACAGTATTACAAAAAAAAAAAACTAACACCAGATTAATGGTCACGGAAACAAAAATGAATAATAGTAGTTCAAGGAAAACGTAATGCTGCAAATTTTTAGTAGCAAAGGTGGGCACTAGTAGAAAGCCATACATCATTACTGGACCCAACATCTTTCAAATTCTATTTTTACATCATAAGCAAAAGATAGTTTAAGAATTCTAGGAAAAGTAATCTCACATACTTTTACACAGTACACACCGCCATTGAAGGTACATTGATTCAAGTTCCTAATATGTGCATTCATTCAAATTTTTTTAAGTGCCTAATCTTTTCAGGGAGGACAGACCATACGGAAAGTTTAATTAACACATTGTCTGCAACACTAAGAGAGTTTAAGAGAGTTAAAAGTTTTTCATCTTATCATATGAAAGGTCCAAGCACTCCACTCCAAGTTAGTGAGACTCACCAATTTCATCCAAATGACTGAGACGACCAATTTGGTATCTAGCCTAATGAATAAAAGGTGTGATGAAAGAAAACCTTTTTTCATGCAAAAGAAAAAACCCAATTGATATCCCACAGACACAGAACCCGATCGCAACACAGCACATCATTGGCAAGTAGTAGTAGCTAGTATTAACACAAAAAATACAAATGGCATGCAAGTCGGGACCATCACAATTGCAAAAAGTGGCCATGCATGCTTTACTGCTCTATTTTGATCCCTAAAAAACTGAAGACCAATAAAGTTTCTCAGTTCCTACAACATCTTCGACAATCACCTCAACAAAGTATTTTATGCATGTAAGCCTGCACATTCATAACTGGTGCAAGGAAAACATATTCTTCCAAGTAATTTGAAAGAAGTTGTCATAAACCAAATATATATATATATATATATATATATATATATATATATATATATTAGAAGGTCTTGATTCAAACCTTACCAAATCCGACAGGAGAAGTACTCTAAATAAACTACACTTCTTAATGCATTATAAGATATAAAGAAGACGATGCCGGTTCTCTGCTTTGCCGATGTAAATCTGGGTAGGGTTTGTTATATAGGTACAAAACCGGGTAATTAAGTATAGTAAACTACATATTTTTACCATATAACACAATAATGTTAATTCCTATATCAACCCAAAATCTAAAACTTAACCCACCTTAATTAACGACGGCGGTGAGAGAGAGTTTTCCGAAAGCTGCGTAGACCGCCGTTGGCTGGATAACATTCCCGCCGACACCGCCACTGGACCTTCCCTTCCGAACACCCCAATGAGGGAGTTCCTTCGGCATCTGATCTCCGGCCGCACCGCCGTTACCTCCTCCGGACCTACCACCGCCGTTTCCGTTGCTTGGACCGTTATCTTCGCCAGAGTTCCCATCGTCTTCATCCTCATCTTCATCCTCCTCCTCTTCTTCCTCATCGTCACTCTCATCCTCTTCCTCGTCGGAGTTCTCCCAGGCCTGAAACTCATAAATAGCCTCTGGTCCATGCATTGGAGGGATGTCGATGTCTTGGAAAAGGCGCTCAAGGTCTTCGTCGGTTTCAAAGGCGTACATGATGTCGCCGGTGTTGATTAAAGGGCGGCGATCAAGTTTGGTAGCATCCCCAGCCCGGGTTAACACGCGTCTGGCCATAGACTCCATCACACCGGCCACCCAAACCGGTGCAATAGAGCCAACGGCGGCGCCGGTGCTCCTCTTCAGCCTCAGATGAATGTTCCTGACCGGAAAAACCAGTCCGGCCCTCCGGGACTTGGAGGACCTCCTCATCCTCATCCTTTTGGCTTTCGGAGACTGCCCAGACTTCTTTCTCCCACCATTTCCCTCATTCTCTCCTCTTTTACGGGCCATGTTTTCTTCTGATTTCCACAACAAAAAAAAAAACAGAGATTAAGGTGTTTTCAGTAGGAAGAGAAGTTAAAGAGAGAGAGAAAGCTTTTGCTGGTGTTTGCACTTTGGAGAAGGTTGAGAAATGGGAAGAAATGGCAAATTTTGGTGTATATAGTGTGTGAGGAGGAGGAGGTGGGGGCGTTGGTGAATCGGTGGGACCATTTGCACACAACATTTAATTCTTACACAGTCCAGACAAAATCCATGGCTTCGTTTCTTCTTTTTTTTTCCAATTTTTTGGATTTCGTTTCTTCTTTCAACACCCTTTTTAATAAGCCATTAGTGAGTTCATGGATGCATGGTACTGGTACATATAAAGCAAAAGGAAACAGAGGAGATAGGACGATTAATTAATGGGTGAGAACAAACTGAAACCAAAACCAAACGGATTGGAACAGCTCTTTTTTTTAAAAGAGTTTTGGACTCATAGGTCATAGCCCTAGAGGCTATATAACCAATCAGGATCATGGTTTTTCCTGACCTTCTGTCAGCGTGTGCACCAAGAAACAAAAAAAAAAAAACAGCAAACAGTACTGCCTTCTCTTTCTGTTACAGCCAAATGTGGTGTACGTGAATGAGGACAAACTGACAAGGATTTTGGGATTGTTTTATTTAGTTTTAGGGAGACAGAACTGTGATGAATGAAGAATAAAAATGATTTGACAGATTTTAAGAAATGAATTTGAACTTGTATTGTGTAGGGTTTTTTTTTTTTCCCCTTTTAATAAAAATGTGGGAGGTTGTTTTGTAGATACACAATCTATATGTACTTTTTATGTATTTTTCTAAATTACACACACAAAAAAAAAAGAACTACTATATGGGAGAATGTCCTCAAAACAAAGAAGAAGAAACAAGCAATTAAGCTGTCAAGAAATAGAGGCATTAAATGAAGAACCTCCCTCCCCAATTGCCTTAGAACGACAATGTCTGCTGCCTAGGTTACAGTTTCAGTTTTAGGCGCAGTGTCAAAAACCAAAACACTGCAAAAAAAGATATGAGCTTCATACACTGCCAAATCTCCTTCTGACACTCACGACTCTCTCTCTCTCTCTCTCATTTTCCCTTCACGACCTATATATGCCTACGTCCTGACACACACTTATTCATTTACATTCTTTTCTTCTTCTTAATTACCGACCATCAGATCCGCATCAATTCTAATTTCATTGATCCGAATGTTAACGTGGCACCATCTGGGTATTGCCTATGGAACTGGGGGAGGGGGGGGGAGGGGAGGAAACGCCAAGCAGATTTTTCTATGTCGAAGTCTTTTTGAGATTAATACGGGCATAACGATGATACTTTGACCTTGTATTTTCCAAAATACTTGAGATTTGATCTATTTGAGCCCGACTAGTATTATAGATGATGCACAAAACAGTGGAGAAATGCATCGAGTAATTAGTGGAGTTAATAAAGTAAATGAAATTTTGTTTAATTGCCGCATTTGTTTAGGTTGAAATTGAGTTTGTGTTGCTTCTCTCTGCTAGACTGGTTTCATAAATTTCCTTTTGTCATTCAAAATTCGATGGGGATGTTCGAAGATTTTGGTACCAATTTTTCTTTTTCTTTCCCATTCCCCCTTCCGAAATGGAACTTAGTTTTGATGTTTAAGTACCGGATTTAATTTATAGCATCCCGTTTCTGTAGTTCAGTTTGAAAATTGATGATTCGTGTATATATATATTATATATATATATAATCTAAAATAGAATTGATGATTTTTTCTTTGCCTTCACTACATCTGATTGCTCTAATACTTACAAATTATTTGGGAACTAGGCATTTCAAGCCCCGCTTTGCGGGGCCCACTAGTTACATTCAACACTAGAAAACGTAAGTTAATCTAGTAAAGTTAGTAGTACAATATAGTAACGAACTAATTATAATGTATGTTATTTTTTAAAATGGAATGACTATAATGTTATCAACAATTTATTTATGATAGATACGCAAGCAAGATTAGTAGGAGGAATGACTTAAGACAATGAATTGATAAAGTTACATAAGATGAATTAACTTTGTTGCTCTATTATATTATGTGAGCAATTTGTTCTATTCACTATAGAGTTCATTTTGTTTTTTTTGGAAAATATATAGGTTGTACCCCATCTGTCTTAGGAAGTAGTTTACAATTATAAATTTCACTTAAAACAATACATTTGAAGTTAATGCAAATTTATTTTACGGGACATACAAAATGGTTTGGAACTAATTTAATGTAAACAGTAAAAGATGAGAAAAAAAATTCTCATTCATCATAAAGTCAAAAATATATTCCTTAATGAAAATAAGTTTAAATTGTAAAATATACAACTAGTGAGACATTAGACAATGAGAAGTGGCACAATTAGCCAAATGTATTTGAAAATTGAAACTTGTGATAGGATACTGACACTTGGCTATTTGTAGACTTGTAGTCCATTAATGAAATCCATCAGGCGAGTTAAAAGCTTAAAAATAATAGGCATGTTTGACCTTCGGTATTGTAAAATGAACAGAGATGGTTGGTGTTGGTGTGTACATGAAGATTTTGGGATATTGGAGGAAGGAGTAGAGATGAGAGAGAAAGTATTGACGGAATTGTAAAAAGGAACAAAAAGCAATCATGAAAAGAGCCATAAAATATTAGTGGTGGCAACTAGACTGCCACGTCGGATTCGTAAAAAAGTTCGTTATATTTGATTCAGGTACCTATGATTGAGTAATCAGCTTGTTCATTTTATGTCCTGGTCCTCCTGGATTTATCATTTATATTTGATGGATTGATGAGTAAGAAAGAGCCGAAGTACTTCTACTAGTGAATCTTAATGTTGTCTAGTTGGTGGAACTAGAACTTCATTCCGATTCCAGTGATAAAGGGTTCGTTGTAAATTCACTAGCGAAAGCTTGTGACTTAGATGGAACGAAATGTGAAGAACAGATGTGCAAGTAAATAGGGCCAATGCCAGTGATAAAGGGTTGATTTATCAAAAGAAAAAATTGGGCCAATGCAACTGTTGCTGATTGGAAAAATTATGTTGGGCTTTTGATTTATGAAGAATATCGTTTGAGCTCTTTGAAAATGAGAAGCTCTTCATTGTGATATTTTTCTGTCCTTTTTTTTTTTTTGAGGAATCTTTTCATACAGAGCATCTTCTCTCGTCTTCTATAAACTATGTTTATTTTGTTTTTTAGTGTATATTTTTAAATATTCTTTTATATTAAGAACGTAAAAAAATATGTTGGGATGAGACAGTTATTATTTAAATATTTTGAACATACCATAAAAAAAAAACATAACAAACAAGATCGACGTAGCAGCCATTGCAATAATCATTCCAATACCTTGTTGTTACAATTTTAACTTTCCAAGCCAAGCGTTTTTATTTATAGAGTCTTGCTCATGGAAATATGATCATCGATTTTCTGCATATTTATTTTATTTTTGTAGACTGGATTGAGCCGTTGAGACTGAGCCGGACCTTGCGGGCACTAAATGTATTTCCTTGATACCATAATAAGTAATGTTTCATATACTATCTTCGTAAAATAAATATGACTCTTATTTTGGGAGGAAAAGAGAAATATATTCAACTGTAATATAAAAGCCTATCCCAAAGATTTTATGCTTTGTTAATTAACAAGCTCTGTTTTGCCGTTTATTTCATGATTTCAGCTCTGTTCTTTAAAACCCACCATGTTGCTGTATCCGTTCTAAGAAAATATAGGTCTGGAATCTCTTGGTGGAGAATGCCCAAAAAGCCAAAACATAAAGGAGTTAGAAGAAATCCTCAAGCTTTGGGTAAATTAGTAGCTCTCTGTGCAATTTGCTACGCATTTTAAACGTATAATAATAGATGTTCATGTTTCTGATGAAAAAATTTACAAAGCTGGCGTTTTCCTTCTGTTGGTTGCGGCACAATTACTCAGCCCAAAAATGGTCAACCTGTTAATTTCAAGCTCAAAAAAACACTCAGTGGCGGAGCTAAGATTTTATGTTAGGGGGTGCAAAATGAAATTATCGAAATTAGTGTATTATATGTACTACAAAAATTATAAGTGTTAAATTTACCATTTTTCTCATTAAAAAAGAAATCTATGCCCATCCAACTTGTTTCATTTTATAAATATTTTATATATTATTTTTTGCAACTAAAAGTCATGTTATTATACATTTCATCTTTATTCTTAAGATAATTTTTTTCATTTTTCAATTAAAAACTAATACACCATCAAAATGGCCCTAAACTTACTATATTTTTCATTAATTTTTGTTGTACAGCTTCAATCGCATAGGTTTTTATAATGTTAAAGAGAAAAAATATGTATTAACACGTATTTAATAATCATCAATGGGATATTATCATAATAAAATTTCAAATTGGAAAAGTTTAAAAAAATTAAAATTTTAACCTCGTACGTTAACAATTAGCACCGAAGAAAACATGATTTAAACAATAGAGGAGATAAAAAATAATGCTTCGTAAACTAACAAAAAAATAAACAAATAAAAATATAAAATTAATGTTTTCCCTTTTTGGTTGTTTACTGAAGTTTGCTGAAATGGTGTTGTTAGTTGATAAATTAAAAACTTGGTCTATTTAAGGGGAAAAAGAAAAAGAAAAGAAAGTTACGCCAAGTAATAAATCTATGTAAATTGGGTCAGCTGATGCAAGATTTTGGATTTAAGAGGTTTGATTTTTTTATATTTTTTTATTTATTTTAAGGCTAAGTTTTATTTTTGTTGAATAAGCCTAATTGAAAAATAGTGACTATTATGTCTTTCTCGTTATTTAAAAATTAAAAGTGAAAAATAAACTAACATATATTTTTTGGCAAACTTTTCTATATTAGCTTTTTATTAAAAAAAAAGTGTAACACAAATACAACATAGATTTTGGATTCACAAAAAGCATTGTAATTACTATACATGTTTAAAAATATTTAGGAGGGGATCATATCTTATTTATCTTTCTACATAAAAATATATAACTTTTAAAAAAATTAAAATCGGAGGAGGTGCGGCCGAACTAGCTCCCCCACCCCACCCCCAGGACAACCAAATTGGAAGATTTCTCATTCTTTTTCATTTTCAGTGAGAATAGACAGGAAAAGCATGGAAACAAAAATTGTTGTTCACATTGACTTCTTCAAGTTTTTTTATTTTATCACCAAACGTTTCTCATAAGTTGATGTTTGTACTGTATTTCTTTTTTTTTTTCTTTTTTTTTGAAACAAGTATTTCATATCTTAAGTTCAAATGAAAGATTGTTAGGGCTCTTAAGAACATTAGCACATGTATTATGTATTGTGAGATGAATTTTCACCCCCACACTCCATAACATTGTTGGCAATGGGGAGTTTTACTTCTCTTTTTGGTTAGACGAACCACTATTTGTAATAAAATCGTGGTTGGAATATGACGCCGTTGATATTTTATACTGGCGTTTTGTAATATATAAGAGTTTTAATCAATTATCTCTTTTCTTATGCTAAAAAAAAAAAACCGAAGATGAAAAGAATAAAATAAAGGGATTATTACAAATTTGTTAGAATGAAGGGAATATTTGTTTTCATTCAGATGCAAATAGATCATAGCCTACCGACCAAGTCAATTATTTGTTATGTTGAAATTAGAAACAAACACAAGCAATAATGAATTTCCTTTCTTTAGTTTATTTTTGGGTCACGCAATAGAAGAAAAATTTACTGTTTGGAAATTGGGACTCATGCAAATCCAGTTCACTAGCAAACAACGGGAAAAAAAAATTTAAAAAAATTCTCCCAAGTCCAAAAGAATAGAATAAAAGCGGCCTACAAAAATATTATGGAAGCAGAGTGGCGTCGCCCGGACTCGAACCGGAGACCTTCAGTGTGTTAGACTGACGTGATAACCAACTACACCACGACACCCGGGTTTGATTACTCAGGTTGTCCATTTATTTTTTAAGCTATTTTCTCTGGCCAAATAATCGGCTAATTATTTTCTGCTCCTGCAAAACAGTAATGCCTCGCCCGCCGGATAGCCTGAAAATTTCCCAATGACGAAGCAACAAATCTAAGCACTTTCTGCAATCTAATTAATTTTCTTACTAATAAAAATAATACTAATAATAATAACACGATTAAACTCCCCAAGTTATTTCCATCTCCTCTCATCGCTCATGCATGCTTAAATGTACGAAACTGCAACATAGTGAAAATGATGGGAATTATTCTACCTCAAATAAAACTGAACTGAACGTTAATGGTCAATTCTCCGTTGTATTTTATCATGGTCCCCTAGTTTCCATATCAATATATTAGTAAATTTGCTACGTAAACTTTGTGTGTATCTATATTTAGGACAAATTAGTAAGTAGTATTTTATTAGTCAATGCATGGATGCACTTCCTGGAATCAACGTCGACCCTGCAAAAAAAAAAAAAATAAATAAATAAGATTGATGATGGAGACTTAAGGCCATCGAAATTTGAAAGGAGAGTTTTTGTCAAAGCTCACGGGTGAGGAAATTTCTCACCATTTGGCAGGCAATGAGCTTCCCAATATTATTCATAACAGCCCACCTAGTTGTACGTAGTTGCTTCCATTTTGGCTAATATAATGTAACCATTTTTTTAAAAATATATTTCCATAGTGGGAATGAAAAACAAAGCATGAGAATTGAGAAGGATACGTATAGAACAATAACATAATGGATATTGAAGAAAATTTTTTACTACAGAACACTATTTGGTTTCGATTACTATGACTTTTACACGGGGACTTCAACGGCTGTTGTAGGCCTTGCCCTAGTCATTTTACTTGTCAACGAATTAAACTAAAAGCTACGATAACATTTTACCTGATAACCAAGTTACCATTATTTATAAGAAAGTTGGCAGAGTTGGAAAAGCCAACCAGGAATGATATATCACTAGCAAACAACAAACTGTGTAGTTAAACTTTTGCTTAACATATTGATACATTAAATATAAATTATTCTCTATATTACGGAATGATTATACTGTTTATTGTATTATTTTAGGACGGATGAAGTATATAATTTATATAGAATTTTCAAATTTGTATTAAAATAAGTACACATTTCGAACCTTAATGTGAATTATTTTTTTAAGGATGGAAGGAATCTATAATTGGACATGTTAAAGTCAGCTAACATTACCAGTGAAGAACAAATTATTTTTAAATTACAGTAAATATGATAATCATTTTGGAATGACGGGATGAAGACTAAAAATTGTGGATCACGGAGCATAGTCGGGTCAACCAACGTCGCAAGAAAACAAACGAATGATCCCTGGAATAAGAATAACTTTCGCACGACTCTCCCCCTCCGGAAGAAGAAGAAGAAGAAGAAGAAGGCGACGGGAGACTTGTGTTGACCGCATCCGTTTTTCTATGTTATACACCTTCCTGATTGTGGACCAATTCGTGGGTTTTCCCGGGTCCCGCCCTAATGCTGATTCAACATGTCAATGAGTAAGTAAGTGCTAAAAGTCTAAACCATCTGTTGCTTAGTGGAAAACCTTGTCATCTCAATGACTGATGTTATTCTGATTCCTACTAAACCTGTCCAGCTAAATTTTCAACGTCCTGCACTCTATGTCTGTATTGAAATAAAAATCATGTTTGTTAAACTCTTTAACTAAAATTAAAAATGAATATCATCATCTTATAAGCAAGTACATATACAGAACGTGATTTTTTTCGTTCTACAATTAATGACATATTATTTCTCCATTGAAACAAGTTTTGAATTCGAGACCGTCAATATGCACCAACGCAGAAGGGATTAGTCGAAATAACGTACATAACAAATTTCTTATCATAACACAAAATCAACATATGAGTGGTAAAAGAATAGTTGCAAAGTTGCAAGAAATGGAAAAACTCAAAACCCAATAGCCACCCTTGAGTCCTTGACCTTGGTGGGAGAATAAATTGGATGACAAATCTAGAAGGTCAAGTAATAAAACATTAAAAAAACGACAAAACCCAAAAAAAACTCATATCATCATTATTATTATCTTATTACTACTATCTGATGAAGAACCCACACTTGTAAAACAATCCGAAACCATGGCACAAAACGCAAGGAATTCAATTCCAAAATAAGGATCGCCGGGTTTGGGTGTGTTGTGTTGTGTGGTCCGATCTAAATCCTTCACTATATTCGCACCTAAATTTGACGAGGCAGATTTTAAGAATAGACTGACAGGTCAGCCACCCCCTAGGCCCCTACTGTGCGAGTGTGTGTTAGTTTTTATTACTACTTTATTCACCATCACTTTAACCTCGCCAATGGCATCAAACTGAAGACAGAAGAAAATTAGAAAAACTGTGAAAAACTTCCCTTTATCAACTCTGCCATCTTCCCACCTTCCCACATTCCCAACTGCCCTTTTTCTTCTTCTCTTCTATTCTAATTCTACTAGCCCCTTTTTACTACTACTACTACTACTGCCTCTATCCTAAATCTTCTCCACTCCTCAATTTCATCAATTACCTTACAAAAGGAAACTTGGGTCAAGTCAATTATCTTATATTCATCATTTTGTATGTATAATATTGCCGCCGTTGAGCTGAAAAATGGGTTACTGCACGAGTAATTTTGCGTTGATGTCGGAAGATATTGCTGTCCGGGAAGCTGCTTGCAGTGGGCTTGAGAATGTTGAGAAGTTCATCAAGTTGTTCTCAGACAAGAAACAGGAATTGGGTACTCAGTTATCTCTGTCGGAGCAGCAGGATGCGGCGGATGCGGCCGTGAACAAGTTCAGAAAGGTAATTTCACTCCTGGGAAGAACCAGAACCGGGCATGCTCGGTTTAGGAGAGGACCGTTGGTTTCTAATTCTTCCTCGTACTCGTCGTCCTCGACGTTGACGACGACCAACGCAACGGCTCAAATTCCGGTCAAAGATGGCTCGAACGATGTCCTAGACGATAAAATTTACTGTCCGACTCCTATCCAGCAAATTCCGCCGGTTGACCACTTCCATCACCTGATTAACCATCACCATAATAGCATTTCTCATCAGTCAGATGTTCCGTTGACCGGCGTGGTTGTTGACCGGAAAGAACCAATGTCGAGATCCATTAGTTTCTCCTACTCCCCGGCGATTTCTCATGCGAATTCCTTCATCTCTAGTCTGACTGGGGAAACTGATCAGAGCAAGCAACCCACTTCGTCTTCCCCGGGATTCCAAGTAACCAATATTTCGCAGGTCTCCTCTGCCGGAAAGCCTCCGTTGTCTTCTTCCTCTTCCTTTAAGAGAAAGTGTATGTCAGAAAATGGTGTCTCCGGCAAGTGCAGTGCTTCATCCGGCCGATGTCACTGTTCTAAGAAAAGGTGAACAGAGTAGCCAATTTATACTATAGTATATATGAAGTGTTACTAATGTTGAGTGAATGGACACATATAGTTTGGAGTTTATCCTTAGCTAATTTTAATGTTCAAAAATATTTGCAGGAAGTTGAGATTGAAGAAAGTGATCAGGGTTCCAGCAATAAGCATGAAGATCTCAGACATTCCTCCGGATGATTATTCTTGGAGAAAATACGGACAGAAGCCCATCAAAGGTTCTCCGCATCCCAGGTAATAATATTGAAGATTCAATATTCTTATATTAACTGATTTCACTTATTAGATAGCAATTAGTTTCCAAGTTCATGTTTTCCAACCTTATACTAAAATTTGCTCCAATTTTCTACATGAAACAGGGGTTACTACAAGTGCAGCAGTGTGAGAGGATGTCCAGCAAGAAAACATGTAGAGAGGGCTTTGGATGATGCAACTATGCTGATTGTTACTTATGAAGGAGAGCACAACCATTCCCTCACAGTTGCAGAAACGAATTCAGCACTCATTTTGGAATCCTCTTGAGTCTTACTATTATAGAAATGCAGTTTGTTGGAGCAAAAACAGCAACATTATTAGCACTAGAAAAAAGTTTGTTCTTCTGGGTAGAAGCAGCAGCAGCAAATGTAAAATTATTACCTAATTAAGCTAGCAACTGTATTCATCAGTAGTTGATTAGTCATCACTCAATCAGTCCGTGTCTCGAAGGAGATAATTGTTAAAGTTACTGATTAATTAGTGGGAGAAAGACTTTTAATTAGCCAAAATGTTTCTTGTACAAGATCATCATCATCATCAGCGTCTTATCTGTGTACCCTTTTTGGTTTGCTGTAGAATTTTGAGTCATCGTGAATCAAAAGAATTGACTAAATACGGAGGGGCAGGTGGTGGGTTTGGACTATTTTTGATGCATGCATGGCCATATTTCAAATTAAAGAATTGCAATTTGCAGTATACTTCTTTTTTCTTTTTCCTAATTATTTAAGCAGCTATCAACTTTTACTTTTTGGGTTTTATGGGTCTATCGTTGAACTTTGTCCTTGGATTCCCCAGATTTCTCTAGTCTGTGTCCATCACGACGGCTTTTGCTTTTTCTTTCTGCAATTTTCTTGGCCAAAATTGTTTATTAAAAAAAAAAAAAAAAGTGGAAAAGTGGTGGGAACTGGGAAGTGGGAAGAAGGTAGATCCATCCACAAGATCAGAGGCCTAGTCAAAGATGATGACGACAATTGGACCTTTGCTGGACCATATCCTGTTTCTAACGGTTGACCAAAGTCACTAAAGCAAAGTTTGGTCGTTGTGAATTTTGTTGTTACCATGTGATTCGGGAATTTCCCCTTTTACTCGTTCTTTATAAAAAAAAATTGAGGATATATTCAATGATGATAGTTTTTGTTGAGAAAAGTGTTAATAAAATTGCACGAAACAATACAATGAACAATTAAAAAGTTATTAGGACATTGGGTTTTACGGCGAATGTAACATACACTTACGGATAGAAAGATAATTTTCATCAGACAAGGTTGTTTGAACCATACATTATAGATTGGTTACCATTTCATATAATCAACCAATTCAAATGAATGCAAATGGGAACCAAAATGGTACCATGTGCTCATCGGTTCTTGTTCAAACTGTTCGGTTTACTGTGGTTTTTTTTTTTTTCCAAAATTACTCCATAAATGGTACTGAAAAAAGAGTCGTTCCGCAAGTCCGGAAAAGATGTTGGGCTCACTGGGGTAGTCTTTTAGCGCATCATCAATTTGTTAAAGACTGAGAAACATTGACTGATGAAAACAACAAAGAAAAATGGCTGGTTAGGAATGGCCTTGTTAAGAATTTGGAACCCCACGGTTCAGTGACTCAGTGATGCTAAAAGTCAAAATGTGCAGCTATAGAGAGCTAAAGGTGGGACTTTTGGGGTTTTGGCCATAGAGCACTTGCATGGACTCTCCCTTCCATTTCCATATTTGTGTTACTGTTGTTATAGTATATTGCTGCCACAGACACAGAAGAAAAAAAGACAAATTCTAGTAGATTTTAAAACATCTCAATCACAACCAAATTATAGCTTATGTTGAATTGTTGATGAATGAATGATGATCCTGTTTGGTTTTGTCTTTGGTCATTTGGTGCCAATTCTCCATATTGGAGAGTCTCAGAGAGTGGAGGGGATTCCTAATTCCCAATCTCCTACTTCCACATTTCTCACTTGTAATTTTGTGATGCAATAAAGTAGATTTTGTTTCTGCCCTTTTTGTAAATAAGAAGATAATCATGATCCCCAAGAATGGTCCACTGATTTCTTTTTTCATTTTTTTAATTTTGCCTTTTATACGTTTTGGAGCCATGAATGGACTCTCATTTCTAAACATTTTTCCCCACAACGCCAGGGAGGCTTGACAGCTTACTATAATATAATGCCACGATCTCTTCATTTTGGGTTCAACCCAGTAAACCAATAAGTATCTTTGAAGTATTTGATCCAAAAGAGTAGAGGAAATTTACATTAATTCGCTATAATTCGCATTATTGATTATCTAGTAATGATTAAAATAATCGTTAATAACAGTTTATTCTAACATAAACCTAGAGCAATGTTGCCGATAAAATTTTGTTTACCTGTTCGAATTCGGAGAGAAAATTCATGTGATCACTGATTAAAATACTTATCAATAGATATTTTACTAAATTACCAAGTTCGTAGAGTTTACTTCTCAAAAAAAAAAAAAAAACAAAGGTTGTAGAGTTTTGCTTATTCATCCTGAATCCAGACCTAACAACCACAGGCATTTTTTGTAAACAGATTTTGCTATGTTGATGCTTCACTTCATTCGAGAGAATGTGATAGTTACATAATTTTAGAGAACTCAATTTATCTACTATCACTTATCGGTTTCTTTTCCCTTTGTGACAATTTTGAAAATTATCTAGCACTAGAATTAGAGGATGACGTTGTTTTGAAACTTGTAATTGACAGTTAACACTTAAATAATAGTCACTTTAATTAACACAATCTCTTAAAAGTGCATAATTTAGTCGCTTACATTCTCTTTCGATCATAAATTACTTAAAATATATTGTATATTACTTAGCAGAATGCAACAAGCTTTAGAGTCTGTATCTAGTATATCTGGGAGTACCGTGTACTTCCTCCTATTTTTTGTATTTTTAGTACTTATTGTACTTTTTTACCAATTTTTCTATATTTTACAAATTTAGTCTCTGTCATTTTTTCTCTTTCTTCCGAAAAAAATATCTCTAATCTTTCAACGAGCATATCTCTCAATCCGTGAAAAATTTGTGAACGAATTATATATGAAATTTATAGTACTTGTCGAGATCTATCCAACAAGATCCATAATGAATATTTTTTCGGGCTTAAAAATGACTTAATTCTGATGGACAGAATAAAGGTGGATATCCAGTTTTACAAGATGGATAACCAACTTGTTCTAAATTGGTTATCCATCGTGTTCATGCTAATTATCCAATCAGTTTGAACTGGTTATCCATTTTGTTTGTACTGCTTATCCATTTGGTTTGTATGTCTATCCAACTTGTTTGTAATGGATATCTCACTTGTTTGAAATGGATATCCAACTCGCTTCTACTGGATATCCATCTATTTGGTTTATATGCTTATCCAACTTATTTTGTAGTTGTAATTCAAAGGGTTTGTATGCATATCCAACTTATTTGTGCTGAATATCCAACTCGCCTGTACTGGATATCCATCCACTTCATATTGATTATCCAACTTCTTAATTCAAAATAAATTGGTTATCCATCTTCTTAAACTGGATATCCAATGTGTTCATATTGATTATCCAACTTCTTTGTGGTGGTTATCCAGTATTTTTTTTCCTTGTTTTTTTATGAAAATGATTTTCAAACTTTTTTGTACTAATTATTGACCGATTATCTAATTATTTTCTATTGATTATCCAAATTGTTTGCAATGCTTATCCAATCATTTTTTCTTTTTCTTTTTTTTTTTAAGAATGAATGTCAAAAATATGATTGGATAACAAGTACAAACAGAATGGATAATCAGTCCAAATCAGTTGGATAATCAGTAGGAACACAACGGATAACCATTTTCAAAGAAAAACGAAAAACACATTTCTTCATTTCTGCCCGTAAAATTTAAATGCATTTAAAGTTCAAAAAAAATATTCAACGTGGATCTTATCGGATAGATTTCTTCGAGCACTATAAATTTCATGTGTAATTTGTATTCTAATTCTTTACGGATTAAGAGATATATGCAATACAAGAATCTTAATCTAAACTACACTGGTTATCCATCTTTCTAAACTAGATATCCATCTTATTCTGCCCATCGAAATTTAGTCATTTTTAAAATAAAAAAAAATATTCGACATAGATCTTGTTGGATAAATCTCGACGAGTACAATAAATTCATGTATAACACGTTCTTTAATTTTTTACGGATCATGAGATATGATCGTTTAAAGATTAGAGATGTTTTTTAAAGGAGAGAGGAAAAAAATAAAAGGGACTAAACCAGTAAATTATAAGATGCTATTTAGAAAAATAGAAAAAAGTATAGTAAAGACTAGTAGTGTAAAAAATAAGAGGGGGAGTATGATGCCCTCGGTTATACTGGATAAATTGCCACAAGGGTTACTCATCATCCATAAATAATCTCAAAATTACCGAATTATAACAATATTTTATCTTATCTACATAATGTTCTAATCGGTAGAAACCGGGCTATATATTCACTTAGGCTTGTGATTTTACCAGGACAAAAATTAGCATTCAGGACAAATCTCTCAAAATTGCCCCTAGTAAAGTCAAACTTCATTTCTCTCCCTAATTCATCATCTCTCTCCCTGATCTCCGGCATAACTCCTTTTCACGTATCCTCTCTCATATTTCCCTCCAAAATAATCAGTTTTCATCTCTCTCCCTCCAATTTTTTTTTCTAGCGTAATGCTAGGAATTGGATTAACTAAGGAATGTCCTCATATTTGGTGGGAAGTTTTACTTTTTTTATGGGACATCTTGACAAGCAAAGGCAGATGGAGAAAACAATAAAATCATAAGTGGATTGGATTCTTGTGCTCTCATCTACTTAATTCTCTTATTTAATCGTGTAAGTTTTCTATTTTCTTCTTACAAATTGTTTACACCGGTAGTATTTTTCTTTTTTTGGCATGAAAAAACTCATAGAAAAGATTGATTCTATCTTTGGATTAATTGTCGATGTGCTCATCCATCTGTGAATTGGTTTTTCTTATTAGTAAAGTAGAAGCAAACACGAACTGTAGTGGAGCCACAAATTAATGCACTCTAAGTGTTTGTTGTTTTTACTGAGAGTAATATGTTTAGTCATGACAATTGATATAAAATATTTAATCAACTATTTTGTTGATCATAGTAAAAGTCTAATCACGTAGGAACACTAGTTTATAAAACTTAATGTTTTTAGCCAAGAAATAATTTAGCCATAGTAATGTGTATAATTCAAGAAACAATTGAAAATAGGAAGAATAGATCTTACGGGAATGGTGTTTGTTTTTATCTCTATTTGCACATATTAGTGTTAGCATTCGAGATGTTCTTTTTATCAATTAAAAAGGCTTAAATAGCTTGAGTATGCTTTTGAGTATGCCAAAGGAGCTTAAGCATGTACTTGTCGTTGTTCATTCCATTTAGGTGTATTATTAAAGCCAAATTGATGTCATTCCTCATAATGTAACCATGGTACGAAGATGGGAGAGAACCCATAAACCAAGTCTTGTAGCATTAATAAACGAAATGTGTTAACTCATTGTGTTTATTTTGACTTAATTTGGCCAATTTCAGAACAAAAAGGACTGCATATAACATAGACAAAGAAAAAAAAACTGCAGTTTAGACTAAAACTTGACCACCAAATTGATCAAATTGCTGGTATTATCATCATATCACATTACAAATTCGTCTTCATTCTAAGAATTTTTTATTTTATTTTTCTTGAGCAAGTACGATCTACTATAATAGGCATGACTTATTTAAATCTTTTTAAGACAACTGTCTTGTTGGTATTTTATGAACGTTGATGACTCAAAACTTCTTATATTTACTTTTGAAGTTTTTCTTTTTTAATTAGACACTAATAAGGATCATGGAGTTGGAGAAAATGGAAATTTTATTTTGAATCATGGTATTAGCCAACAAAATGTAATGGAAGCAGGCGTTGCTAGGCTACTTGGTGGAGCTTATGAAACTCGTGAAGATCTCATAAAGGCGGCGAAAGAATTTTACTCAAATCAAGGCTATGTCTTATCAATCAAAAGTTCAAGAGCAAATAAAAATGTTACCATTGGATGTGACAGAAGAGGAGTATATCGAAATAGAGTAAATGTTCCCATTGAAGATAGGAAAAAGGGAACAACCACTCGCCTCACAAATTATCCTTTTCAATTATATGGGAAGAGACAACAAGAAGGTTTTTGGAAGCTATATTTACAAAATGATTCACATAATCATGAAGCTTCCAAAGATATTTCTGGACACCCATCGGAGCGAGTGTTTTCAGAAGAAGAGATCTTATGTGTGAAGAATATGAGCAAAGCTGGAACACCACCATGCCAAATAATTTCTTTTATTCGGGAAAAAAATCAAGACTCTCTAATCACTCTTCGAGATGTTTATAATATGAAGAGAAAAATCTCAAGAGAAAACCTTCAAGGACGTACTGCCATTCAAGTTTTATTTGAAGAGTTTAGTGATGCTGGATATTTGTTTGACTTTAAAGATGATGGGGAAGGCCGATTAACCCATATTTTCTTTGCACATCCTGAGCTGATTAAATTGAGCATAACTTATTCAACCGTCTTCGTCATGGATTGCACATATAAGACCAATCGCTATAAGATGCCATTGCTGGAGATAATTGGTATGACCAGTTTTAACACCCCATTCTATTCATGCTTTGTAGTTTTAAGAAAAGAAGAACAAAATGATTATGAATGGGCGTTGCGTGTTTTTGATGAAATGCTTGGTGATGGAATTTGTCCTCTGGTTATTGCCACTGATAGAGAATTAGCATTGATGAATGCTATTAAAGAAGTTTTTCCAAGTACTTCAAATTTGTTGTGTGTTTGGCATATTGAGAAGAACATTGTTGCGAAGTGTAAATTATACTTTGAGAAAAAAGATTGGGAAGATTTTTTAGCAGCATGGAATATGGTTGTTTACTCTTTTACAGAGGAAGCATTTAATCAAGCATGGTATGAGATGGAGTTATCATACAAAGGAAAGGCAGATATTCTCATCTATCTTCGACGCACATGGTTTCAATTCAAAAAACATTTTGTTAGTGCTTGGACGGAAAAAAAATTACATTTTGGTACACGTTCTTCATCTAGAGCAGAAGGTGCACATTCAAAATTGAAAAGATATTTATCCGTCTCAACTGGTGATTTGTTGGTTGTGAAACAGAAAGTATCTCTTCTCCTTGAAAATGATATCAAAGAGCTCAAAGTAAGAATATCAAGGGAAAGGATTCAAGTTCCTCACAAATGTAGAGTTCCATTTTTCAAAGATGTGTTGAATAAGGTGTCACTTTTTGCCTTGGAAAAGTTAGAAGAACAGTTTGAGATGTTAAAAAATCACAAACTGAGTATGACTTGTAGTGGTACTTTTTCGGCCACTATGGGGTTGCCTTGTGCCCATATGATGAGTTCTTGGAAAGGAAAGTTTATACCTCTTGCAGCTATACATCCGCAATGGCGTATTGATACTAGAGAATCTCTTCTTGATGTTAGTGAGAGCAATAATAGTGATCCTATGTTGTGCAGCTTGTTTAGTAGGTTGGAAGGAAAGTTTCAACAGTTACCTCTCAATGAGAAGAATAATTTCAAAGAAAAATTGAATGAACTTCTTGGTGAGGAGTCTTCATTGAACTTTGAGCTGACTGTACAACAAGGTAAAGGAAGGCCTTCCACTAAGAGAAATGGAATGAGTTCAACAACAAGAGAGCCATCACAGTTTGAAATTGTTGAAGCAGGATTGAGGAAAAGAACTCGTAAACATGGAGAAGGTGGTCAAACTAGCCAAATTGCCACAATGAACTTGAGTGATGACAACTATCCATTGAGTTTGGTTGATTTGAATTACCCACCAACTTCAAACGAACAAATTTCGTGGAACTAAATTCCAATACTGGTATGTGTCATTTGTTATTTAACTTATTGTGTATTTGTTTCATCATTTGCTATCTTTTTTTTTTGGTCAATTTCGTTCATGCTTTTGATATGGTAAAAATGTTACTTGTATTAGTATTGGAAAAGAAAGTGTTGCTACTAAAAACACGTTTAAATTTTGCAGCAAAGTGAGTCTAGTACCAGTTTGGCAGTTTATGGATCCTTCCTATCAATTCCAAGTTGGAAATGCACATTCTACAAAATGAAGAAAGCCAAACACAAATTAAAGGCTATTTGATAGTGATTTACATGCTCTAAGAACACTGGATTTTGGCTGCTCCATGTTTCTTCGCAGCACTAGAATTTTCTTTTTTATTGCATTTCTTTTTTGGAAACATGGTATAATGTTGCAATTTATCTATTTTTTTGCTATTAAACTGGATGGAACTGTTTTTGTTGCTTTCTATTATATATATGAGTTTGATCCTTGGATTGCAGCATTAGCTACTTTTTTTTTCCTTTGTTTTAAGTTTTTGTAACTAGTCGAATGATCCATACAAGACATGACAAATCATAACATCCATACCAACAAATGCTTTTAATTTGACAGTAAAAGTAGCACAGTAAAAGAACGGAGTGCATTTGCAGGGCTAATCAAGAGCTTTTGACTTAGCCATCATAAATCAGCAAAATGACACTAAAACATACACTTGGCACATAACTCCGAATCAATCTCTAGCTTAAGGGGGAAAAAAACAGGGGAGAAATATATCTCAGTATTACAGTTGAAGCTTCAATAGGTAAAAATGCATATTCATTACCTATACTAACTTCATTTTTGGATTGAGATAATCTGCTGCTGTTCAGAATTTATCACCTGCAATTTAGCACAAAGAGCATTACCACCATCAGAAGCATCTCAATTAAGAAACTAATTCGTGAATTAAGATAAAGAAGCACTCACAATAACTCATCAACTAACATCCACATATTGAGAAAACAAAATTAAAAAGGAAGAGGATTAACGTGTAATGCATCATAATACTTATAAATTTGTGAAGCAATTGCGAGTCCCAAACTGATTTCAGGTGGAAGAACTAAATGCCCATTTCATGTTTAGATCTAATTTGAAAGTTTGTTTATTCAAAAAGGTTCCTTTTTTGAGGAATTTGTTTGAGAAGAGCATCCTTGCTGTATGTTTCATCTCTTTCTCTTATTTACACAAGTGAGAGAAACAATTGTTGTCAAAAATAAAACTGGCCGAAAATCCCACGTTGCAAGTTGCTCTGCTTCCTGTATCTCTGCACCAAATTTTGAAGCACAACTACAGATGCAGAGACCAGAAACAAAACTCAATTTGACTCTATTTCTTGGTCAGCACCTCTGAAAAAAAAAATCAAATCCCAATTGAAATCGGAATACATAGGCAGAATTTGGAAACAAACCACCGCCAAAATTTTTCCATCTTCCTCCCTATAAATATTCAAGTCGTCCCTTGATTCATTCCTTCCTCATTGAAGAATTCAACATCAATTCATCAGTATCAACAATCATAGGCTGCAGATAAAAGTTGAAAGACAATAAATTTGTCAGAAAGAGAAGATGTTGAGCGAAAAGGAAAAGGAAATTCATCAGTATCGACGATGTTCCCACACCCTAAATTTCTTGCTGGCCGAAAAGGAAATTAAATAATGTTGGCCACCAGCCGAAAAGGAGAGAAAAGGAACGGTGCCGACGGAAGTAGAGAGAGAAAAAAAATTAATGGGATTTATGAATTAATTACCCGAATATCAGGAGAGGATTTGAGTTTACGAGGGGTAATTTTGGAAGATGGTTAAAATTTTGCCCTGGATGCTAATAACTGTCCTGACAAAATCACTACCATTCACTTATTGTAAAAAAAAAAAGAAAAAAAGAAAAAAGTTATGCCGAGTAAAGTGCAAAAACTCAAGTGAAAATATGCATCCTAGCTCAAAGTTGTTTTTATTAAATACTAGTAAATATAAAACAATAGGGAGTATATATATATATATATATATTTTGAATATAAATTACTTAAAAGATGTAAATTTATGAAATAAAACTGTATTCAAGGATCAGCCACAGAAAAGGAAAATCGACATTCTCCCGCCATTATTAACCAGTCCACTTTCCTTATCCAAAATGAAAAGATAGCATACGAAATTCTGAAAACTTCCAATCAACATCCCGCGGCAATGAGTAGCTTAACCTCACCCGTGGTTTCCAGACTAAATTCAAAACCCCCAAACGGAATTCATCCTTGCCTGAAGCCGAATCCGTACAGATGGATGGCCGTCCAAACCCTAACCACCACTCATCCAGCTACGGAAGACCTCGGCGGCGGCCTGGATTCAAACGGGCACCCGAGCAAAGAATCGCGAATCGATAGAGCATGGGCCCACTGGAAGAAGATTGGGGAACCCAGGTTCATAGTTGCCCCCATGGTGGACAACTCCGAGCTTCCCTTTCGGATGCTTTGCCGTAAATACGGCGCCGAAGCTGCATATACCCCAATGCTTCACCCTATTCCTTTTCTCGAAAGCAAAAAGTACCGCTTCAAGGAATTCACCACTTGCAAGGTACCAGGATTTTGAAGCCGTCGTATCTGTGGTTCTGTGGTATTTGACTTTTTCGGTTTGATTTTAGAGTGCTTTCGGATAATGTCATTGATGCGCATTATGCCAATTTGTGCACTTTTAAGGACAATTGTGGTCTTGATTGACAGGAGGATCGTCCCCTTTTTGTGCAATTTGGTGGCAATGATCCGGATGTAATGTTGGAAGCTGCGCGAATGGTGGAGCCCTTTTGTGATTACGTTGATATCAATTTGGGGTAATCTTCATCAATGATTCTATGACTTCTGTTCAATTACCCTTTCATTGTTTAGTTAGAACTTAGAAATGTAGATATGCAGAAAGTAGGAGTATTTCATTTGTCCCTTTCTTAACTGTTCTTTTGGATATTGTTAGTTTTTTTTTGGTTCTATTGTCATTGGCAAATATTAATGGTGTAAACATTTATTATATAATAATGTCTGTTGAAAAAATGTATTCGTACTTGTTAACCTACTTTCATCAACATTCAAGCCTTTAGTCTTTGGAAAATGAACGGCTTACCTAATTGGATAGCAATTGATTTTAAGCAAGATTTCAAGTATCAAATATATCCTTAAGGACCTTAACCTGGAGTCTTCCCTTGGTTCACGATCTTATTCCTGCTTACTTGAAATGTTAGATAGTGGTCAAGTTTTGTTTGCTTGAACTCAAACATATTGTTTTTCTATTGTACGTATTTCCCTTAATCATGACATCACAAGGATATCCTAATGGGATTGCCTTTTTGTTCCAGTCCAGATTGATTTTACCTTGATATACATGCATGCCATGCAGTTGTCCTCAACGTTTTGCGCAACGAAGGCGATATGGAGCTTTCCTTATGGAAGATCTACCTCTGGTAAGATCTATGGTAGAGAAACTGGCTTGCAGCCTTGATGTTCCCGTGTCCTGCAAGATTCGTGTTTTCCCAAAGTTGGAGGATACAATTAGTTATGCCAAAATGTTAGAAGATGCTGGTTGTTCTCTATTGGCTGTGCATGGTCGAACAAGAGATGAGAAAGATGGGAGGAAATTTCGTGCGAACTGGGAGACTATCAAGGCTGTCCGAGATGCCATCAGCATCCCCATGCTTGCTAATGGGAACATTAGGCACATGGATGATGTGTGGAGGTGTATAGAAGAGACTGGGGTGCAGGGTGTACTGTCTGCTGTGTCCTTACTTGAAAATCCTGCACTCTTTGCAGGATACCGCACTGCTGAATGGGTATCAGGATGTGAAGACGTCTACAAAGAAGCAAAGCTGGACCAGGGAGATTTGCTAGTTGAATATCTTAAGTTTTGTGAGATGTATCCAGTAACCTGGCATAATATCATTTCTCATGTGCATTGGATGTTAGGAGAGTGGTTCATGATTCATCCAAATGTGCGAGATGAATTTACTTCAGAACGTGACCTCACATTCGAATTTGTACAGGGCATTGTGAATAAACTCAAGACACTTGGTGGAGTGAGACCTCTATATGCTAAGGGTTGATTGTCTGAGTAGTGCTGATAGAGATGTTCATAAATGATTTTCAGATTCATGATCCTCAAAGATACTTAAACGAAGATGAGGATGCTGTAAACTGTTAAATGTTTATTAGACTGCTCGAGTTTCACTTTAATTTCCACACTGAAACTGAATGGATGTCCGCCCGTGAATGGTGCACATAGCCACGTATTGTACAGGAGTTGTACATCTGCGAAAGGAGGGGGTTAATGGCCTGACTCTGAAATTTTGAGTTGATGGCAAGAAACTAATTCTGGGATCGTGAAGCGAGGACTGAGGACACAGCTGCAGCAACCTCTTGATTGTGGTATTGTTTGGCTCGTCATCAGAAGTTTTTGTTTCTTGAACTTAGAGATATAGATATCATCCCGTCCATGTATCACTGTTTTGCTTAGAATCAATAGAATTCTGAGTTTTCTACGAGTTGTGATTATTGTTTAGTTGCATACTAGTAGTAGTTAACCGGTGCACACTTTCTTTTTTTTTTTTCCTGCATTAAAGCCACAAGGATTCCTTTCAACATTCTGATTGTACTGAATTTGTCTGTTACCCAGACTCGGCGTTTTGCCTAGAGTAGTAAATTCTGCATTTGGTTAAATGGACCAAACGTAACGCCTGTTTCACAATGATGCTCAATATCTCAAAATTGTACCGTCATGCTTTCCAGATTAGTAATTCAACATTAGCTGATGTTGTGCTGTGGTTTTTTACTTATCACATTCTGTATTCAGCGCAATTTTTCATGTTACATGAAAGACGAAACGAGGTTAGCTCAAAACCTTAGGCTTTCCAGCAAGAAGAAATATGGAAGAATCGTTGAAAGCTAACATTCATGCTGATTTTGAACTCTGAAAGATGCTGAACCATTTCTTTTCTGCTGGAGTGGAGAATCTAACAGCACACCGTGTTGAAGTTCTTTTGATCAAATTGATGATATTAGTGAATGGATCAAGACATTATGGACAATCACTCTTGTGACAAATGAAACTACTCTTGATAACAAAATAAAAGTAAAACCTCCACGGGCTTGAATTTGAATGAGTCAGCCGTGAACAAAATTACTACTATGAGTGTCAAACAGTAAATAACGAAAGCAAAGCGGTAAATAATGTTTATCTTGGAGAAAAGGAAGAAAAACGCAGTTACCGAAACTTTAACCGCCATAATCAGTCCCTCCAAAAAATTAAAAGCAAAAAACATAACCTATAACTGCGAAACTTTTCCCCCTTGGCTGATTTTATACGGCCGCCAAGGAAAGGGGGGAAGTTAACGATTTATGAGATTTATTAGAAAACAGATATTCTCATTCCCCCTCTTTCCGAAGGCAGCCCCACCTTACTGCTGTATGGCTATCCAAACCCTAACCTCGTCGGCGCCGACCACCACCGACGCTATCAACGAAGGCGACGACGACCGCCTGTGTGTTGAGCAACCAGAACCGCAGCAAGAAGCAGAACCCGAAGATGCACCTGCAACGGGCCGCCCGTTCGGCTACTTGACCGGAGAGGCAAGGATCGAGAGGGCATGGAGCCATTGGAAGAAGATTGGGCAGCCTAAGTTCCTAGTGGCGCCCATGGTGGATAACTCCGAGCTTCCCTTTCGTATGCTTTGCCGCAAATACGGTGCTGATGGAGCTTATACCCCTATGCTTCATTCCCGGATTTTTAGTGAGAATGAAAAATACCGCTCTGAAGAATTCACCACCTGCAAGGTACTACCTCTATCTTTACTCTTACTTTTCTTACTTTTCTTTTTTTTTTTTTCTGTAAATAATTCGTCATTCTTTCTGTTACGGGTGAATTGAAATGCTGATGTGATTCTATTTGTTCAATTGCTGACAGGAGGATCGTCCACTGTTTGTGCAATTTTGCGCAAATAATCCTGATACATTATTGGCGGCTGCGCGGAGAGTGGAACCATATTGTGATTATGTAGACATCAATTTGGGGTAATTCTTTTTTATACTTCCCTCACACTTTGCTTTCTTTTAGTATAGTTTTGCTTCTTTACCATAAATGCTCAGCTGAATCATAATCGCGTGTTTTTTGTTGATTCTGCTACTTATCTCAGTATCTGATATTTTGGGAGATGGTTTTGTTGTCCCCGAGACTTTATATTGTGATTAGTGATTGTTATGTGGCCCAGGAACCAACTTCCTGCTTTATTGTTTTTGTTTTTTTTTTTTTGGGGGAGGGGTTGATTGGTTAATGGAGGGGTAGATAAAGTTCCATTCACAAAATGAAGGCAACATATGGTCTATGTCATTTACTCTCTTGCGGGGGATGAAGGCTATGTTGTTTGTTGGTGTCAGATATTATTTGCGATACAATCCATGAGTGGGATATAACATTTTGCAGTTTGAAAAAATGTTGACCTATAAGAGGTTCCTAAATTTTTGTTGGAACCTTTTTGGGCAATGGTTGTTGTTAGTTTGTTAGGAATAATGTTTTTTGAACCTGAACAACTTTGTGGATTATGTTTTCCGATCATGACCTTTGAAAATGTAGTCTAACACATCTCAGTGCCTGAATTTCGTATTGGATATTACCCACTGTGGTCAAAACATTTGGACTAGCTTTCTTCACTGTCTATTGTTATCCCGTATAGGGAAAATGCCTGTTTATAAGCAGATTATTTCCTGACCAATTTATGATTTGCTAAATATTGGATATGGCTGCAATTTTTATGCTCACTATTCTGCAGGTGTCCCCAACGTATTGCCAGGCGAGGAAACTATGGAGCTTTTCTTATGGATAATCTTCCTTTAGTGAAATCCTTGGTGGAGAAACTGGCATGCAACCTTCAAGTTCCCGTGTCCTGTAAAATACGGCTGTTCCCTAAATTGGAGGATACTATTAGTTATGCCAAAATGTTGGAAGAGGCTGGTTGTGCTTTATTGGCTGTGCATGGTCGTACAAGGGATGAAAAAGATGGAAGAAAATTTCGTGCAAACTGGAGTGCTATCAAGGCTGTCAAAGATGCCGTCAGGATACCTGTTCTTGCTAATGGGAATATAAGATACATGGATGATGTGTGGAGCTGTTTGGAAGAAACTGGGGTCCAAGGGGTACTTTCAGCCGAGTCTCTGCTTGAGAATCCGGCCCTATTTGCAGGTTATGAGACTGCTGAATGGGCATCGGATAGTGAACGTAACTGTGTAGATGGAAAGCTGGACCAAGCTGATTTAGTAGTTGAATATCTGAAGCTTTGTGAGAAATATCCAGTGCCATGGAGGATGATTCGTTCCCATGTCCATAAAATGTTAGGAGACTGGTTCAGGATTCAACCAAATGTAAGAGAAGATCTTAATGCCCAACACAAACTCACTTTTGAATTTTTATTCGATGTCGTTAATCGACTGAAGGAACACGGTGTGAGAATACCACTTTATGTGAAGGATGGCTCTGTAGAACAGATATCTGCAAATGGAACTGTTCCATGAATTTCTTGGTCGTAGATGGACTCATTCAATCGTAGGATACTATAATTTAGGTGTGTACTGTACTGAAGGTAGACAGCTTAAGTTTTTTTGTTGTATTATTTGTGGATCGAATCAGTAGAAACTTGAAAGGAGAAAAGAAAATTGTATTGAGTGATTGAAAGTGGTGCTAATCCATAACAATTAGTGCTGCCAAAGGTGTCCCCCTCAACTTTCAAGATCGTTTGCATAAAGCTCTCCTTATATCACATGGCGAGGTATGGATGCTTCTGAATCCTTCGTCCACTATTATTTGGCTTCTGGCCTGAGATTGTTGTTTAAGGGTTCATTTTCCCTTCTGAATGTACTTAGTGTGTAATAGCAATCCAGCCTGAGATGGTTCTTTTAAACTTTATTTCATGGGTTAATTTAGTGAAAAAGTTGCCTGTCTGGTGATTTTATCATATACTGATTTGCACTGTCAAGTTGTTCCTGGCATTCTTTCTTTAATCACTCGCATTTTCTGAGCTTAACTCTCAGGTTGTGTCTTGATGAGGAATATTGAATGTTTTGCCCAATCAAATGGCCTTGCCGTTACTGAATCATGCTATGCAATCTGTCCGTGGATTTTACTTTTCCTTTTGCGTAGGTTCATGTTTTCTTTGGCTGTAAAATATTGCGACGGCAACCTACATTTGCTTTGGACCTGCCATCCTTTGGGAAAGGGATCTTGTGCAGTAAACTTGGATGTAAAATGCTGCTCTAGACCCTGTCTTTTTCGTCATTTAGGGCAGTAAATATTGGATTCTCTTTTAAAGCTGATACACAATAAGCTACCCTGTGCTTGTCATCATTTAGAGCAGTCAGAATTGGATATTCTTATAAAGCAGATACACAATAGGTCACCAAGCTGGAAATAGTGTAATGGCTATGTTTGTGGAGCAACATTGTCAGTTTTTGCTCTCACAAAGAGGGAGAGTATTTTTGCTCATGTTCAGACATGTAAGATGATATTACTCTGGGACTAGGGGATTGCATGATTGTTATGAAATTCTTACAGAACACCTCCTTTTTGTTTGGATCTGTCACTTGTTTGGCAAAGCCATCTTTTTTAGTCAGCTGGCACTAACATGGTATGTCAATTCTGTCACTAGTCACCATAGCCTTCTGTTAGAGGCAATTGGTGCTGCTAGGGTCAGGGTGTAAATTCAGGGAATTGGTGTTAAACTTGTAAGTTTGTTTCTGGCCCGTTCTTTGCGTAAGAGAATGAGGTGTCATCTGCGTCGATGAATTAAATAGACTTGCGTTGCGGCATCTGTGCCAGCTGATCTTGTGAAAATTAAATATGAAGGTTAGCCCGGAATCAATGAATTGGGATATACTTGTGTAAGAACGATGAAGGTTGTGTGATTGTATCCATGTAAATGCAGCAAAATGCAGGGAAAGGGAGGTCTGTAATCATGTCTAAATATATGATGATTAGAAGTTTGGTGCCCAAATATTGAACTGTGTAGTGTAACTGCAGCGGTGTAGGCATATTAATTGTGGGTTGACAACTTACAAGAGATGCCATTACTCGTGTATCAAGGACAAACTTTGAAATAATTGAGCTAAGTCTTCGTCAATGGTCCTTTGCATAATTGAGCTACTTTTTAACCATGTGGAGGCGGAATGTGGGTACCTTTTTGTATCAGCGGTGAACTCATGGCCAAGCAAAGAATTCTTGAGCGCTATTATCTTATCCACTTTTGAGTTGATATGCAACACGAGCAAAATAGTTGCTTCCTGTGGACCTTGAAGACTAATAAATTTTATGTATTTTTTGATCGAAGCGTAAAGGTCAAAATTCTCCAACTCATTAAGGCCCAGGAACCATTTCTCCTGTGTTCTGATCGAAAATTGGCGAGAAAGTTACCAATACCTTAAAACAATATAACAAACATGATTTTATTCAGTGGCGGAGAGTGATGTACCAGTTTCCACAACTATTTGCATGAATACTTGATGCTTAAGATGAAGATAATAACTCTGTGTGAACTTTGATGAGATTAATATGAATAACAACATTTCACACATTAATTGAACTTCTTGAGCTGCCCTATCCCACCAGATTTATTCTGTTCAGTCAGACCTGATTGAAGGATGTCACATTCATCTCTCAAAAAGCGCAGCTGTCGCAATCGATGAATGTGGCGCTGCCCAAGTCCCTTTTAACCTTCTTCAACAACCAGTACTGTAGAATCATTCTATATATTTATAGGTGTTCACTGCGCTTTTCCCAGTTCAAACATTTCTTCACAAGTTGCAGTGGAAAATGGAGACCAACACTCTCCTTTCTAGACTTCCACTTGCCTTCTTTCTTCTCTTGCATTTTTCTTGCTGCTTTTACAATGCCATTGGCAGCACCCCTCCAGTTTCAGCTGCCCAACAAAACGGCAGATTAGCCCTGGAAATCGTAATAGGCGGCGGAAGTACTCCGCCTGGCTACCCTCCTGAAAATGGAGACTGCCCTCCCCCTCCTCCTCCACCATGTCCACCCCCTCCTCCTCCACCACGTCCACCAAAGATGGTACCTCCGCATCCACCACCCCGGCCACCATCTCCCACGCCTCCATTATATGTAAACCCTGAAATAGAAAGGTCCGCCAGGATTATCCAAAGGTTCGGAAGAAATATACTTAATGACCCTAAAGGGGTCGTCAAAACCTGGACAGGCAACAAGCTCTGCATCGACAAATCCAAGTACGTTGGCTTCATTTGTTACAAAGGAGACTCAGAACCAAACAGTAAATTCAGACTCGTGGGTGTCGATTTCAACGGCAATAACTTCAACACCAAACCCGGCAGAGGCCCACTTCTCGTACAGGGCTTCCTGGAAAATCTCAAGGACACTGTGTTCTTCCACGCCAACTCCAACAATTTCACCGGCGCCATTCCTTACAATATCTCCAAGCTCCGTCAATTCTACGAGCTCGACCTCAGTAACAACAAGCTCGTAGGAGCATTTCCGAAACCAGTGCTTAGTGCCACCCTATTAACATTCTTGGACTTGCGGTTCAATTTTCTCACCGGCCCAATTCCTCCGCAAGTCTTCAAGCTAGACCTCGACGTTCTGTTCCTCAACAACAATGGCTTCACTGGGAACATTCCTGAAAACCTTGGCCAAACCCCTGTTCTTTTCCTTACCTTAGCAAACAATAAACTCACTGGTCCCATCCCCAAGAGCATTGGCCAAACTGCCATAAACCTCCTTGAAGTCCTGCTGCTCAACAATCAGCTGTCGGGTTGTCTTCCGTACGAGATCGGTTTCTTGAACAAGACCACGATTTTCGATGCCAGCATAAACAAGTTGACAGGTCCAATTCCAAACTCCTTCGGGTGCCTGGAAGAAATGCAGATCATGAACTTCACATTCAACCAGTTGTACGGGGCCGTGCCGGAATCTCTGTGCGCCCTGGACGATTTGATGTCGGTGGACCTGAGGTTCAATTACTTCACACAAGTTGGTGAAGAATGCAGGGAGTTGATCAAGAAAGGGATTCTTGACATGAGCATGAATTGCATTTTAGACCTTCCGAATCAGAGGAGTGCCAAAGAATGTGCAGCTTTCTTCTCCGTTGGCCGGACTTGCCCGGATCCCAGCTCGCTTAATTATGTGCCTTGCAAAATTCATCATCGGTCGAACCGACAACAACAGACATCTCATCGTGTGAGGAAGAAAGCTAGGAGTCCATCCAGAGCTTATGAAGCTTTAAAGGGGAAGCACGACTAGACTGGCCTCTTTAGTATTGGCTTTAACACCATCACCATCAAATAATAATGATGTCCTAAGTTGGATGTATGTTGTAAGATATATAGCTAAGCTGATTACGCAAGTACTCCTATGCTTTTGTTGGTGTATTTACCATCTGTGCAAGCAACTCTTTTGTGTAAAGATTAATCCAAAATTCAAGTTACTTAATTTCCGTTCATAAAAGACATCAATGTCACACGTTTTCAAAAGAACACTCTTTTTATCGTTGTTGTCCATTGAGCTCTATTCACCTCGACGGGTGAGCCACATCGTTAAGGGAACGCTGCTTGATGGCCAAAAGGAACACCTCTTTCAGTAGCGCCTAAAAGGCCAAAAGAAAAAAAAGAAAAAGAAAAAGAAAAAGAAGAGAATTCTACTGGAACTCACTAGCGAAACCGTTAACATTTTCCATAACGGCCAGGAAGGAGCATCTTTAACTATTACATTCAACATACAAAAAGCTGCATTAAACAGATTTCTGAGGAGTCCACAGGACTCCTAGTCATGAAGCACGAATTATCATTTAGTCACCTCTTCCGAGCACAGGTATGAGTTACACTACCTTGATTATCAGCAACAGATTGATCGGTTTCAAACTAAACAACTACTATCTCTGTCCCAAACTAAGCACTCGTTTCTGGAACTAGAGGGATTATGATACACTGTAATCACAACATGTTTATTCAAAGTGATGAGGACTTACTGACCATGGTATTACTAATAGGCCGAGAAAACAATGGGTATATCAAAAAAAAAATTAAATGAAGCAAGCGGAATTTGCAGGTAAAATTTTTTAAAGTTTCCAGAAATTGACAATACAGGAGACTGAACAGAAACACTGATGACTACTGAAAGTACTATATGGTAACTTGAACCAATGATGACTGAACAGAAACATAATGTAAATTGTGTCGATGTTATCAAGTACATGCAACTTCACAGTTGTCTGTTTATCTCAGTATATGAAATTTGTCAGGACCTTACTCACTAAGTGTTTACCATAAACAGCTCCTTCAAACCTCTTCATTCCTCCAGTTTGCTGTACACATGCATCCAATGGTTCTATAGCAGCATCAAAGTTTGTCTGTTTGCATGACCAAATCAACCATTAAAATTAAGAAAATTTATAAAAATGAGGAAGAAATCTGAAGATTCAAGATTCATTTACCTCGTAAAAATAGGCCACACATACACGATAAGTTGGTGAGTTATTGATCACACGGTGCAAAGTAGATTCATAAATCCCATTGGATAGTATCTGTAGATTATGGTGATCAGAAAATCTTTTATTTAAATGTTTTTAAAAGTATTTCAAGATCAATCTTTTAGAGGTCTACCTTCAACATGTCACCAATGTTGCAAACAAACGATCCAGGGATGGGTGGAGCTGAAATCCACTCACCAGACTTGTTTCTTACCTACCAAAGGGAGATGATCATGAATATGTAATCCATCATAAACAAGGGGAAGGCATATAATTTCAGCAATTATAATTAACCTGAAGAGCAGTGATACCATCATCTTGATTGACTAATGTCAGCAAGCCTGATATTAATGGAGAAGAATCAGTAATCACAAAAATGACAACAGAATTCAGGAGTTCACCACACAAAGAACTGGATTTTACCATAATCTGTGTGTGCTCCACTGCATTATTGGAGTGAACGGTATGGAGAAACAGAACCCATCATTAATCAAGTATAGCAAGAGAAACGCCAGAAAAGTCAACAACAGCAACTCACCAGCCAATATCATTCTTTGGCATGCCTTCACCATTTGCAAGGGTTGCAGCCGGATAACCAATTATCCGTAACACCCAAAACGGATCACCGGCAATTGATTCTTCAAATTCAACTTCTGATCCACCCAAAGCTAGAGCAATCCCTCGCATAATTTTTCTTGACAGGTCTGTTGGTGGCCAAGATTGAGGACATGACTCAGTTAAAAGGAGTCAAAGATAAATGAATAACCAGTTGATAACATCTACTACAGTTGACAAAGCACCTGTACAAAGGTTGACATACTCCTCCATCAATTTCTTGAAATTTCCTGGATTGCTTGGCCTTCACAAGTGAATCACATGAACAACCGTGTTATAAAAATATTTACTTACTCTATATGCAGCTATAAAGGATAAAAGCCGAGGAAGATGTTATCCATTCAAATCATCCCCTGTTTTCTTTTTGCAAAAAAGATAAAAATAAAGATCATCCTGTCTACCCTTTTATCCTCTTGTATTTGTAACATTTCCCAACCTTTATTCGAAGCTCCAACTTCATCAATTATCCATGAAGTAATATTTCAACTTAAATGAAACCAAAAAGAAAAAGAAATATCAACTCCGCATACCACACATTAGAACCTTGCATAGGTTCACCAAGAGCTCCATACATGCCATGATTGACTTCTCTGTAGCACTGAAATCAAAATAGAAGTGATGAAACAATACAGCCAACAGTCTATGGATGACAGAAATTCCAACTAGACAACGTCTTTTGAATTTAACTCCAGCATAGAATTTACCACACTATGGAATAGAAGAAGACTAGAAACACTAGTAATATACATCTTCAATCCACTTATAGAAGCCTTTTTCTATAGCAATCTTGGAGGACTATAACTAGTTTATTATGTAACATTGAAAAACGAAACTTACATCAATTGCTTCATGCCTGTCAGGTATTCCTTTGGTTATATTTTCACCAACATGCTGATACCCTCTGCAATCAAAAAATTTGGAATGAGCTTGGATTAGAACTACAAATAATTCCAACATTTAGGATATAGAATAATATCATAAGCAAACCTGTATCCAGTTGCTGCAGACAGTTTGCTCTTCAATTTCTCCTCGTAAGGCAAATCAAAAAATTCATGTGCTATGGCTCTGACCTCTTTAATTAGGGAGATAGGGATGTTATGGCCCTTCTGTTATAAGGAGACTCAGTGATTAGACAACCAGTGCAGACAATTCAAGACTCAAGAATTGGAGTGCAAGACTCGAAGTCCTAATGAGCACTACAATCAGGTTGTTTATTCCAAATTAAATCCAACAACAGGCGGGTAAATGCTTTCGGTTTTATTGCACTCGAGTACAATAAAAGATCATGTAGAATCAAGTAAAAAGTATCAAGTTACCACATAAAAGAATCCAGCTTCCCTACAAGCCTGATCCAACTGTCTGACTACTTCAGCAACGCCTTTGTCTTGAGCCATGTTTGGATCATCCCACTTATCCACAAGAGGACTAATATCTAAGATTGATTCAGATAAGAGATGAAAACAGCAAAAAAACAATGTTAGCAAATGTGTGTCCCGTAAATAAGATCTTCCAAGCTGCCCATATATTCTTTGGCCACCATTTTTAAGACATGTTCAGCAAGTATGAACTTCATTAGTACACTCACTAATTCCACAAAAAGCAACAACTTTGCACATCCCATATAACTCCCAACCATGAAATCAACTATAGGAAGCCCCAATGCAGGATAATTAAATTCAAGCATTATCAATCTTAAAACAATAGAGCTATCAAAAATGATTTCCGGGCTTATCTAACTTTCCTTATCATCTTTAAGACTTTGAAAACAACCCAACCCTTTTCAATTGATTCATTTACAATCAAATCAAACACTCCAATAATTAATAGGTAAGGCACCCCAGTCCCCCATGAAAGAATATTCAGCTGAGACGGAATAGAAAAGAATCATGACTTTGCCGGGCTAACGAGAATCTTAACTTACCAATTAAAGGAATCGATTGGAAGTCGGTGGCCATGGCGTTCTCAGAGTTTCTTTCTGTTCTCTCTCAATTTTATTATCAGTGATTCTGTCTTCTTGTTTGTGAGGATTACTCAATTAGCTCAGGGTTTCAGTTCAAGTTGGACGTCAGATGCTTGCAACAAAAACTCGTGTATTCTTTTTGGAAACATAACTTCTCGTTATGGGACTCCTGGCCCGGGAATAGAAAAATAAAAAATAAAATAAAAGAACTCGCACAAAGGAAAATGTCCTCATTTTGGATACAGTATGTAACTTTTTCCGAAAAAATCTTTTTTTTTTCTTCTTTCGGAGATGTAAAATGTGTTTTAAAATATATATATATATATATATATATATGAAAGGAGAAAAAAAAAAACGGAAATCTCAGCTGCCCCATGATGATCCAGAACTTAAAGCTGGTAGTCAGCAAAAAGAAGCAGCTGATCAGTAGTAGTGGATGATTAATAATATTCACTATTAATTCTTTTTTAGAGAGAAGATATACATGTGTTAAAAGTTTTAATATTTCCACTGAAGTTGTACATTTGCTTTTTTCTAAAAAATGAAATAAAAAAAGGAATTATTTTAACTTTTCAGTCAATTTTTTTAGGTGAATTATTACATTTGTTTAAGACAGAAGGGAGTAATTTGTTTAGTTGTTTTTTTTTTTTCCTGCCCTTAGTAATATTGCTTGTGTTAGAGTTTGTAAACTGCAGAAAATTAAAGAGCACAAACAAATTTGCTTCCAAGTTTTCAATCATCAAGAAGAAAAAATTACTAGTACAGTGTACAAAGCACCCACCCCCCAGCAGCAGCAACGCTCCAAAGGGGAAAAATGTCAAAAATTTCAAAGACAAATAAATAGGAGTATAAAAATCTAATTTCAACCTCCTCCTATTTCCACTTTGCAAAGAAACACCATATTATTTCAAATGATCCATACACTTTGTTTTTGTTTTCTGTACCACCAAACTAAACTAAACGATCATGACGAAACTGAAGCTGAGGAATGGTTGCTGCGACAGAACTGAAATGTATTTGCATCAGCTCTTTCTACTACGAAATGCCCAAGCATATCCTTCGATTTCACCAAGTTTTCTTTGCACAGAAACTCTTCACTTGTTTTCCTGTCCACCCTTTGATTGAAATCGTGCACGAAAATATGTGTTTTCGGATTTCCACCCTTTTTGCTTCTTGCAAGAACGGCGGCGGTGAATATCGTCGACATCCGGCCAGGGGCTTCCGGCCAGTACCCTCTTGGCCCATCAACTAAGATAACATCCCAATCAATTTCGTAGAACTGATTAGGCAGATCATTAAGCCCAAGTTTACACTCAGAGAAGAGAAGATTCTGAACAGGCTTGCATTCGTTGTGGGCTTGTTCTTTTGCAGCAGCAATCAATTCTTTGGCTTCGTTTATCTTAGTAGTATACTGCACGTCATAAGCCTCAATTTCTGGGTACTTTTCCTCAATGTAAGCAGCGTAGTACCGATTTTCATCGATGAAAACTGTTCTGCCGTTGTGATTCAGGGCTTTCCAGAGAAGGGTCTCTGGAGTTAGCCCAAATACAAGGAAATTACAAGGAGTCCTGCATTTCTGAAGAACATCCGAAATTTGCTTGATATCCAAGTGTGACATATGATCCGTGTTGTTGGAGTTTGATGCATAATGAACAAGTGCCCTGACTACAGAATCAGACAGGGAAGGGTTGTTGATGGAGCCCGGGGCAGCCGAGGCGGCCGCCACCGACGTCGCGGTGATGGATTCTCGGGTATAAATCAGAGTGAGAAGGAAAGCTAAAGTGAAGAATGAAATGAATGCAAGAAGCCATAGCCTGTTAGAGCTCCCCTGTTTCTGAATGTATGGATGCAGCAGGATAAGCTTTGTGTTGTTGCTGAGATTGTTCTTCATCTTTCCTTTCTTGAAGAAACAGGAAAGAAAAGGGAATCAGAAATTTTCTTGTGGGATTTTTTTGGGTTCTGAATTCTGAAAAATGCCTGATTTAATTGATAAAGGGGTGTAGTGATTTTAAAGAAGGGAAAGAACTAAAGACACGGCGAAATAGACGTTGAAGCAATAACAACGTGGCCTAAAAACTGAAAGATGACAATCCAATCTTACCAATAAAAAGGTTAAATTGGCGGCTGTTTTCATCTTCTTCTTTTTTTTTTCTACATGTTATTGGTTCAATTTCAATTCTAACAATGACAAGAACAACGTTAATTAGGAAATGAGGTCATTCTAAATTACTGTTTTTTTTATACACTGTTGGATAAATTATACTCTTTTCTTTAAGTGGTTTAGTGGAAGAAGGGAGGGAGCTGGGAGGAGTGGTTGAGCTGGAGCTGGTGAGAGGGGGGGGAGATAAGGATTTGGTGTAGTTCTAGCGACTCAAGAACTAATTACAAGCCAAAAGTCGCTTTTCCTTGTTCATTCTACCATTATTTCTCAAGAAACCTCTATTAATAAACCCAATATTATTCGCATTACTAAAGCTTTGAAGTGGACCAGTGAACTGCCACATGGATCCCTTTTCCCCAAAGTAACCACATAAAAAAGCTCACCCAATGCCCATATAAATATGCATTTACAACATGTTGAATGTTAAAAACTACCAAAAAAAAATTATCAGTATTAAGCCACAATTTTAAAGGGAAAAGAAAAAGAGAAAAACACAGCTTATCTTGCAATGATTATCCAGAAAGTTGATGGCTTTAATCATGCACGAAGGATTTGGGAACATGATTAGATGAAAAAGCACCATGCAAAGTAAAAGGGTAGCTATAACTAAACTCCTTTGGTTAAAAAGATTCAATCTTCTATTTCTTTCTGCAAAGTTAATGGTTCTTCTTTAATTTAAGGCCATCAAAATGGCAACTTTAGAAAATTTAGTTCGCATGCGTTCGTAGTAGGTAACAGAGTCAATGGCCTATGTATTTATTGAGTTCGGTTGAATTGGTCCATACTCCCATACTACAGAGCAAGAATTTTTGTTGGGAGTCCTGGGATGAGGCCAGAACTTGGATTTTTCAGTACCCATTGCCTAAGCATATCTGGACATTTCTGTTTTGAGATGTCTCCAGTTGCTTTAATTTTTATATTTCTACTTCCTACTACCAATTTTATCCACGTCTTTTGAGTTTTGACCATGAAGGAGGAAAAGGAGAGAGCCAGCATTTTGATATTTTTTACCGACCCACAAGCATGTGGAATATTTTCTAATTGGTCCACCAGATCACTTGCTCTAGGTCTTAGTCTTTCACTTGGAAATTCCACACTCAAAACTTGAGTCTTGATTACCGTTGCTAGGGTGGTCACGATATTGATCTCTTATTACTAATGAACAGTTTCTTCCTTACAAACTTGCACTATATGACATGGGTTTATACTTTATAGTCGATTGAGTGAGATGCTTTCAAGCGATAAGAATAAGAAAGCGTTTTTATTATGTCTTACTTACAATTTAATTAAATCCTAGTCTCTTGAACATTAGGCTCAAGCAATTTAATTAAATTAAGAAAGATTGTTTTATAGAAGATTGCAAGTTTTAGGCTTAATCAGGAGTTGAGGAAATTCAACTGAAAATGAAAAATTGAACCATAATAGAGTAAGAGCGCTCCTTTTGTTTTTTCTTTCATGTCATGGACTTGCCATGGCATTTGTTAAACTGCTCATAGCTGATTATCCCAAAGTCATTTAACGTAAGAGGCCCAAATACCATTTCTAAACAGTGGATCTAACTTCTAATAAGCACCAAAGTCTCGAGGCCCATGACTTGATTACTGTTGTGTACTCTATTCCACAAAAGCCAGGCAGTTTCAAATGTTTGATGATGGATGGGAGGAAGTAGATTTTGATTGTTGCTGCTCATCTTCGTACTTTACTGATCAACCTGCAGTGTTCTTCTTCAACTAGCTTTTGAGTCCATCCATCCTGCCAGTCTACCAATTCCTTGTCTTTTGAGTACTTTTCAAGGTTTGACAGTCTGCAGTTCAATTTGATGTTCTTTTTTGACTGAACCCAGAAAAAAACCAAGTGGTAAATTCAATTTCTTTGGATTTTTGGTGGAAGGGTCTGCAAGAAGAAGACAAAATTGATCACATTTTCTGCTGAGCCATCTAACAAAATTTACAGGTAGATAGAGATTGCTGAGGGGTTATTATTATTGCCCTCATGTCTTTTGTCCACACAGATCATCAGGAAGATCACAAGGAACATCTGCTTATTAACCCCCCATTTACCACCAAAACTTGTCTGGTATTAATATAACAGCAAAAATATTTGGACAAAAAAATGAAAGAGACAGAATCAAGAGAACGACAAAATTCAATGAGCTGCAAATGCATCATGATTCTTCTGCCTTTCAGGCTTCCAGCGCCGGTGACCTGTGACCTGTTTATTTTCTCTTTTCTGCATAAACTTCATGCCTCCACTGCATTTGTAAACGATCACATTTCCATGAGGACTGAATTTTTTTAAATTCCTTTTTTCTGTTGGTGGTAGATGAATGGTGATTGAAGCTACCCCAACACAAACATGTTACATGAAATTTGGCAATTTTCCGTTCAGGATCGGGAATCCCGTTTGAAAACCAACATTAAAGAGGGCAATAATATCCTAAAGCCATAAAGTTTGAATTGTGCTTCCACTTTGATAAGATTTTGACTCCAAAAAAAAAAAAGAAAAAAATCGAATTCAATTATAACACACACACACACACTCCCACGAAGGTTGTCTTCCCAGACCAGATTAACGCACAAATTGATGATTGTAGTAACTTGAAAACACAAAATAAAAGGCATGAAAATACGGATTAACGGAGTACAAAAACGTATGTAGAACAATTCCAATTTGTCCTGGTATTTGACGACTTTTTTAGCGTCATGTCTGGGAGAAAACATCACGGACCCCTGTTAAATATATATGACCTATTTCGCTTAGCACGATCTACAGAGCCCCAAAAAGAAACCCACATTTCTTTCTGATTTTCTTTCACTATAGTTCTCCACTTCCACTTTCACGTGACGCTGACCCGCCAGCTGCTTCCCATTCCCCCACAACTTCCTCTAGTTTTTTTCTAGCTTCTCTCTACTCCGACGACCACCAACTTCCGGCGACCCGCCGCCGTTTCCATAAAGCTTCTTCACTCCATTCCGGTCAAATGGTAAACAAACCATACTAATCCCGGCATTTCCCCCACTTCAGAAGTACACAATGCCTTCTGCCATTTTCGTATTCCTCTTTGCTCTGTTTTTCAGTACCACTGTTTCTGTCACCAGTTCACCTACAGCGGCCCCATCCGACGCCGTTTCGCTGCTGTCTTTCAAGTCCAAAGCTGACTTAGACAACAAACTCCTCTACACTCTCCACGAACGCTTCGATTACTGTTCTTGGCAAGGCGTGAAATGCGGGCAGGGTCGGGTTGTTCGGTTTGTTCTTAACGGGTTTGGGCTACGGGGCCAGTTCCCACCGGACTCGCTGAATGGACTGGATCAGCTCAGGGTGTTGAGCCTGAGGAACAACTCGCTCACCGGCCCAATCCCGGACCTTTCCGGGCTCGTCAACCTCAAGTCTCTGTTTCTGGACCAGAACTCATTTTCCGGCGAGTTTCCTCCTTCTATTGTCACCCTTCACAGCCTCCTGATTCTGGACCTCTCCCGGAATAATCTTACCGGCTCGCTTCCTTCCGAGTTGACGGCTCTGGACCGCCTGACCTATCTCCGGCTTGATTCCAACCGGTTTAACAGTTCGATCCCTGCTTTGAACCAGACCTCACTTATTCTTTTCAACGTCTCAAATAATAACCTCTCCGGCCCGGTTCCGGTGACACCGACGCTTAAAAAGTTCACTCTTTCTTCATTCTTATGGAACCCAAATCTCTGTGGGGACGTCATAAACAAGCCATGTCGGCCTTCTCCGTTTTTCGACAACACCCACTCAAACCCCGGCGAGGCTTCGCCGCCGGCGCCTCTCATCCAAAGCGCCCAGTTCCAAGGCGACGTTTTTATTCCTTCTCCTTCCCACCACAAACATAAAAGGGTTGGCATTATTTTGGGGTTTATAGTCGGCGCATTCCTCCTCATTGCCGCTGCATTGTGCATTTTTGCAGTCTTCAGGAGGCGTAGCCATCATCATCATCTCGATGATGAAAAGATAACTAAATTGAACCCACAAGAGGATGTGGCTGTTGATAAAAAGAAGAAAGATATTGAGAGTTCTAACGAAGTTGCTACTGCTGACATTGTGGAGGATGGAATTGTTAAGGAGAAAAAGATTTATCAAGTGACCGATTCCAAAAATCATAAGCAGGTGAAAAGTCGGAATTTGGTGTTCTGTAATGGGGAGACAGAGTTGTATACATTAGACTTGTTAATGAGGGCCTCTGCTGAGTTGCTTGGAAGGGGAACAATTGGGACTACGTATAAAGCTGTGTTAGATAACCAGCTGATTGTGTCTGTCAAGAGATTGGATGCTTCTAAGACGGCCATTACAAGTGCAGAGGCGTTTGAGCAGCAAATGGATGCAGTTGGTGTGCTTAGGCATCCCAATCTGGTTCCAGTCCGAGCTTATTTTCAGGCTAAACAAGAAAGGCTAATTATCTTTGATTATCAGCCTAATGGTAGTCTTTTCAATCTCATTCATGGTAAGTTATTTTTCCCCTTTGCTCTTTCAAAAATTTTAAAACTTTGTTCTCCTCTCAGAAATGTTAATATTTCTTCTTAGTATTGCCAATAGTGGTGTCATCAGTAGGTGGTGAGTGGAAGTGGACCTCTTAGTTGTCTTTGCATGAGGAAGTGGGAAGGACGAGTTGTGCGGTTCATAGCTTTTTAGTTTTAATGGTTCTTTGTTTGGTTGGTAGTGAAGGCAGCAGGAAACCATTTGGCATGGAGCTCTCAGGTTTCTATCTGACTGCCTCACTAGTACCCACAATTATGGTTTTTCCCATATAGAACAATGTAGGGTCTTTATCTTCAAACCCTTTGCTTTTGGCCGTTTCCGGCTCCCCAGTCTGTCAATGGCCCCCTGGCCCCTTGGTATCTTTCAATCCGTGGTGTTTTCTTTCAGTTAGTTAATTTGATAATGTGATACTGATAGCCTGAAAATTTGGGTTGGTGATACTTATTTTAGGAGTGTAAAGTTTGTACCATGAGTTTGAGATTTGCGAGTTTAAATCTTTGTAGATTATTAGTTGACTAGCACATTTGAGTCCATTTCTGAAGAAAGTTCACTGATGTCTTGCAAGTTTTCAAAATTTGGAATAGAATAACGGTAACAACTGAGACTGTAATTATTCAGGCCGTGTGTGCTCAAGGTATTTATTACATGTCAGATTTGTCTGAGTAGTTGTTTTGTATTGTACTCTACTGTGCACTAAAGATAAAATGCAGTTCAACTATTCTGGGCAGGCGTGTATGGTTTTTAAAATGCTCCTTCAACCTTTCAGATTATTTGAATATTAATTAGAAAACACATGGTAACGGCACTTAACCGCAAGAAAAAAATCACACTTGCCTATTATGATGTGATTAATAATGGGTTAGTCAAACTGGTATTTCAAAAGTATAATAGTCAAAGATTGGTCTGGCAAAAGATGTGGTTTAGGAACTAAGCACCCCTTCAATGCAGATGTAGAAAATTTGCTCTTCTTAAGGGAATGTCCAAACTTGTCTAATTTGTAGAGGTGCATACAATTTGCATTTTCGTCGAGGGATGTTGCTACTTTTTCTCACTGGTGTCCTTCAAGATTGCACCAATATTCTTGGTTGAGTACCTCGCTTTAGACTTAATATATTTTTATTGACTTGCTGCGTCGGTGATCAGTTCGTTGATGCATTTTATACTAATCTAGTTGAGAGGATGCTGTAACGTTTAACCTTTATTTGTCGTCTGCCATTGACAAGGTTCGAGATCCACAAGGGCTAAACCTCTGCATTGGACATCATGTTTGAAGATAGCTGAGGATGTGGCCCAAGGGCTTGCCTACATACATCAAGCATCAAAGCTCATTCATGGCAACTTGAAATCATCCAATGTTCTCCTTGGTTCTGATTTCGAGGCTTGTCTAACCGATTATTCATTATACATTCTCGCGGACATTTCTTCTAATGATGAGCCAGATTCTACTGCTTATAGAGCACCTGAAGTACGCAAGAATGCAAAGAAAGCCTCTTCAAGATCAGATGTATTTGCATTTGGAGTGCTCTTATTAGAGCTTCTGACGGGCAAACCTCCATCTCAGCATCCGTTCCTTGCTGCCCCCGATGTGCCTGATTGGGTGAGGGCAATGAGGGATGATGACGCTGAAGAAGAAAATTGGGTAAGAATGCTAGTCGAAATATCCAGCGTCTGCTGTGTAACCTCACCTGAACAAAGGCCAACAGTGAGGCAGGCGCTGAAAATGATACAGAGTGTGAAGGAGAGTGCTATGGTAGAGAATAGCTCAAGGGATGCCCACATTGGATATTCATAGCCACCGAAGGCAACAAACACAAACGCTGGCTGATTTTGGCTACAATGGATCTTTCTCTCAAATAGATGGAGCTGAATCTATTCAAACTGAATCATAATCCGTCATCCATTTTTGCCGGGCAGGTTCAATTGCTCTTTCTTTAGGGTGAATGTGAAGTTAGGAGGTCTGGTAGTTCTACAGGCAGCGGCATCTGTGGCAACGTTATTGGGGTACTTAACATAGTTCACTGAGATGAACCACTCCTTAATGTACAACACAGCAATGGTGGGTTTGTATTATGAAGTCAGCATTGATCTCATCTCATGATGATCACAAAATTAGTCATAAAAACCTGCTTAGAGCAAGTTGTGACGAACACATAACAGTTAACAGTGACCTCGCTGGATCGTAAGACTAACTTCATCTGTTGAGGTGATTACTGATTAATGTTTGTTAAAGCATGCAAAACCTAGCCAACTTAGTCAAAGTAATGACCAATGGTATAAACTGACAAACAGCTGGTAGGTATAAATAAAAGAGGTCAGATGCAAAGAACGGCATAAACTAGAGATATATAGTTGCAAACGTCTAAATCATAGCGATATTTGATATTGTACCTTACCCAATTTTACAACTTACAATCAAACTAATTGTAAATTAGATTGTCTAAAACTAGTCATAAGACGGGATGTCTTCTCCTCGTCAACCGTTTACATTGTTCTCCTTCTTTCGTTCTAATTTGCAAGTCTTTTCGTCGTCGATTAATTATCGATAATCTTTTCTTTCTTTGGTAGCAATTACCAGGAAAAACATAGCTTGGTACAATAACAACGTAGTCGCAACACCAGAGCCATTGCAGTTGATATAAAGTTGTAAACTGCAGCCATTGAATGAACTTTGAGTGTGCTTTGCCATTGAGTTATATATAGTTTTAAGGGCGATTACGTGCAATTTGCTTCATTCAAATATATACTTCCTCCGTCCCAAAATTATTGTCCAGTTTAAATTATCGTTTTCAATTTAAATTATATTAAAATTAAAATCTCGAACTCAACAATAATTTTAAAAGAGACACACCCATCTGCGTAGTTTTACACAATTTGCAACCTCATTTTGAAGGCCAAAAAAATCAAAGTCAAGTCAGCCGCCAATAGGCCCGCATCCGTCATCCACCATTGGAGATTCCGAATATTTTAATTTCTAATCAACTTGATGGACATACATATACGTACGTCTGATCAAATCAAACAAGATTCCAAAGGTTCTTGTTACGTTAATAAGTAGATTCAGGAAGAAGCTCTAAAAAATTGATCTATGTAGACCACCAAAATTAAAGCTTTGGGATCACATGTTTCTTCTTCTCAAGTTCTTGTTTCTTGTGTATCTAATTCCTGTGTCAAAAATCAAAATTGCTATGATCGGACTCATCCGTGATGCACAATCCCCCCTCAAAATAACATTTCGGTTGATAAAACTCGTGTCCCATTGCGGATGCTTTTGATTCCAAAACATCAGCGATCACTAAAAGCAGAATCAGTTTTTTATTTTTTTTATTTTTTTTCAGGCGAACCACAAAAAGTTCCCCTGTTTTGAGAATTTTTCCTTCTTTTCTTCGAAAATGAACGGAAAGTATATTAATGCGGGAAAAATGGTGTCAGTTTTGATTGTTTTTTTCACGTGAGAGGACACATTGTAGCGTGGAATTTACGCTAATACACTCACGAACAATCCAAATGCATTCTGACTTTCTTTATCCTCCGTTCCAAAAAAATAAAGTAATAAACCCCCACCCACCCCAATATCTTAATCCCCAAGAGAAAACATTATTATATTGGCGCTAAACACAAAAGGTGGACCCAACATTGGCAGTTGATTGGATAATAATCAGGTACCAAAGCCTTTTTGATCTAATCACAACCGTCCATTCACTTTCCGTCTTAATCATCATTGAACGGAGTCTGTAAAAATTGCTCAAAAAGCACACCCTCAAAAAAAAAAAAGACACACATTCCTTTTTTTCTCTCACTGTCTCTCTCTCCTCCGGTCTCTTCCATTCCACCCCCCACACCTTAAAAGGGAGCAAGCTCAGTCGCCGTGAAATCGCAAGTTTCCTCACTTTTCTCCTGCTTATTTTACTGTCTTTTTAGCTCGGTTTTTTTGCTTTGTTTTTAGGATAAGAATTTCAAGGGGGATTTTGCGGAGGAATCAAGGCTGTGTACCAAATGTCGGGAGGTATAGCGCGTGGTCGTCTCACTGAAGAACGCAAGGCCTGGCGTAAGAATCATCCTCATGTATGTGATCCTCACTCGCGCTTGGAATTTTGATTGTGATTTTCTTAGCTGTTGAAGAAATGAAGTACTAGTATCAAGTGTTTTTCCCGTTTCCTGATTTTTTTAATTTTTTTTGTTTTAATTTACTTTGTAGGGTTTTGTGGCTAAGCCGGAGACGCTTCCAGATGGTTCTGTGAATTTGATGGTTTGGCATTGCACCATCCCTGGGAAGGCCGGGGTAAGTATCTTTTTTTTAATCCGATTTTTCAATTTTTGTCTTTGCTACCTTATATTCTTGTGTAATTCCGCTACTGCATGATCGTGGAGCTGGTTTTCCCCTCTGTTTTAAATGAATTGAATGTTTTTTTATTACTTTTTTCTCTGGAATTGTTTTGTGTTCATGGGGTTGCACTAGTTTGTTCATGTTGGTTCCCTTCGAAGGTTAAGTTATGTTTGTATGGTTTACAAGTAAGATTTGGTTTAGGAACTGATGTGGTTTTACACTGAAGTAGCTGTTGTTGTAGGAAAATGAATTGATTTTGGTGCTGAAGATCTTATATGGAGTGATTTCACTTCTTTATGGAACAGCTTCAAAATCTCCATAATCTCTTCAATTCGTGTAATATTTTAGCACTCTAATTTCCTGTTGATTTTTCGTACATAACTAGAAAATGGACATTTTCCTTTAGGTTCTGAAATGCATGTTAGTAGTTCAAATTTTGTTATCTAAGATTGTAAAGGTAAAAGTGAACAGGATTGCAGTGTCATGGTATGACTAGCCCGCGCTATCCATTAATAAATAATTGAGCTCTAACATAGTTAATTTGATTTGACTGAACTCTGCTATTACTCTCCGCTTTATGGTAAGTTAGGAATGTGACAAGTTTAAGCTGAATTTTGCTTTGAAAATGAGCTTCGAATATGAAAAGTATTAGAGGTAATGAAGGCCACAGTATACTCAATAGTGTTAGTTTGATTTAGTTCCTCGTTATTGTTGAGATCTGTTGGGTTGTAGCTCATTTTAGTCATATTTCTCTTGTGTCCATGTGATGGCTGTGTCAGATGGGCTGTTTGAGACCCATTTCATCTTAATTTGGTCATGATTATTGTTGTTAATTATACAGCCTGTTCTGATGTAAGGTCTTTTGGTTTCAGACTGACTGGGAAGGTGGTAGCTACCCTCTTACTCTTTACTTCAGTGAAGATTATCCAAGTAAACCACCAAAGTGTAAATTCCCTCAGGGGTTCTTTCATCCTAATGTGTATCCATCTGGAACTGTCTGCTTGTCAATCCTCAATGAGGATAGTGTAAGTGCAATTAGCTATTGATCGGTGATCAACACTTCTAGCAGGGACTGATTTGTGACCTCTGTTTTCCCTGGTGTGTTTTTTTCTCTGTTGTGTCAACTCTAGGGTTGGAGGCCAGCTATTACTGTGAAGCAAATTTTAGTTGGCATCCAGGACTTGTTGGATCAACCAAATCCTGCTGATCCTGCACAAACTGATGGATATCACCTTTTTATTCAGGTGATTTTGGCATTCTTTGTGACCTGTTTTATTAATTAAATCAATGTCTCTCACTTAAGCACATATCAGAGTAATAAGGACTTCACTGTTATTGCAATGTTTTAACATGCTGTCTTCAATTATTTCACTAGTAGACTTTCTTGTGTATCAACTAATTGGTTTGCCATTCATTTGAAACTGTTTGTACATGTAAGCAATCTGATTATAACTCACCAATCTGTTTGGCTCGTATATTTCATTATGTTCAAATTAAGATGAATGAATCATGCGAAAGTTGCTTTACACCAATTTCATGCTTTAAAAATTTTGCTTAATAGATGTCAAGTCCATGCTTCTGTTCTCTTCGATGATAAGTGTCACAGTTCCAAAATATGTGGGGAGTACATGCTCTGGGAGTGGGGATGTGAATTAATTTGATTTTGTCTTATTCTTCACTCAACTTTAGCTATGCATACAGCTAGTTATGTGTAGTTGCAAAGCTTTGTAATAGTTTTTCCTAAGTTGCGAAGATATGCTGTATTGGTTGCATAATTCTGTTATAAAAGGGATACCTTACTGTTGGTGATATGACTGCCTACTCAATTATTATTATGTGTGTGCAGGATGTCACAGAGTATAAGAAGAGAGTTCGACAGCAGGCCAAGCTGTACCCCCCGCTTATCTAATAGGGCATTCCGTTTCAGTTGTTAATGATTGTTTTTTTAAGTGAATTTGCTAGAAACTGTAACTTGGAAGGGTTATGCTTGAACTTCACTAACGTTGATGATATGTGGCGTGAACCATTTTGGCCAAATAGGCTGTTGTTGGTGCTTCTGTTCATTTGAATACACTCTTGGTGGTGCATTTGTACTCTAGTAAGTAGTATTCGCTTGCTATATTTTGCTTAAAGTGAACTAAGGCTTTCATAATGCAACAAAGTTTGCCATGTTGAGATCATTTACGTACTCGGACAAGTTCTCACTTCCAAAATGCTCCCTCTGGCCGTAATTTTTATAAATCGAACTTTGAGCAATACCAAAGGCGCGTAAATCGTAACATCCAAAGGTTTCAACTTTCATGTGTGTACTCCATCCAGAGCAAGGCAATGAATACACCCTTCCAGGCATTGAGATCCATACTGCATACAAAACATAAAATGCACGTCTCAGGGAAACGCTTCCTCAATTCAAGACTATTGATCGATGAAAAAGATGAATTTTTAAATTATGCAGTGCGTTTGAAAATTCTATAATGAGTGTTTACTAAAAGAGCTTCCTACAAATTAGATCAAAACATCATAATCGAACACTAATGAATCTAATAAAAGCTCAATTTTTTTTTTTTTTGTTACTCCTTTCATTCTAAAATATAAGTTGTTGGAGAGATTTCAAAAAATTTAAAGAGGCTAAATACCTTGTTAAAATACTGAATTGTCCTTATTTGCTTCCCGTACAATTTCAGTTCTAATAATGTTTAGCTCTAACTTAATTTTACTTTCAACACAACTATAATTTTTCATTTGGAAAAAATCGACAAAACATGCTTTGTTTTATGAAAATGACATATTTTTGGAAAATTTGAATTTTTTTTTTTTCGCGGACGACATGTATTTTGGAATTGCACTCTGTACGATTGGCAAAATTATTTACTTTGGTAAATGCCAATCGCATTTGTTGCACACGGAGTCACGGTGAATACCTATGTTAATTCGAAGGAATATCGGGCCAAAATTGTAATTCGACTTTTCTAAGAACAATAGAACGAAGAAAGGGTCTGAAGCTCTTCCAAGTTCTCCGTCGACGGCCACCATGGCGGCTTATTACCCAGCTCCGCCTGCCCATTATCCATACTACGAAGCTCCACCACCACCTCCAGGAGCCACCCACACTCCAGCGGTTGTGATGCCCCAGCCGCTACCACAGCAGCCATACCTAGCTTCCCATCCCCAATTTGTGGCATACGCTCCTCAAATTTACCCTCGCTCCTCCCATGACGAGGTCCGTACTCTATTTATAGCTGGACTTCCTGAAGATGTAAAGGCTCGTGAAATCTACAATCTTTTTCGAGAGTTCCCCGGCTATGAATCTTCCCACCTTCGCACTAATGCTAGCACTCAAGTATTTTTTCCGTTTCCTTTTTTATTTTTTTTATTTTTTTATTGTTCTCGGTCACATATAGCTATTTTAGTGAACAATTATTCTTCTGGAGGTTTATTCGTTTTTATTGTGTCATCTTTTGTAGCCATTTGCTTTTGCTGTGTTTGTCGATCAGCAGTCAGCCGTCATGGCATTACATTCACTCAATGTAAGTTTTGAAATTTTTCTTACTTTCCAAATAAATTTGGATGATTTAGTTAGTGTTCACCGGTTGGAACTTTGAATTGATTTGTTTCTGCGAGTTGTATTGTGGAGGATTTGTTGGGACAGGTGCTTATGTTATAAAGAAGAAATTTTTTTTTATGGCAAGTTCACTCCGAAAGTGTTGTGAAAATGTAATAGCTAACTGGAAATTGGACTAATATGAGAAAATTTTTATCTTTTGTATTGCTTAATGCTGTTTATGTTGTGGTGTATCACGCACATTTGAAAATTGGAGTGGCACCATTTCCATTTCTTGCTCCTTGTTTGTGGACTGTCCTTTTGTAAAATGTCAAATGACTTGGAATTGTCAAGATAGGCTGATGGTTTACTTCTCTTCTTTGGTAGTGTAGTTTGTGTTCGCATATGTTATATTCCTCTATACTATGCTTCGGCGATAAAGCTTTGGAGTCCAAATATATTTTTCACTATTTTATGGAGATGTGTCTACCCACCTAAGAACTACTGTTGAATCTTCTTGGTTTGATTCTTTCTCGTTTACAGGGGATGGTATTTGACCTTGAAAAAGGTTCCACCTTGTATATTGATCTTGCAAAATCTAATCCCAGGTCCAAGCGCTTGAGAGCAGGTATAATACCCAAAGATCTCAACTTGTATTCCCCTGAGTCCTTTTTCTCTTGTCCATTAACTTTGAGGCTTGTGGGTTGATTCCATCCAGATGATGAAGGAGCTGGATCAGAGAAGAGGATGAAATCTTCCACTTATTCCAGGGAGACAGATTCTGGTATTGTTTCTGCTTTCCTTAGCATGGAATGGAAAATTTTCTCCAGCGACAGCTTTATCTTTTTTTTTTTTTTTTATGGATATTTTTATCTCTATATGTCTAATGGCACTCAACTGTGTGGCTCTTCTAGTTCTGTTTGTTAGTCGCACTGTTTCTCTGTTATCTTACTAGGAATACAGGCTAGATATCACTTTGAGAGCACATTCTCATAAAAGCTCACATTGCACATGTTTTGCACTCTTGGGCACTAGCAGGTGGCAGCATTCACATGCCTGGAATCGGTAATTCTGCTCACAACACGAATGAATTTCCATCCACACAAAGGTCATCTGCACTACTTGAGCACGTTTTTCTCTTACCTGGGAAGTCAATGCTTCTAGTTGATCCCCACATTAATTTAATTACTCTTCACATATTATAGATTTTATTCTGGAGGCTAGGTCAAGGTTCCAGTAGAAGCTGTCTCTATGATGCTTCTGTTCTCTTTAGAGAATTGCATTCGCAGGATATGATACTGATTTTAAATTTTTTCCCCACAGTCAGGAAAGCTTTGATGGTAGGGCTGCTGATCATTCTAGCAAGAAAAGGGTACGTTCTATTCCTAATAGATTTGTATCTTCTGGAAGTTATTGATTTCAACTTTGCCGATGTTATTACTTCTGTACTGGATAGACTTTGGTCCTAATTTTAATACATTCTTTAAGCTTCCTCTATCCCAAAGTTAAATGGCTTTTTTTCCTTTTTTTTTCCTGTGGCTGCCCTTGTTTTTGAAGATAAATGTTAACTTAAAAGATTTGGGATAATTGCTTGCCTACATTATCGAAATGTTCAGGCAGATGTACCCCATTCAGCTTAGCCAAAGGTTTGGAAGCATTGAGTAAATTGATATTATCTACAGCAGATTCTCTATGGCTGTATGTCTAAGTGATAACGATCCACTGGCATTCGTGTTATTTCTTTCTTTTTCACTTCTTCCTCCCTAAAAGATTTTCAATGGTGATAGGTTTCCAAATGGTATAAATTGGCTATATTACGACATGAACACTCTGCATTTGACTTAGGAGGAAAATTTTCTGTTTAGTTGTTTGCTTTAGCTTGGGATTATTATTTTCAATTTCGTGTTAACGATTCACCAGCATGAAGGATCTTCTAATGTTTTGATCTGTATGTGTGCTGAACACTTCTGCATCGACTTCATCAGAATGCACCCCCATGTCCAACATTGTTTGTGGCTAATCTAGGCCCAACTTGTACAGAGCAGGAGCTGACTCAAGTCTTCTCAAGGTCTCATGATTCTTGACAATGTATAATCAAATTCTTTGAATCTGCACTAACTCTATGTTTCCCTCTGAAATCTCTTAGATGTCGTGGATTTCTAAAACTGAAGATTCAAAGCACATATGGCACTCCTGTTGCATTTGTTGATTTCAAGGTATATTTGTAGCTCTATTTTATTGGGAGAGTGAAAAGCTTTGACTAAGTTCAGTTGTGGTTGTCAACCTTTGACTAAGCTTTGACTATATTGTTTTTTTACTTGGTTGGACTCTTCTTTGGGATACTAGGAAATTTTCAGATCTTCATCACTTTGTGGAACATGTTACATTTTTGGTGCCCATCAATTTCTTGATGTTGGAAATTCAGCTGGGTTATTATAATCTTCAATTTAGCTCCATTTTGTTGTTGTTTTGCTTGTGTATTTACATAGTAATAAGATTAAAATGATCCATGCTTTCAGTTTCATATAATGTTTGTTTCTTTAGTTGTGTTTATGGATAATCCACTCGCTTGGTTTGCTAGTAATATTGTTAAACATTAACATTTATCTGTGCTCAATTTCCCTCTTTGTTGGTGGTACTTTCTGTTGATGTTGTGTTACGAGATACATTGTCCATTTTTTCTCGTTTTCTTGGTCATACATTTGTCATTGTAAATGCAAGGGCTATGACTAAATAAGATTTTGTTGACATGCTACTTTTTTTTTTAAAAAAAATTTCTGTGGGAGTGTAATTTCTGCAAAGATAAAGCACTCAGTCAGTATGTCATAATTTATCATTCTAATGTTTACAGAAATTTGGATGGGATCTCATGGTTAATTTTTCAGGATACTGCTAGTTCAACTGAGGCCCTGAACCGATTACAAGGGACGGTTCTGTACTCGTCGCCATCCAGTGAAGGCATGAGATTGGAGTATCCTTGATTAACTTTGGCTCTTCTTGATATTACTGTGTTATTTTCTTGTTATAATCCATGGTGTTTCTGTCGTCCATGTTTGGTCTTAACAAGGTAATTAGATATGCAAGATCACGAATGGGATTGCGCAGTAAAAAGTCAAGGTAATCGTAAATGAACTCATACCAAGCAATATTTGACGGAAGTATGTGATTTTTTGAAAGGCCAGTTTACGAGGTTTGAACGGTAGAGTTCAGCTGGATGATATGTAGTTGCATAGGATCGCAGTTAACCTGTCCCGAAAACTGTAACTTGGTTTTCTGTTGATGGAAATCATGATAATTTATGTATGCAATATATATAGTATTATATAGCTTCAATCTGATTTGGCATTTTCATTTACTTCTGGGTTCTGGCCTGGGATTCTCAGAAATCACAATAATATTCGGAACATCCACAAGGATCTCATCTTTTGGTCGGGACTGTGAGTTGGTTAACCTGCAACTAGTTAGTTACCAGCATTGACTGCAACTGGATCCCTTCAATTATTAGTTCAATGTAAGCTAAAAGATTAGGTTGATTGTCTAACAACCGTGTCCTCTTGTTCCCACTATTCTGGGGTGACATCTGTTCCGAGCCTTGATTTCATTTGTTCCCCTCACTTTCAATAGTTTAGAATTTTGTTTATTCAGTTGTTTTCTACACTAAATATGACTCTTATATTTTAAAAGGAAAGAAGTATAACTATTGAAATAAATTTTATATCGATCACTACTGACTAGTGACTACTACTAGATATGAGCTAGGTAACAAAAAACAGCTGGGATTACACCAGGTCGGTAGTTTTATATTAACATCTTTTATGAACATGATTGGCTTAATATTAGAGTATTTTTTGTAATTAAAACTAACAGAATTTCGTTAATTTAAACGGAAATTGGCCAATTGGACAATATCGGCTAACGGTTGGATAGCTTAGAGTAATATTGGTTAATTGAAAAAGAATAAGATAGAATTGACAACGCATGTCAACCTTTGGGTAGATCAGCCAATTTTTTCCTTTTATGAACATGATTGGCTTAATATTAAACATCCGTCATCAAGTTTAAAAATTATTGCGCGATCTTTGATATTTTTGTTGATGATGATATCATGGTGTGTATTATTTTAAGCTTTTAACTGAGTCACGGGCCTTTGCTTTCACCGACTTCTTTTCATTTTGCAGTAACCTTACAAACATGACATGACAAAAAAAAAATGATCTATTATATATTGTTCGAAAGAGTCAACAGAAGTGATATTTGTTTTATATAGAATTTGCGTTGTTTTCTTTCCTTCACCAACTTTTTGACTTTGGTTTCTTCTGCTTCTTCTTAGATTTTTGGCCGGCCAGAAAAACTTCAACCTTCAGTTATGATCATGATGAATAAGAAAGGAAAAAGAATTGAGCTCCATTAATCAAAAACTTATCTCCCAAGATTTTTTTTGCCCTTTAAAGTCTGCGCAGACTTTATAGGGCTAATGGAGGTAATGACCACATACATTTAACCAACAACCCCCTCCAAAGTTAATCGAATCTGCATGTAAATGCAACATCGTATTCCCTCCGCTCCTTAGTTATTTTAATTTGTCTTATATTTCACATAATACACATTTTTAATCGAAAAAGAAAAAAACTTTAAAAATATGTTTACACATTCGTTGTGTTCTCTTGATTGTTATGAAATATTTTTAAAATTTTTTTGTTAATTAAAATACGTACGAGGTGAGATTTAAGAAAAATCAAAATAACTTATAACAGGGACCGGAGTGAGTATTATATAAAAATACTGGTGATTTTATTTGACTGATATTCTTGGTTAGAAGTCAAGAAAGCTTCGCTGTCAGGCAAATAGTAATGCCTTTTCACGTTAAAAATGTAAAATCTTTGTGGGAAAGTTGTTGTCTTTGGCTGCCACGTAATGTTTTGAGGAACAAGGCAGCAAGATTCAGTTGTTTTCGGGCTATGGTTTTTGTGGTCGTGGACACTGGGAAAAAATGGACCCAATTCCCTCTATCGGATTTGTTTCTAGTCCTTTGAATTATTGACTTGAACTTCTTATTGTTTTTCTTGGTCTTTGATTACAAATTTATGGCATAACAAATTCTATATTATATATACAGCAGCAAAGGTCCTTCTTTTTTTTTAAGGAATCAAATTTCGTGTCGATGCGTGGTTTGCTCGTCTTGGTATTTAGAAATATGTACTAGATTCTTCTCTTATCTAATGTATCATATTAGTATCAATACTAATGAAAAAAAGAGAAGAAAAATTAAAAAATTGTGTTGGTGCTGATGCAGTATGTGTTTGTGTGTTTGTGTGTGTGTGTTTGTGTGTGTGTTTTTCTTCCATTTCCTCTTTTCTTTCCTCAGCAAAAAAAAAAATGAGGATATAATTGGTTAGAATGTCGACTAATAATTGTTTTTGAATCAGAAGATCGACAGTGTTAATTTTATTTTAATGGTTGTGTACTTAGTGGATGCCAGCTGCTTTGGGCGGTATATTTAACTACTAATTAAGTACAGTTTGATGATTAGTGTGAGAGGGGGGAAGAAATTCCATCCTCATCGTTTTCGAAATTAGCTAAGCAAAAACAATAATACTGGATTAAGAAAATTACAATGTTGCACGGGAGGATTCATGTGATCAGGAATCTAGCAAATAGATTGGCAGGGATATATACAATTATGCATACAATATTATCAAAAATCGTCATTTGCTACGAGTGAATACAACCTAGTCCCCCTGTCCCAATTCCTCCTTACAACGTTTGGTGGAACTTACCAGACTATTCTTCTTCCCCCGCAAAGGGGATCAGTGTAGGATATAGAACTCATAAAAACAGAGGTACATATTCCCTAAAGATTCATAATGACTTTTTCTTTTCTGTTGGTTCCTGGTGCCTTATGTTGGAAGAGTCACAGTGATGTCTTATAGTGATTGACGTTACAATAAATTGTTAACTAATCAAATTCATATTAATAACTAATGTTTTGTGTCAATCACTATTCACAGTTATTATAAATTGTTCATCAATTATAACATTACTGACCAGATTTTAAACACATTCTTGTCATGGGCATTGTTACAATTTTTCGACTTTTAGTTTAAACAATAAGGTACAAAATAAAAATACATAACCATTGGATTGTTCAACCTGTAACTGAGAATATTTTTACTATACTAAATAGGATTGACCCTGGGTTAATTTTAGGGGGAAAAAAATTACTCTCTCTATCTTAAAAAATGAAACTTCAAACTGGACGATAATTTAAACTAAAAATGAAACCTAAACTGGACAATAATTTTGAGACGGAGTAAATATATGAAATTCAAATGGCTTAATTGAGGAAAACGTTCCAACCAGATCTTAAATGTAGGGGAATTTGTATTTTGGTTGTACTATGTAATATCAGGGGTTGCGTGCCAACGCAGTTTAGGTGCCTAATTTGGTTGGTTAACAACGTTTTCATAACTATACCAAATTGCAATTAACAAAGTAATTAAGGTAGGGAGAAGGGAACATCCAACTTGGAGTATTTGGATATAAATAGAAAAAGAAAGAAATGAAGAAGAGAGTCAACCGGCGGGCCGCTTCTTCCAGCTGTGAATAAAAAAAGGGCAGCTTAGTTTTAATATAATAAGCTTGGAAGGCAAAGAAACGGTCCCGGGCCTCCCGGGCCATGGAAAACTCACGCAAAAAAGATATCTCGGGCCAAAAGCTCAAAAACGAAAAAGCCGAAAAAAAAAAAAAAAGAAGAGGAAAATTAATAAAGTTGTTTCTGTGACAGTGTCTAAAACTCCAATAATTACTAGTATGGATATCGTTATTGTCGGAAAGGGAATACCCAAAGTCAAGTCACAACGGTATCCATCCGTCCATCCACCGACCACCGACCTACCCTTAACCCCTCCGTCCTCCCCCCTTCACAATTATTTCCCTTTTCCTTGTCATTTGATTGATAATAATTTCATTAAGACAGAAGAAAAAAAGACAAGGAAAAGGGAAACAATTAGTGATCCTACCAAGTACTCCTTGTGTGCTTATTATAAGATATTTTGATTTCGCCTAAGTTTCACCTAAAATTATTTTTTAATTAAGAAAAGAATCTTAAAAATATATTTTCACGTTTGTTGTGTTCTTATAATTATTATAAAATATTTTCAAGACTTTTATTTCGATTAAAAAGACATTTCAGGTGAAACCTAAAACGAAATCAAAATATTTTTTAATAAGGACCGGAGAGAGTACCAATCATCAACTCTCCAAGTCCTCCTAACTATACAATTCATGTACTCTAATATATATATATATATATATATATATATATATATATTAATATAGGATGAAAATAGCTTACTTGGCATGAAATTGAAAGCTCAATTAAGTTGGACGTGATACAAAAAAACAGATTTAATCGTGATTACAGTGAATCTTAACCGTAGAAGATAATTTCAACTTTTTACAACAATTTCTTAAAATAAGTAATCTAATAATGAAAGCTCAAATAGAGTTCAAGTTATCATAGATTACTCATATCCTAAATCTTATAGTGGATTTGTTAAATATTGGTTTATTTGAACTCCATCACAGTAACATTTCAAAACAATCATGTATGTCTCTCTGTTTCATTTTCCTTTAAACCTTTTGTTCCTTTCTTAGAGTGTTTCTTTTTTTTTTTTAACGGGTTGCTCTCATACTCTTTTTTTATTCAATACGGGTCTATGTTCAATGCAGACATTTTCAATAAATGTAGAGTACCTATGCATAGTGATTACTTGAAAAGTTTTAGCTTGTACAGTATTTTTAGCGGGAATTTCGGATATTTTTTTAGGACTAGGCGAGTGTATATAAATGGATCTTTCAACGTGATTACTTTTACATTTTTAAAAATCTTTATTTTACACAAATAACGCAGAAAAAATTTTATAGCCCGCACAATGTGCGGTTACCCACTAATTCAATAATTAACGATAAAAACAGTGACAACAACGTAACATTATACCGATTGTACTTACTTCATTGATAACGCATCTTAGTACTGTAATAACATAGTCTCAATGTATTAGTTTTTTTTTCCTTATTATACCAATATTAATTACTACATAATTTTTAATATGTGAAGAACATATCAATCATGATGAGTATAAATAAAAAATTCCTCTCACATCATAATCCTCGTAGTAAAAGCAAATGACAACCACTTTCTTAATTATATATATTTAATAATCTCGCAAACGACACTAACCCACCATCCTCTCACCAATTATCTTTGAATTTATTTCGAGCCAAGCAATGAAAATCCTTTGGCGATTTGCAAAGATGAGAGAGAGATAAAGGGATTTAAAAACTAAATAAATAAATAAATAAAAGCCAAAGGAGCATCTGAGCCGGCAATCTAAGCTATAGCTATTGCCCTACGTGGCGGCCAACCACCATTTTACATGCAAGTAGCTTTCCACTAATTAGTATTTAAACTCGTATTAAGGTTTGTTGCAAAAGTCCCCTGTATTTCTCTTTTACAAAATTACAAAAATTTTTATTCCATTTATATTATGTCCTTATGGTTTGGATTTATTACTTCTCCACTCCCTCTATTTGTCAAGATTGTGATCTTCCTTGTCATCTAAATGAAGTAATGAAAATTTACCACACTAACTTGAGCAAGTGAGTGAACTTTAACCTTTGTTATAAAGCCCGATAAAGCTACTCGTGAATGGTAATCATATGTTTCAATTTTTCTTGATCACCAATTACCACCTTATTAATTACAGTTTGCTTATTAATATTCATTTACATGTTATGGCCATACTATGCACAAAATAAATTTTTTATTACATGATGTGCTGAAATCGTAAAAAATTAAATATTTTAATATAATCAATAAGAGGTCATCATTAACAAAAACATAAAAATAAAAATAAAATACCATGATCGATGTAATATGTTCCGACAACAATTAACAAAAAGAAAAAACTTGTTATGACATTAACATTTACTTTCGTCTTTACATAACTCGGATATAAACTTTGTAATTACCATGATAACATTTAGGTCGTATCATAAATGTGTCAGCGTATCACAAAAAATGTATTATATAGGATATTGGCTGACGTATTTCTATTGTTGGTTACAAATTATTCTCTTATTTGTCCCGTATAGGTATGTGATTCCCCGTGCATATCTCTCTTCGACAATTCAACATGTTCAATCAATCAGTTATGAGCAAATGTCACAGTTTGAAAAGTTAAAAAGTCGGTTTATTTTTCCTTTTCTTCGAAAAGAGTATTCATCATTGATAAGGCAAACTCTTCCCCAATTTCGTACATTTCATTTCCTATTTTTCAATATTCTCTAGAGTAAAAAAGTAAAAATGATAACTAGGGCAAGTTAAAAGGGATGAATCTTGATAAATCACAAACATTATAGGGGGTACAAACTAAAAAGCAGTTTATCCAAAAGAAAGTTTGTGGGGAGAGAAAGAAAAATGGAAAGTACTGTACTATACTTGTGCCAATAGTCCCATATTCCAGCAAATTATTATTGTTGTGGAAAGAGAAGTTGTACATGTATATATTACGTGGGGAAAGAAAGTGAAAGGAGGGGGCGATTCGTGTCGGTGCATTTAGTTGTTGTATTTGTGAAATTTCTTGTGCTTTTGTAGTAGTTTGTAAGTATTGGTTCTGTATGTGTATAAATAAATGTATGTATTTGTTTTTCATTTTCGCCGATTAACAAAATCAACGCGGAAGCTTTACTCAGATGACAACAACCTTACTCAGTTTTTAAACAAACCCCTCAAAATCCACTATTCCCATTTTCCTCACTCTCCCCTCCAAGCCTAAAAAAAAATAAAAACAAGAGGGAAAAAGAATTAAAGAAAGGCCCACTTTCCTCTTCCTCAGCCTCCTCTCCCCATCATCTTTCTGTGCTTTTGATGGGCGGAGTTTCTTTAGCAAACTTCCAAAATCATTAGAGGAAGTTGTTTTAATTTCTGGGTTTTGATTCTGTTTGTATATATATACATATATTTTGAAAGAGAGAGAGAAGAATTGAATTGGAAATATGGAGGGTGGCGGCGGAGGAGGAGGAGGAGCTGGGTGTTGCACGGCGGGGAAGCGCAAGGGGGAGAGGCTGTACAAAGGAATAAGGATGAGGAAGTGGGGGAAGTGGGTGGCGGAGATCAGGGAGCCTAATAAGCGTTCCAGGATTTGGTTGGGCTCTTATTCTACTCCGGTGGCCGCCGCCAGAGCCTATGACACCGCCGTTTATTATCTTCGAGGCCCGACGGCGAGGCTCAACTTCCCGGAGCTTTTGGTCGGTGAAAGCGTTGGCGGCGGCGGCGCCGCCCACAGTGATTTGTCTGCTGCTGCTATAAGAAAGAAAGCGATAGAGGTGGGCTCGAGGGTGGATGCGCTTCAGAGCTCGATTGGTAATCATGACCACCACCACCACCACGTGGTCCATGACCACGGCGGCGTCCGCCACCACCACCATGAACACGGGACGACGCCGACTCAATTGAAGGCTTGTTGGTTCCAAGAAAAGCTCGACTTGAATCTGAAGCCCGAGCCCGAAGACCCAGATGGTGATTACTGGTGAGCCCGGATCAAAAATAAGAAACAAAATTGAAAGACAGAGATGGAAAGATGAAGAGAAAAGAAGAAGAAATTATTGACAAAGAGAAAGTAATCAAATTTCAGGTCGCTGTATTCTTCTTGTAGGGTGTTAATGGTAACATTTCACTCTCTTTAGCCTAATGGCTCTAGAATAGAATTCCAACTATTTTGTTTCTCCTTTTTTCTTTTAATTTTCCCGTTTTTAACTCCCTTGATATTAAATGGAATATAAAGTTTTGAGAGTTTGTTAAAAAATCAATGTAAATATCCTTTCTATCATATTAGAACCTCTGTTTTATTTGCCATTTCATTCCCAGCTGATATCTGAATTCCTAATATTGATTGGCCCTGTTCTCATACTAAGATCGCCGTCTGCGGTGGACGGTGGACGGAGGCGGCGGCGTAGAAGTGTGGGGTACAGAGAGTATTAAAAGTGACCCAAGTGGGAAGTTGGAGGGAGAAACGGAGGGGCCGGCGAAGGGAGGAGGGAACAGCAGTGGCCCTACTTTTTAGCTCGGAGTTTGGTGCAAGTGGCTGCGTTTTGCTAACTGCTTCAAAAGTGGAGAAGATAAAATTTGGTTTAATATTTTGACTTCTGATTCGGTGGCAGGTTTCTGGGACTGGCCCCTGTCCTCTGCCTCTGGGTCTCATCATCTCCATTCTCGTTGATGACGAGGTTTCTTTCAGTTTAGCCAAACCAAAAATCCCTCTATTTAAAAAGCCCTTCAGACACCAAAAAATTGGGATTTGCGTTAATTCTTTTGCTCCTCAGTAATTCCCCAGATTCTACATTACCACCGTACATTGTTCTGCACTTTTTTGTTTTTTTTAAACTCTTTCGGGTACAATTAAGTACAGAGTTATGCATGTTCCTGTGATGAATTCACTTTCCGATGAGCATGCGCCATCGTCGTAGTGGGGGCTTTTTCAGGCAAACATTTTTGACAAGAAAAAACATCTGACACAAACTAAAACACACGACTCATCTTCTTCACTAAGTTGGTGCAGCGGATAAAACAAACATTAATTATAAAAATCTTCAACTTATTCAAATTGGAAAACAATAATGTCGATCACTGAACTAATTAAGTAGTGGAACATAGGGCCATTGGGATTTGGGAATCGAAATGAGGTCCTTATGGAGCAATCAACATTTCGGTCACGGGCATTTGAAACAATTGAAAACCATGATTGACCATTTGTTTTTTGCCATCTCATTGGACATTTTGAGAGGGGTGATTGGAATTTTCCCATTCTTTTCATATTACTACTATTATTACTAATTTATTCATATCGCCGCTTAGAGTAATGTGGTCCATTGGAATAACGTAGCTGGTGTTCCTAGATTGCGTCCGTTTCCTGCTTTACTTGGATTTTTATTAGATATTCCATGATTTGGGTGTGTGGCAAAACTTTGTTGACTTTTGGCTAATTCGTGTTATTATCGTCTTCATCTTCTTCTTTTTTTTTTTTTTCCTCTCTCAAAAATCAAAATCACACCACAATAAACATGTCCATTCTATACTTAGGAAGGAGACCACAATAATTTGATTTTGTATGCCTTTATGAGAAGAAATCACTGAATTAGGTAAAAGGGGTTGTTAAAGCAAGTGATTGATTTCGTTTTTTTTTTTCTTTCGTTTTTCTTCCATGAGAAAACCAGAAAAAAAAAAAAAGAGTAAATTAGAAGTAAGTCGTCCAAGTTTCACACGGAGGCCGACTGGTATTACGAGGGTGGTCCAGGATAAACATGAATGGTGACAGTTTGTTTGATATGGACGTGTATGTTAATTATGATTTTGATCTAATTTGGGATCTCCGCCCCCCCGTTCTTTTTCTGTAGTTTTTGGATCTTTGATTTATCTTGTTTACCAGATATATGCCAAATACAGAAAGTTGTTGGAAATTCATTTGCTGAGGATTTTGGAACTCAACCTCCTTCCATGGAAATATGGTAACAGTTGTCGACGTTAAAATCTGGTATTACTATTTACCAGTCCCACGTTGAGAGTGAAAACACGCTTACGGAGGTTACACTGTTACCTTAAATCGTTGTTTTAGTTAACAGTGTTACAGTCGCCAATGGTTGGTGCTTAAAGTCAACGTTTTAGAGGAGGCGGCTTTTGGGATAATCCTAGACTTGTTTATTCTTAACAATTGCAATCACATGCAGTTTGTCCAGATATCTGTAGACCAAGCTAAGATTAACCTTCGCGAGTAAAGAAGTACAATATGGTCAGATTCAAAATTTCTCAAAAAAAAAATATATAGTAAGATAAATAAAAATAAAAAATCCCAGGTAATTTGCACATAAAATTCAACAGTGTGAATTTACTACTTTTGGGAAGTAGTCTGTTCTAATATACTTTTAAAGTCAGAAGAGCAGCCAGCTCTCCTGAATTCTCTTCCAAAGTCGTTAGGATAAAAGGATATCGGCTTGTCTGAAGATGGTCCATGATAGAAGCAACAAAGATTGCTAAAGTTAACATGTACAAACACCCCCATTTGAATCTAATGATGAAAAAGGATTAAGGGAGCCCACCTTAATTTGCAACCGGAAGATAACGAATAAACTTCTTAGACAATAATTGAACTAATTAGGTATACACCTCACATCATAATCCCATGAAGCAACGGGGTCTACAATTCTAATCCAAAAACAGTGTACAACTATTGAAGAAGATATGCTACATCTCCACAGTTGGTCTGCTGACAGATTTCCCACTTGAGCATTAAAAGTACTCTTGGACCGTTTTCGATAAGACCAACACTACGCACATTCCTCTTCAAACTCAAGTGAGATCTACTCCCAGAACTCCTCCAGACATTATATGCATCGAATTCTAATCCTTTTCCCCCTTTCAAATCATAGCGAAAACCTGATACAGTTTCATTACAGGTTTTCAATCCACAAGGTTCTTTGAAAGAACGACGTCGTCTCTACGTCCACTTCGCATGTGGGGCAAAATGTATCCAGGTTAAGCCTTCTTCTCATACTTCTTTTTCATTTGAAGAGCAGCTCTTACAACATTGCCTCTTGTGATAATTCCGACCTTGGAATTTGGATGGATAAAAATCAGTAATAAAACACATTGTACAAGGAAGATAAAAACAAATAAGGGAAAGTGCAAGGACCATACCAGCCTACCATCAGCATCTACAACAGGAAGACGCCGATATTTTGTTTGGAGCAACAACCTGATTATAACAACAGTACAATGTAAGACGACAGTGCCTCCCACTAACTTTCAAAAGCATAAGAATACAAACGAATCAAAACAGAAAAGTAAGATTAGCAATATGCATCAGCACCTAGCAGCATCCTCTAGATTTGTGGATTCACGAACGACCAGGGGAGCTGGTGTCATCACATCCCCAACCACTTGACCATTGGTTTTGCTTAGTAATTTCTGTACCTCGTTGAAAGTCTGCAAAAAATTTACAAGATCATAGATGGCAAAAGTTAATGATTATTCCGCACATTTATTGGAAGGAATCATTCTATATGCTGTGATTGAGAGCTGTCTAGGTGTTTTGTCATCTATTCCAAGCAGGTTAACAATCTCAACAGCTGGGAAAATTTTACTCACGAGAGGCAAAAACAGATACTACGAAAGTGTCTTTCTCTAATGACCAACTAAGCTTGGCAACGATAGTTGAAATAGAAAGAGAAAACAAAGAAACACGTTGAATAACTGCAAAAAATACTATAAACCTAAAAATTTCTACTAATTAGCTTGAAAAAGAGAAAGGTCATCTTAAAATTACAGCACATAAATGCATGTAAAACTAAATGGTTGCATTAAGAGGAAGAATCACAATGCTCATTGAAGTCTTCATTTACAAAATAGAAGGATCAAAAGAAAACCGGATCAGTGGTCAAAGAGCCAGATGTAGCTGGACATTAACGATCACATAATACCGCACTCATTATTATGGTTGTGGAACAGAAAATGATCACATAATACCACACCCAGGAGGTTATTATGATTGTGAAACAGAGAGTCCAAGAGAAAAGAACAGGTGATGATAGATTCAAAATGTACAAAAAGGGGAAAGGACAGAATTCATGAACAGAGTAAGCATGGAGAACAGTTCACATTCAAGGACATAAAACAAAGCAAAGATGCTCTAATAATTTATGTACAAAGAACTGATCCTTAAATACAATAATGATACTCGCTTACATACTTTCCAAGTACTGTCGACTTCCGGAAACATGTCTACGTCAGTTCTACCAGTACCTGATTAACATAAAGCACGTCAAATCATTTCAGGTAGAAAGCCAGAAAGTGGGGATGATGCAGGGGAGTTTCCAAACTGAAGCAATGTGCAATGTTAACATGGCATTTACATGAGCAACAGCAGATTTATGCATAAGATTAGCAAAGAGCACATGGCGACTTTCAGATAGGGAAACCAAGTACAATACATACCAAAAATTCATAATTAAAAGTTGCCTACGGTACAAAATTAAGCTTGAAGAAAGAATTCAGTGCTTTATGTTCAAGTTTCAACTATCTGCTCTGGGATTAGTGATAGAGGAATATTCATCCATATGGCTCATTCATCAATTTACAACTAAATAAATGGTCATTCTTTTAATGTTGACCGGGAAGCATGGCTCCCATCAATTTAGATTAATAGCCGGCCATTGTGTCGTGACTGGGACGTCCTCCCCAAATGACAAATATGACATAGTTAATTTTGAAGGAAAAGAAGAAAAGGAGAATATGCAATTTTGGCACATAAAGGGGATATCCCATAATTCTAAGCCAGATAGGTTGGTGAGGGCTTAAGCACAGGAACACGAACACATTAATACGGTTGCCGTTACAACATGACAAGGTTACCTGATATAGAATCCAATGCTAACAAATCATAGTCTGAAACAAGACCAACCTGTAACAAAGATGGAACATAGAAATGCTTTAGAAATGTATTCAGGTAATTATCTTCATTTATATATCCTACAACCACACGAGTGAATAAAAGAATATCATAGTTAGAAGAGAATTCATAAGAAGTCTAACGGTTTCAAGTTTCAGCTGAAAGTTATTAGTAAATCGCAGCTTAAATGAAGCCAAGCCAATAGAAATGAAATTATGCCCCACTTTCAAAATGAATTTCCTAAACACAATACGAGAATGGGAGTACCAATTTCCAGTCATCATCAATTACAGGAAAGCCAGTAATCCTGTGTTCTACAAGAGCTTCCAAGGCTGTTTCAAGAGAGCAATTACATCAGGAAAAAAGCAAATCCAGTACAATAAAGAGGCAATTTAGATAACTTCGGATACCTTCATCGACAGTAGTTGTTGGCTTTACCACATGTAGCTCATCTTTCGTTGTCATGAACTCACCAACGGTAAATACGCCATTTCTTGGCTGCTGCCACATGCAAGCATATCCAGTGTTTTTAAGCAATTTTTGAAGTAGATATTTCAGTTCAGAAGAGCACTATGATTTATCATCTAAATTAAACTAATGCGAATTTCCCAGTTCGAACAATTTGCATAAAAAAAGATCCACAAATTCAGCTCGTGCGAAAAAAGGAACAGGTGAAGGGAACGTCAGATGAACATACCGATAGAGGTTTGGAGGTGAGAGTGCTGCCGGCCGCCGCGATGAAGGGCTTGCTGGAGCTAAAATCGCCGACTGAACCAAAGAAGCTTCTCGAGTGCTGCGAATTGAGATAAAGTAAAGGGAATTGGTGGCTGAAGGCGGTGGAGGAGGTGGTGGTGCGGTGGATGGAAGAAGAGAGCGATACGAGTCCTAACGGAGAAATTGAGCTCATGATTAGAAGCTTCAGCGGATTATGTTCTTCGTCAGGAAAGATAAAGCTGTTGCCCCCAAGCTGAGAAAGGTTGCCGGCGGTCGTCGCTCAGGGCGGAGGTTGCGAATGGCCGGGTTAGTTTACTTTTGCGCCACCACAACCTGTATCGAAACCAACGGGCCACCTGATATGGTAGGAAATATGGAAATTACGTTTTCTTTTCTATTTTACTAATTCTTGTTTTCCCCAAAAAGTAGGAAAAAAAAAAACTACACTGGACAATTATTTCATGCGGAAGAAATAGATATTATTAATCTAAAGAATAATAAAAGTTCTGTATAACATATGAATTGTCAAAGATACAATCCTGACTAATTCGTATCATATCGAGTATTTTTTTTGACAAAAAGCACTTTGGTCCCTGAATTATGTGGGATCAAAATTTTTGGTCACCATTAATTTTTTACTGACAAAATTAGTCACCACCTTTTCGTTTATGCAACAGTTTTATAGTCAATTTAACGGTTAACTAACGGTCAACTCTTTTTCCGTTAAATTTTTTATTTTTTATTAATTTTTTACTGAACTCAGACCCGCAATGTATTTTCAAACAACAAAATTAGTCCCCAAATATCTTTTTTTCAACAATTTTAGTTACTTTAACGGAATTTTTTAAAATTTAATGATCCAATTCAATTTTCCTTTAAGTCTTTATTTTTTATTGATTACTTAATGGACTGTGGGCCCCACAAGTCCTTGATCAGATTTTTAAAAAAATTAAAAGAATAATGAAAGTATTTCCGACCAACTTCCTAAACCCCAATATACTTCTTCCGAACGTCTCACCATTACCTCCCCGCCCGGATAATAGCTCAGAAAAGGAGCCTCATTATTGATCGTTTTCGTTGTTCGTTTTTTTTTTTGAATTTATTTTTCGGGGAGCGGAATATTTAGAATTTAGGAAGTTGGTCGGAAATATTTTTATTATTTATTTAATTTATTTTTTTTAAAAAAAAAATATTTTGATCAAGGACTTGTGGGAACCACAATCCATTAAGTAATCAATAAAAAAATAAAGACTTAAAGGAAGATTGAAATGGGCCATTAAATTTTTAAAAATTCTATTAAAGTGACTAGAATTGTTGAAAAAAAATATTTAGGGACTGATTTTGTTGTTTGAAAATATATTACGGGTTCCAGTTCAGTAAAAATTAATAAAAAATAAAAAACTTAACGGAGAAAAGAGTTGACCGTTAAATTGACTAAAACTGTTGAATAAACGGAAAGGTGGTGACTAATTTTGTCAGTAAAAAATTAATGGTGACCAAAAGTTATGACCCTCCATAGTGCAGGGACCAAAAATTCATTTTGTCCTTTTTTTTTCCACAAAAAAAATACTAATTTTTCTAATGAGTATTTCTATAGTGGTTGTATCCCTAGTTTCTCTTATACCGTTTGAATTAAGTGTCTTGCTGGTATAATTAGATAGATAGATAATTTTAAGAGCAAAATATGGCCTAGTTTTATTTGTAATAATTTATCATTGAGTAATGATACATGTATGGAAATTTGACAAGAAAATTTAGAACGAATGAGGTGACTACATGCTAGTTATCCTCTAACCCTTAAATTGATAATTTCTTAAAAGAAAAGTATATGTATCGACGGTTATGATTTATTCCATGTATCCACGAGTCATTGTCCTTTATAATTTTTTCGGCTTTGTTTCTATTTTTTTTTTCTTTTACCATCTATTTTCTTTTTTTTTTCCTTTTCATTTTAAATTTATTGGAGGTTGTAGAGAAATATGGTGATGAATGCCTAGATTTTTATTGGAGATATTTCCATCGTCTTTACTATCTTCCACTCAAAAAAATTTGACTTTCTTAAGGTTAGGCCTAGTAATCCAAAAACGCATACATCATAATATTACATAACAATAATAAACACATGTACAAATTCGCCATCATTTGGGCTTTCTTATCTTACTGATTGGGTTTTATTTCAACTCTCAGGATAAACTCTATATTATTTACACTATCGTCAATACTCTATAAAACAACAGAGGTGAGATGGTCAAATTTCAATGAGAGCCCAGTTCCTTTTCTGGGCGGATGATCCAATCCGTTTTCCTTTAACCCAAATGGATTTCTCCAAGCCACTTCGGAATCCAGCCCCTGATTTTTCGTACCAAATTCAACCTGCAATTTTTGTCTCCTATCATTTGTGTAGTCTTGAAGACGAGTTATCATAGAAAATATTTTCGAAGCAGAAAAAGAGGTACAGCCATAAGTACAGTGCAATTAACAATTCCGTTAGCAGCCGGCGGTTGCTGACAATGGACAGCGACCCAAAAAATACTCATCATATACTCCAGAATTTAGTATATTCCTTTTTTGGGCCCAAAACACTTCTTGAAGATTTGGGCTGGGCCTCATCATTGCAAAGTTTGCGTAAAGTTGAAAATCATGTTTAAACTTTAAACTCGTGACCATTACTTGTAAAATTTTACTTATTGAGACTTGGAGTAAGAAGGTGGCTCCAAACAGCTAGCGACATTTTAGAAATTGCTACCTTTAATTAACTGGATAAGGACAACATTCTCGTTTGCTTTTCGTTTATTTTCTTAAAAAATATAAAATATTTGACGTATATTAATTATGGAAAAAGCAAAAAATAATGTGTTTGCAACAGTTGTCAAAAAATATATATTTTCTTTTGCATATTACGCACAGTATCCTAAGTGCATTGCACTCAGATTAATCTGTACCGAGTCGAATCGGTCTCCTTTCGAAGGGAAAGCTCTCCCAACATTGCTCTTTCCATTCACCAGACTCGAACCCGAGACATCGCTTAACGGAATCAACACCTTACCATTTTGACCAAGCAAGTGTTGGTAAAAAAAAAAAAAGTGTTTGAAACATAGAAAAGATAAACCTTAGAATGGAATAGTGTGGTTTGACGTTTGGACCGGAGAAAATGAAATTTTAAGGCACTATTAACATGGCCCATACAAGTGTTGTGAAATTAAATTAAGGTTCAAGCAATATTTGATATTAGTACAAAGAATTTTGTACTTTCTCTCCCTCTTTTTCATTTCTGCGCTAGGAAAGAAGAAGTTAAAACGCTTACGACATAAACTAAACTATCACAGAATTGTGGATAAGAAACTTGATTATATAGCTAAATTAAACTAAAAAAAAAATCAATTTATTTAGCGGGCTCATGAGTCATGAGTCAATTTTAAATGTCTATTTTGATATATTCCGCGCCAGATATCTAAAATTCTTGCTGTTAATACTTTGTGTTGGTCGGATCTGTAACAAGTCGATGAACATTGTCATTGACCACCTTAAAAAGTTAGGAATGTGGGAAGCCTAGGATGTTTACTTTATGCACCTAGTGGTCATTAACTAGTCAATTAATATAAACTGTACATATGACAGAAGCAGCAGTATATAACTATGTATAATGGGGTTCAATCCAGACAGTAGGCATCTCTGATCTTAATTGAATTAATGTCACGCCAGGATTCATTCATTCATCCATTCATTCATTCATAAGACACTGAGGAAATGGCAGCTAACCTTTTTCAGACAACACACTATATCATGCCGGCCAACGCCCGTCGATGTTTCAAATCAATTACTCCTTACTTGGCAAATCACATTTAGTAAGAACCCGCCAGCTTTTCTAGATTCCCAGTTCACCACTTTCCATATTTTGCATGCATGCTTCTCTTCCTTCGACCAGTTACTTCAAAAAAATTTTTGAATGATCGGATGCATTTGATTTCAGTTATTATCTTTGAATTTCCAGAAATTACATATTCTGATTCTTAGATCCTTGAGGCTTGCGCCGACTCTTTCAATGAATAAGTAATCGAACATTTTGACTCAATGATCACACGTAAGTAATAAATTTTTATTCCTACTAAGAGTAAGATTTTTATTTTTATTTTTTGAAAAGTGGTACATGTATATTAATGTAAACCGGTACTTATATTATTTCACCGCATTCTCATAAAAGTTAAATTATGTAGTTCAGCTACTTATGATCTGCTACCTTTAATCAGCAAGTATGACTCAAAAGTAAATCTAGTAGAGGGAGGGAAGAACTGTCCGTGCTAATTCGTATGAATAAGAATAATATCTTATCTTAATTGTGAAACAATTGCTTTAGGTACATAGTAATCCAATTAGTCATCATTTTCCCGATATGGTTACAAAATATATGGACTCCACAAATTATTACAATGTAACTTTGCTACAAGATCTAGTACCATAATGTTTGGTTACAAAATATCCCATTAAGAGCGGGAATAAGTGTATCTATTTAGTTCTAATAGTTCGATAAAACTTGTAGCTCTGTAGAACATGAAGCTAGCTAAGTTTGAAAAATGCGTCACAGTTTAAAGCTAGCCCATAGCCCCAAAAATTGAAGGTTGTAAATGAACATGTGAAAGTCGGCCGTATAACTTGACAAAAAGTAATGGCAAATATAGGCCAACTGCTTAGGGGAGATTAGAAAATTAAATGCCTCCATTGCTGGATCCATGGGTAGTAGTAGTTTCAGCAGTGGTATTGGTCTGGTCTGGTCCCCTACCTCACCTTCAATCACTTTGCCATTTTTACATTTTTGTAGGTAGGGGAAGAACAAAATTGACTAACCAAACAAAATAGGGGGGCTTTTATTTTATTTACAACTTTTTTTTCTTTTTCTTTTTTTGCGTAGAAATAGATAAAGAAAACAAAGCAAACATTTAGGCTTCACATATGTGGCAACTTTCTATTTTGGAGAACCCCATGTTGTTGTTATTTTTGTGTTTATATATTGGGCTTTCACACACGAAACCTTTTTGTGAAGGATCCAATTGCTTGCCCTCTGTCTCAACTTTGTTTTGCGAAAATATACAAACATGCATCATTTTTCCATCAACTTGCAAGGCTTCTTCTTTTTTTTTCCTTTGAATTTATGAGAGTGGAAAGTTTTTTTGGGTTCCATGTTTTTTTTGGGGGACCATTTTGTACTAATTCTCAACTCTACTGGACCACTAATGCACTTAGTAGGAGAACCTTAACCATTAATCAAGTTACTATTTCCCTTTACGCTAACTTTTTTCAAGAACCAGAAAATTTGACGGGTTTGTCGTTCGATTTTATCAGTACTAGAATAGCGTTTCACAGTGTTCTAGAAGACAAATTGCCATTAAAAAAAAAGCGCTTTAAGTTGACGAATCAATGTAAACGTCATTAAAAACAAAGAAGACCTAAACAAAAATTTATTTGTGGACAATCTAGTAACTTTTAATGTGAGTGTGTTAGCGACCGTTATTGAGAACATTCACAATACTTCCGTTCAGACTCAATTAATTAATGTAGAATGCTTGGAATTTTCTTTAAAAAAAAGTTAAAACTGTTCATTTTATTAGGAGGATATTATTAGAAAGTTAATTCTATGTAAGCAAATCGTGTAGTGATATGATAAATGAAGACTTCATGCAAAATTATCATAAAAACACATACACGCAATCCGTACAACGATGCAATTTGATTTTGGCGTAGTACAAAAGAACCGTGATTCATGAGGTCTTGAAAACAACATTCTCACTTAAGCTGATCCAATCCATTTTAC